ACTTTTTTAGGGGTCATATTAAATTACTTCAAGTGTATCTTTTGGCTTTCATTCTCTCTTTTTCAGAGGCAACAGTTTCCAGTTTTACAAACCACGGTAAACACTAATCTTGGAGCAAATGGGGCTTGGCCGATACAAAAATTCCTTGGTGGAAATAATTCCGTCTCTTTCATCGCGATATCCACGGCTTACTTAATTTTCCACATCAGTCTCCTAACACTAAAAATGATTTTTCACTTATCTCCGTGTTTTGTTGGTACACGTTCCCATATTCGTATGCTAAACGCTGAACATGTCTTCCTTTCGCAAACTTTGTCGGGATTCATATTGGGAATATACCAGTCAAATATCATAGATCTTGGGCTTTTAGTTCATGAGAAAGCGTTTAAACGTTTTAACAAATTTGACCCCGTGACCTTGAATATTTGTAAAGGTCCTTTCTATTCGCAAACTTTGTCGAGCTTCATCCTAGAAACATGCCAACCATATTTGGACCTAGGCCTTTCAGTTCATGAGAAGAAGTCGTTTAAATGTTTTAACAACTTTGATCCCTGTGACCTTGAAAATAGGTCAAGGTTATTTCTTTCCATGAACTTTGTCTGGCTTCATCCTAGGAACATACCAGTCAAAATTTCAAAACATTTAGTCCATTGATTATTGAGAAGTTGTTTAAAGGAAATAGTTGATGCCGAACAACAGATGCTGTGCCATTGCTTAAGTTCGCTTGGTCCTTTGGGCCAGGTGAGCTAAAAAGATTGGAGAAGACTTTCACCCCCTGAATGTAGTAGCAAATCTCACCAAGCGAGTCTTGTTGTGGAACTCTTTTGAACTGATGGCTCCATACAACTTAGCACCTTAACAGCTCTCTTACATCATAATACCCATTTGATTCAGTGGTGTTTTGTTGAAATAATGTCTGTTAACCTAACAAAGTTATAATTTGGAGAAAATCTATGCAAGAACATAAATATGACGAATTAGAGGATTGAAAGATATGTATTAGCTCAGCAATTGTACAAGTCATTATTGATAACAAAACAGTTTAATTATTTTAAAGGTGATTTTATACTGTTGAACTAACACTCAAATATGAATTATCAGAGAGTAGTTAACTTGCTCCAAGTCCGATTATTGTGCACATTCTCAAAGGCGTTATAAAATCAATTCCCAAGAATTCAATAAACCTCGGCACTAAATCTACACAAAGCAAGGGATGGAGCCAACAATCTTGCACTTTATTACTACTGGATAATTTACAGCCAAATATTTCATAAATCATGAGGACAAAAAACTCAGAAAGCATTTACAAATATAAAAAATATTTTTAATGTATATATGTACTTTACATATAGATATAAAACCATCCAATCAAAGACGATCTTATGTAATATATAATATACATAAAATCTCAATCATACATATAGGTGTAGTGGGCAGAATCTGCTTGCATACATGATATATAGTCATTCACAAGGCTACATTACAAAATGTGATCAATCTTACATCTATGTGTATACCAATATTCAGTACATGATAATTTTTGTGATCTAAAGCTAATTTGTTGGGATCTTCACTGGTATGCAAACTTCAAAACTTACTTCAAGAAAATTAATGACCTGAAATCAATATGCAACTGTCATTGATTTCAAATTTGTAGTATTTCCTGTTAACATTACAAAGCATAGTAATTCACTCATACATTGGCCCATCATCACAAACAAACCAATCCCTATTGTTCTACCCATTGTACATCTGAAGGTAATAGTTTTGGAATATGATGAATTAAAAAGCACAGCATCTATCATGAAATGTGTTAAAGTAATTAAGTCATGTTTATGTTATTTATCAGTAATAAGCCCATGCTCAACAATAAGACCACCCACTTTTTACACAAATATCAACATTTGATCTTGAAGCAAACTAACACAGCAAAACACTTTTCAGAGAAATGGGTTTCCTTGTAATTACATTACTATTGTTTGTGTCTGATAAAATTATCAAAAACATCAAAAACCATAGGTTTATTTATACACTTAAGTGAAATTGATTTGTAAATCCTTTTAGGTGCAGACAAGTTTTACTGTGTTGTGGTTGTGGTTTACTGTTTTACTGTCTTTTTGCAGACAAACCTTACATTGAAACACCTTCCCTGACTCTACTGATACCATGAAGTACAATACTCTCTGTCTAAACCATGCAACAACACTACAGATGCTTACAGTTTGTGTCCAGTTCCAGACCACCAGGAGTCTGCACTAAGCTGGAAATGCTAATAACAGTGTTCACATAGCTGAATCCAAAAAATTCTGTAATTAAATTTTGTTTTGAAATTGAAATTAATGTTCATCTACAGGGCCTTTCATTCCCAATATATTTAAATGTTTCTCTCAGCTAAAAACTGAACATCATTTGGGCTACTGCCGTGGTGTGAAACAGTTAAACAAGCCGTTGTTTATCTATGTAAACCAAGCTTATTAGAATTTAGTGACAGTCTTTACAGTCAGAATATTGCGGTGAAAGAGTCCCTATGGAGCCCAGACAGAAAACAGTAGCAATTTCTGACTAATTGAAACGGCTACCATAAAGAGACTTCAGCAGGCACCAAGTACCCCCTGAGGTGGTGAATAAATGATTTGAACTGTTAATTCAAATTTCAATTGACTTCTTCATCAATTAGATGTAAGTAAAGCACTTGTGTGTGTGTTAAGGTGTGATCTACCATATAATCCTTATACAATAAATCCTAGGTAATTAGGTAATTATCACAAACAGAAGAAAAGCACTATGGGGGATATGTATACAACAAATCCCTGAAGAACAATGTTTTTTCTATCTCACATAAATACCTTAATTTGAATTTTCATAATCTTCTCAAGTATTTGGAACTTCAATATAATGAATATAAAGCTTGAACTGCATAAAAATTGGCTATTGATTAAATTTAGAAAAAAAAATAAATAAATAAAATTTTGGGGAAATTCATATCAGTGTGTATTAGCAAAGCATAGTGATGTGCCCTTCTATATGTATCAAACCATCTGCAGTTTTTAGATTCTAGTACTTTTTTTCCTCTCCCCCTTTTTAAGCAAACATTAAATGGACAATCCACGAGTTGGTATATTTGAGAACAATATGTCCCATCACATTTCAAAAACATCAGATCCATGCTTTGACGGACAAAAGGAATGGGACAAATGTTAATTATGCATAAAGTATTCGGAACACACAAATAAGATTCAATCAAATCTCTCACACACTAACTACATAACAATCCTGGAATATAAATATATGTAAAAAATACCTTATCTACATCATGTTGAGTAAGCATAAGGGGAATGATAGATTTCTGTAAGTATACACATCATCATGACAAACTCCTACATAACTAACCCCCTGTCATTAAAATCTCTTTCCTAAGCCAGTATCCAAACAAAAATGACCTTGAGGTACTACTCCATCATTCTAAATTCCGCATTTTATTATTTATAAACACGTTAAATTTTTGTAATGCATACAATCTTATCTCATGAATATTCATGAAGATTTGATGCTCTATAATCTTAGTATAAATAAAATCATATAAAAACTCAACCAATGCCAAAATCAATATTTATTTTAATTCTCATTCTAGACAAAATGAATTAATTTGATATTTTGACCCTGAAAATATCAAGTGAATGACCTTGAAAATATTTCTGTGCGTATAGGCATTAATATTTCAAAGTAGGGATAATGTTACAGATGTGAAATTTGGCGCACGCTATTACACAGCAATTTGTTATCAAAAACAGGACAAGGTCATGAATCAATATTCATCACGATATAAAACACATTTTACAAAAAAAAAAAAAAAAAAAGAAATAATAATTTGAAAGAGTGGTACTCTCAATTAGAGAGAGTTATGCTAGGAAACACAGCATATCACTTAGTGTTATCACTTTCATTAGGACCATTAACATCTTATAATAGGTTATAGCTTTCATCTTACAAATCTTTAGGAATTAACTAAAAAAAAAAGTACGAGAAACCTACATAACACGACACAGTAACAATTTATCAACATATCATTAAACGTGTGATTAAGAATACTTTATCACTAATAATTCCAAGCTCAGCCCGAGGTCAGAATTTTTTTAACAGCTTTATTTTTCTTGACACAACACATTTAGAAACCTATTCCATCTTGTCTTTAAGGGCTATCCATCCAGATCCCCATCCTCAATCCCCTCCCATTGATCCTCAAATTTTTTTCCATCTTACCCCAGGAATCATCATCTCAAAAAATCAGACATACAGAAAAACTTGGAGTCAAACAAAAGGAAAAATCTAATCATGTCACCCCTAAAATCCATCATAGTACAGCCCTTAAAAATTACATAGGCAAGTCTACTAAAGGCTTTAGGGATGACAAGGTTGACTCTGAGACAATACTGACTTTTCTCTAAAATTTTCATCTTGGAAAACAGACCAATGCATTTATAAGAATTAAATCAACTCTTCCAGGAATCCAATTGTATGAAGTATGTCGAGAAAGGCTATGATAAGCCAGAGAATTCTCTCATACACATCAAATCTATTGCTCAACTCAGCTTCAACTTTCCAACTTCAACACCAGATATCTTTGCAAAATGAAAAGACGAAATGTCTAGACGTTTTTTGTCCAAAACGTCAATTGTCTGTGTATCCTGTCATTTGTAGATCAACGAATGTCATACTTCACATCAAATGGCAAGACAGACCTCTCTGCTCCATGTCAAGTTCACAACCAACACATGATATAACACTACAATATTGTAACTTGAAGGAGCACACAGACATTTGGGAAATTGTTATATCACAATATACGTAACCATTTTTTGTAATTATTTACCCACAATTCCTTCTTTTAATTAAATAATAGTTCAGAATGATTCACACTAATTTGAATTTCTTTTTACCCTCCAGATGATCAGTCTGGTTCTATTGACTCATGTAGCCATAAAAAGTGGATTAATTCCCGCGGAAATGATGATCATCTGACAGCAAAGTTCAAGGTCATTGTAAATGACAGCAAAGTTCAAGGTCATTGTAGTTTATTGCACTAAATCTGGAAAGATAAAAATATTTGTAACATTTTTGTGTCAAATGAATGAAGAATTTTGGAAATAGTTTTTGATGCGATTTACCATACAACCGCTTATTTTTGTAAGGACAATATTTTCGCTTTTTCGTGGTACGTTAAAGTGATCACAAAATTTACTCTATTAAAGAAATGAGATATGTGTGTACAAGATGTCCTTTCACAACCAGATTGTAAAATTTTAATTCATTAAAATATTATGCAATTGTTTTAAAATTACAAGCCACACGGTATAACCATGTGTGTGGACCAAGATATTGGATCAGGTTCAACTTAGCTGTGTGGACAAAAGTAAAAAAAAAAATTAATTCAAAGCTAAATTATACATCTGGTACATTTGATCAACTTTTCTTTGTGCTCAGAATTCACATTTGTACTTACATTGTTGTCTGGTTGTCATAAAACTTTTGTAACTGAAAGGAAATATAACTAATTAAACACCATGCATTTTCATATATAAACCCAACTTTTCAAAACAATTTTCAATGACAAGAAAAATTCAAAATTACTCCTTTGCTGTCCAAAGAATGTATTTGTTTAAAATTTTTGAATAAAATATTGAAAATATCTAACCACCAGACATATAACAAACTGCCAAGCATAACAAAATTGTTACGTGTACACTGTGTTATCACTGCTCAAAATTCTAAAAATGTTTAAATCTTGATAAATGACAGGGAATTCTCTCCTTAAACTCATTAATGTCAAACATTTCAAATTTAAAAGCTGTAAAATATAGTCATATCAAACATGTTGCAGTGACAAACAGTATTTTTGGAGATGGTTGACTGATAGCCAAAGGATAAAAAAACTTCAAACGAAAACAAATTACTTGTTTTGCACATCATTAAACTGATAGTTGATTGGGTACCATGGGAAACTTAGGCTTTACTGTGAACAAAAACGCGTATATATTTCACTTTTAAGAAGCACGCCCATGAGAACTGAATCTCTGGTGACAGTATCGAAAGAAACATTGTCACTTGAAGCCATCCAACAGGAAGACAACCTGTCTTTTACAACCAGTAACAAACATCTACTATTCCATGTGTAGCTAATCTGATGCAAGACCCCTACACTGAAAATGTCTCAAGAGACCATTCTACTGGGAGATAAGTGATGCAAGACAAACTTCTGTGAAAATAATATCTTAAAGACACCATTGCAAAGGGAGATAATCTAAGGCAAGACACATGAATGAAAACTGTCAAGAGAGACTATTCAAAGGGGAGATAACCTTATGCACTTCAACAAAAGCAAAAAATTCTCTCTAAAGAGATCCCATCAAGAGTTTTTGAACATGAGAGTAAAAACTCTCAAGAGGAAAAATATTGAGGAGTGCAATGTACATCTCTGACATTAGACAACTACAAATGGAAAAATGTGGATAACGCTTTGATAAAACTTTTTTTTCAATTTTTTCCGAGCCACAAATAACATTATAGAAAGTAGCATGATAGTAATGTGTGTAAGTTACATATAGTCCTACTAAGAAACAAAATCTGAATTGTGATTCTATTTAGTCAGTCATAATACTTACTTCCGGTAGAGCGCAAATATCGCATACATCAGAATAATAATTAGGATGAACATGAAGATAGCGAAGGCGACAAGAACCCACCAGAATGCTGACCATCCCTCCAGGTTACTGGTAGTGGAGGGTTCACATGGCTGGAAAACACACACAAAAACATGAAAAATAATCAGTTTTACTGCAAATGTAATGTATAACAGAAAGGTCATTAGTGACTTAGAACCATATGTAACCACAATAAGTGTCCCCAATAAGACTAAAGGTCTAGATTCTAGCTAATATTTCACTTGAACACAACATCCAGTTCTAAAAAGCTTGCTATATTTCTTCATAAACATGCCCACAGAGTAAGTACATTTGTCTTTGAATCCTTATAAGTAAGGGAATGAGCTTATTGAAATATAACCAGATAAATAATACACTTGTCTGATAACAACAGCAATAGGAAGGATGGACTTATTAGGATGTCTACCCCATTCCCCAACTTTTTTGTTCAGGGCTGCCAAGTTTGTAGATAAATATAAAGATCAGAATGACTTATTACCAAACAAAATTATTCAGATTAACAAGCTCGCATTTTCATTAAACATTTTTTAATATTTATCCAGACAGAATTATGTCCCTTGGTTGGCTTTAATTTAATATCCATCTCTGCTAATATGAGCAATCAGGATGAAAACTACTCTAATATAATGTCGTACTACAAATTGCTTTTGCAGTCAATAGTCAATAAAATCCATGTACAATCAGCATCTCTAATCAAAAATTGGACTATAACTTGTAATTTTATATGGAAGTTGGAAGTCCAGAAGATAAGTTTGGTGATGTTTCAAATGAAAAGATATTTTTGATTTAGAGAAATGGTTTCAGACGACTGACAAATGGCTCCATTCTGGACAAACAGGCACCAAGATTCAATATCTGTACTCCAGGCATGGTGAAAAATATAATTATCTCTAGACCAAATCTGAAATTCCTTAACCATGCAGAATTAGCAGACAAACGCATAGACGCATATATTCTGCCATATTGGGATAAGATTCTATTTTCAGTTTATCTAACTGATGAAAAAGACCTTGATGCAATAGAGTAATACGGTAAGTCTAAGTAAGTAATGCTTTGGTTTGTTTGTACAGACGAAAACCAATTACCGTAATTAGGCTACAATAAACTCTTAATCTGCTCTCGGGCGGTTTATATACATCATATCTTGTTTACATCATGTATAGCTCTACCATAGAGGGACTAAAAAACATTCTTCCTGAAGATAAAGATGCAATCAAGAAGTGAAAAAGAAATCAAATATCTAGCTGCTAATGGCTACCTCACAGAACAACAGATGGGAGGCCCATCGCATGCAATCACTAAGGCTAAGGAGTCTTGTCACGTCAGCACAGACTGGTAGGTTTCTAAGCTTCCTGAGAAATACAAACCACCAGAAAATGGAAGCATCAGACCATGTCACCCTACTAGGGCCCCAAGTCAACAGAACTAATCAAATCCATTGACAGAATTAGAGCATATCATGGTACAGCTCTCAGGCTGGGAAGAAGCGTGGGTTGTGGGATATTGTAATGACATACTGTTCATATTACGTATATTGATTTATACATTGTTTTTATGTTTTTTTCTTATTAGAATCATCGAAAACATAATCTAATTATATTCTTGATTAAAACTGATGACATTGATGACAGAAAATAAGAATATTTAATTATAATTCGATGGATTTTTAAGAACAGTACTGGTATGTTTCATTAGCTTATTTTCATGATTTTGAAATTATCAATGTATTTAAAAAAAAAAAAACCATGGTATCATGACATCTATTTTCATAAAGCATTTCGTGATAAAAATTGAATTTTGATTGCAACAAAACCTTGCTTTATTAGGCAGAATATGGTATCAATATAACTGTAAAAGCCAATTTGTTTCCAAGATTTATTGGAGAAATCAATAAGAAAATTTCCTGAAATATGTCATCACAATATCAAAAGCATTTCTGATAACAATATCATGCATGCCTGACTTTGTACACAGAGTGAAATCAGAAACCTTATTTTGGATAAGATGGTCAATTAAACAGAGACAAAATTGACAGCAGCATACATATTCCGTATTTTCTGTTGCGTCATATGTAGACTTATCGTTGAATTACTATGATCAAGATGAAAAATAACCTGAGTGAATATTTAGAGTTATCATGACAGTGTAATTATCTCAATTATGTAACTATTATCACGATTATTTATTACACAATCAAAACTGTCTGAAAAGGTCACTGCAATTGGCCTTTATAAAGAGGTTCACTTAGAACAATTTGAATTATATTTGGGACACTAAACAAGTGACCTTTACAGACAAGTATTCTTTTATAGAAAGGTGACCTTTATAGACAGGTATTTGCAATATAATGTACAGGTGATCTCTAAGGCAGGTGAAGAAATACCATGATGTGCTTCAATTATTTTGTTTTGAATTTCCTTTCATTTGATTTTTTAAAATCTCCTATTTTTCTGTTTTTTGTTTCTGGTATTTTTTTTTTGGTCATCAAACTGTCAACATTTAATGCTTAGCTATATCAGAGGTAATGTATGACCTAGTTAATTGTTTTGGTAAAATTATAATAATTCTGATGAAAATTGTCAACGGTTTTTTCTAGAAAACTTGTAGGATTTCCCTCAATGGGTACCTGGGTATGTGTGATATATTTTTACAATGAAAACCTACCCCAATCTCCCCAAAGCCATATTGACGAATGATGCTATCTCTTGTCTCCAGCATCACCTGTCCATCATAAGCATCCAATACTTTGTCATTTTGGATGACCAACATACACACATCAGTCCTATAAATAGAAAAATATCAATGATCATTTAATGTGAGAAAACATGAAAAAGAAATATATAGTCAGAAAGACAGGGAAACACTCTGGTTAATTAGAAAGAAAGATGTGAAAATGATTCCCCAAAATAAAACATCAAAAATGCAGAAAGCATGCAGGTAAAATAATCAGGAAAGTTTTCACTGTTATAATCATTTTTGCAAATGATTCATGCACATCTCATAATCATAGCTTAATCCAATGGATCTGAATACATGGAGAGACCCATGGACCTAAACATCTGAACAAATCTGAAGCTACATCCATATCTTAGGTAAAAGATGTTTTGTTTGTAAGCAAACAATATCTACTGGTAATATCGATTTCAATCTCTGTTCTGAGAATCAAATCACTACAAGTAAAATTCCTTTTAGAGCTCACCCTCCAGACCCCCAGAAATCAGACTCTTACATGGAAGTAAATATTCTGATCCCCACCTTGTAAGAATGCTTTAACCAAATATGGTAAAATCCCTATAAAGCATTTCAGAGAAGTCAGTGGACACTATTTGGCCATCCCATCCTCCAGCTCCCAGGGGAGTAGCTGAGTAGAAATTCTGATCCTAAACTTGTAAATATCATTTCTGCCAAGGGTAAGTCAAAGAAGTTTGTAATTGTTAACCCATTCAACATCTCAAAAGGACAGCACTAATGCTGAGAATAAATTTGGGCTCCTTCATGTAGATTGATCATTTCTGACAAATTTTGTCAATATCAGTTCAGCTATTTTGAAGAAGAAGTTGAAAATGCTTACTGATGACATACATCCAATGAAAAAGCATGATTACAATAGGTAACTGTAACAAGTGGCCAAAAAAGAGAACAGGACTTCCTTCTTAGTGATACAAATCTGACACAAAACACAAAACACAAAACAAAGTACAGTAAAATCTGACATAATGAACATCACCTAAAGCTTGATCATTGTCAGTGTCAGTAATCCTGACTTTACTGGTGCCAATAAAAACCTAATCATCAGTGTCAGTGATCCTGACTTTACTGATGCCAATAAAAACTTAACCATTAGTGTCAATGATCCTGACTTTACTCACGCCCAAATAACACTTTATGGTTCTTATGACAGCACTGATAGAATTGACTTTTTTGTAACCTCTATGAAGCAAATCTGAATAATTCAGTCATATGGGAATGAATGTATGTGTTGTAAGGTTGAGAAACCTATTTAAACAAATTATTTAATCATTCAGGACTATATGCAAGAGGATGCAAGTCAGCAAAACCTGTTGAGTCCTTGCGCAGCTGTTATTCAATATAAAATGTTGATAGAGTGAACTCCCTTTACATCTGTGACTCCATTTCAATAATTCGATAGAGTAAGGTTACTCAGTTTCTGTTTTCAACATACTTTGATGGTATTGTTGCTCCAGATGAATCCTTGTGATATCGTATCTGTGTCTGTTGAAATGTTATCAATCCAGCTGCATTTAAATCGCTGCAAAGTACAAGTCATTTATAATGAATCTTTTTCATCCAATTCATACTAAGAACAGTTAGTTTGTAAAATAATTCAGCTGATTAAAGTTGTAGAAGTCTTACAACAGATTTTTTTCTTATTAATTAGTTGCATTGATTGAGGGGGAATAACTCTTATTCCAGATCTGAATTTTGACTCTACTTACTTAATCATGTTGGTAACTTTGTCTGCGATGTCCACATTGCCTGCTGAATCTATCACAACACGTATTTGGGTAACTTCTTCAGCAATGTATACCTGGAAGAAAATGGAATCATTCTAGTTTTTACAAGATGATATCATTACCAAGAAGAACTGAAAGCCAATTGAGCAATTCACGCTTGTTGTAGAGTCCAGGGTTTGTCAGCTCTATCTCAAAATCAGGGAGTGGGCTGATTTTGTAAACAGTAAACTCCATCATTTTGTCAAATTACAAGGAAAAAATGGTTTAATTATGAATCAGAAAACAATTTATTGAAAGCATGTCATCAATATTTTAACAAGGACAAATGCATCAAAGCCAATCTGACACCCTGTGAGGCACAATGCATTGGTCAAATAAACCTTTCTTATCCGACACCGGCAATTATTGTTGACATCAGAAAAGCAAAGACTTTTTTGCTAGTTTTCTACTGAATATTTAAGAATTACTTTGCTATAGCTTCATATGCAGATAGTACTATCACTTTTCTACATATGTTTTCATAGATTACCATACAATATGGCTGATATACCTTAATCTGTGTCGTATCATACATTGTTGAGTCAAAACCGTCTTCAGCACGAACGGAAATGAGAAAGTAACCTGTTGTGAATGCCTTATATGTAGGGAAGTTGACAGTCACAAGTCCAGTATCTGGGTTGATATTGAAAGCCCCATATATATTAATCCTTCGTCCAGGCTTTTCATATATTATCCCTGTGATGGAATAACGCACTCTGTTGAAGAAAGAAGAGTCGGGGTCTACTGCTCGCAGCTGAGTGACTGTCTCCTGTGCTGGTAATTCAAATATTGCTGAAAGAAAATGGGAAATTTTATCAACCTTTGTTTTTATTTTTATTTTTTACATCATTAGTTCAGATACAGCAGACATTAATAACAAATCAGAGAACATCCTCTGCTTAGGGAAACAAAGAATAACTTCTCATGTGTTTTTTTTCTTTTCCTTTTTTTCTGTTTTAGATATTAGTAGATATATTTCTTAAATATTTTAAATGACAAAACAAACAAACAAAAAATCAATCATAATTTTAACAAATGCTTTTATAAATAAAGCCATACTGCATGAAAGAGGATAAGAAATGATAACCTTGTTAACAAAACAACTTCAAAAACTTCAAAGTTTTTCAATGCCATTCTGAAATTTAATAAGAAGTTTTTTTAATGGCTCTTAATCTTCAAAGCATTGCGTTCTAATAAATAATTTTTGATACCCAGAAATTGATGTTTTTGTGAATAATGAACTCCATATTAATAAGTAGGAATGTTGAAACATCATGTTTTATTGTTAATTCAAGTAGAGCAGAATCCATCTACTGTGATATCTGACATGATATCTAACTTATCACATTTTATCCATATATCAAATATTCCCTGCATTATTTTTAAAAATATTGGTTCTTATTGTTTGACAAAATATAAAAATTTTTATAAGACATTATTTTATTAAAATGAAGTTTTCTAAAATGTAACCCCTAAGGTATCTACAGGTAAAACTTGCATAATTTACCAATAGTTGTCATGGCAACCATCAAAATTACACATCAAATCTAAATAAAAAATGTGTTATGTACCTGTAAAAATGTCCTTGGTTAGGAAAACAGGCCCGTTGTCATTGTCATCAAGAATAACAACATCTACTTTCTGAACAGTGTCATCTGTTGCACGTTTTCTCCGCCCAATCGAGGAAGGTCTAGCTTCGACACAGATACGGTATGAGGGCAATTGTTCACGATTCAAAGCTACAGTTGTTGTGATTACTCCTGTGGTTGGGTTCAGACTAAATGGCCCAGTGGCATTAGGGAAACCTGTAGTAAAAAAAAAGTAATTTTCAGCCAACCTGAGAAAAAGGGACCGTGGATAAAAGATGATCACAGAGTTGTTAAGATTTATTAATTAGCCTTTCAAGACATGAATTTTTCATCTCATTTTTTTTTTATCAAATTCTGATGGTCACTGCATTTATCAAGGATAAAACTGCTCTCTGCATCTGACCATCAATGGATCTTGTTGAAATCCTTCTCAGGAAATTCATTTTAACCTTCAGACAAAACAGACAAAGAAAAATCTTGTATATCGAGAACTTACATGAGGTGTCATCATAACTAAAGCTGTATGTGATGAAGTTATTGGGCGCAATATCTAAATCACATGCTTCAGCACGATAAACAAAAGCTGGGGCAGCCAGATTCTCGCGTACGTTCACCGTCACTAATTCCAGATACTGAAATCAAATACACAAAAGATTTCTCTCATTAAAGTGAATTGAGAGTTCAATAAAAATTATTAAACAGGTAAATTCGGGCAAAGATTCACATTTCTGACAAAAATTTCAGTTTCATAATGTATGTATTATTTTTCATTTTTTTCCCTCTATCATCTAATGCAAATAAATACAGCATGGGCAATTTATCTCGAGTCAATATTATCATCAACTAATCCATTAATTAGTCATTAATATTCTTAATGATAAGGTGAGTCATTAAAATTACTTGGAGTGGTCATTAAAAATATTAAAGCATAGGAGTGCTCATAAAAATTACTTGGGATTGATCATTAGAAATACTAAATAGTAGTGGTCATTAAAAGATACTTGGACCAGTCAAAATACTCTGAAGGGCCGTTAGAAATCTCAGGAGTGGTCATTAAACATACTAGGAATGATGATTTACCATACAAGTGAACTTACTGTTTTATCTGGACAATCCCTGAATGATGGAAGGTTATCATTGACATCAAGCACTCTCACTGTTAGACGGCGTGTTCCTTGGAGAGTCGTATTCAACGAATCAGTTGCAAGAATGATCAACTGTTCAAAAAATGACATATCATTATTTCTTACACACAGAAAAATGACATATCATTATTTCTTACACACAGAAAAATGACATATCATTATTTCTTACACACAGAAAAATAAAAATTCCAAATTTCTAATAACTTTTAAAAGAATATATAGTAATTGAATCACATCGCCTTTTGCCAATGACATTTTGACATTACATCAACAGCCTACTTGGAACCAATCTAACTTTTCAATAAGTAAAGCACAACCAACAAGTGGTGGCCATCTTGAATGTACGAACAAGTGATGGTTTGTTTGTTGACTACATGTTTTCTGTCGCCATGACGCTTTCTATCACTAGATGTTGCCTCACTGACAAATGGCAGTATTTTAAATAGTTGGAAATCCATGTATGTATATTAATGAGGTTGGAGTCTAATGGTTTATGAAAATCCTTTCACTGGCTTTAGGGAAAGAAATAATACTACGACATGCATTAAGGTGACCAACTTGAACACCTGATCAGGCTCAAAATTGCGGAGCACGGCTACCAAGGACCAATATGTTGTTTAGGTTTACAGAACATCCATACTACAATTTTTGAATAAAGAAAAATAGAAATACTTACATCATAAACGTCCTTGACCTCGCGATCAATTTCCCCAACCACAGTGATATGTCCATCTGCTGTGATGGCAAATTTATCTAAGTCTTGGCTATTAGACAGAAAACTGAAAATGATCCCTGCGCCCGGGGTACGAGGCGATGCTGACGCATTAAATATGGATGTAAAGCGTGGTGTACCCTGAAACAGACATATCAACGAGCAAATTTAAAACTTTGATATTTCATTCAAATAATTGTCATAGCCTGTTTATTTTTAAGTGTTTATTGGCCCTCGTGATGATAAGTTACATAAATACTGTTAAGTTACGTTCATCCATTCACAACCTCCAATGTTCAAATCAAATTTGGCTCCATATCAACATTGCTGTGGTAAAACTACGACAGCTAGAAAACATGCTCAAAATTTGATCTTTAAGTGAACTTACAATAGCAATAACAGGCTAGACTAAATATACAAGATTATAAGGGGAAAGGTCATTTCATATTCAAATACTTCGAAAAACTTTTCAAGTTGAAGTGAGATAAAAATGCCCATCCAGCCAGAAAATTAGTTTAAGGTGTTTTATGTTACTGTGTTATTAACTACAAAACATCAATAAATCCACATCTATGCATAGAAGTATCATTTTTTGATAAATTTCTGGAAGTTGCAAAATGTGACCTATGAACCTTTAACCATTACCGACAACCACTTCAGTAGGACAAGGTATAGAATTTGGTCTTATGATACTATGGGGATAAATATTAATATGTTGAGAAGTTCTAAGGATATGATTCCTAGGATACGATTCTTTGGATATGATAATATTGATTTTGAGTAGCAAGTGATGCGATGAGTGAGGATGCCAACGAACAGATATGAGAAACAGTAAGTGTCCCTTCTCCCACTAAAATAGTGAGGGCATGAGAAACAATAAGTGTCTCCCCCCCCCCCTCCCCCTCCTAAAAATGATGGGAGCATTTTAAAATTACCTCTAATATATTAATAGATTCTCCTATTCCTGGACTGAACCAGACAGGTTGACCGTTGTCCAGTTGTCCACTGCTCACATTGATGTAGACATTTGCATAAGAGAACTGAAACGGATTCCCGTTATCTCTTGCCATGACTTGGGCATAGAAAGAACCCAAGACTGATGCCCCATCGAGTGAAGTCCTCGCAAACACAAATCCAGAATTGGAGATGTAGAAATACTTTGTCACTTTGAAATGGAAATAAATAAACAAAAATAAGTAAAAAACATATTAATTAACTGGTGTTGACAGTAAAATGTCAGGTACTTGTAGAATTACAATGCAACTGAACGGAGCCAACTAAATAAAATAATGGCAAAATTTCAATGGTATTAGCACCACTGTGTAAAGTAAGTTGTAATTTTCACATTTATACTAAACTATTCTCTATATTTATATTCTATTAATTTCAAATGAAGCCCACATAGTTTGGGCAAAACCGGTCGACAAGATGAATAAACCTACCACCAACTTATCCTCAGCTTGTTACAGTTGATACTTGTGTTGTTAATTTCATTAATGTTGTTTCTTTACCCAGTAAAACTTATTGATGACAAGACAGTGTATTGTTTTGATCACATGACAAACTGTCTATTGTTCTAAAGATAGACATCTATGAGTACCTTTATCATCGGGATTGACAAATGAGTAGGAGACTTGTCCATTACTGCCACTGTCAGCATCGGTAGCCGATACTTGGCCTATCTGATTTGTCCCACCAAATGTTTCCACGGTGAAGAAATAGTAATTGTCTTTATCAAATAGAGGTTTGTTATCATTATTATCCCTCAGTCTGATGGTCAACTGCAATGAAATATAAAATACTATGAATAAAACATTCAACATGATGTTTTAAATCAAGAATTTATTTAAAATATACCAAAAAAAATCTGTCTACTCCAATATCATTTTGATGAGATAGTCTAAATATTTCTGTTCAATCTAACACATCATGTTTCTACCACAATACATTGTTTGAATATTTTAGTTGTTTACCAGATATTGGTACACTACTAAAGGAATTAAACCTTCTAAAGTTTGAGAAAATTACTTTTAGTTTAAATTACCAGGTTGATAAAGAAGACCAACAGGAAAGTTTTGCTCACGATATGATTCAAGTAACTACATAATTTTACAGTAACATAAAGAGAAAAGAAGGACAAGGTTTTTTCCAACATGACTGCAGCTACAGAATATAGGACCTCAATAAATGATATCATTCCATAGTTTGTAATACTTTATCTCATGATATCAGGAAATAGCGAGGTGTTGTTGCATGACGATTTGTTAGCTTTCAAGTTATCATCCTGGGACTTAGCCTCAACAAATGTGATGGGCCTTGAGTTCAATCCTTGTAGCATTAGCAAATTCATCTCAAAATGTCCAGGTAGTATATATATATGGTTACAAAAATGCATTTCAATTGTTTTGGTATATTGTAATCAATCTGATTTTTTGTTTTAAAAAAGAAATTTCAAAATAAAGAAGTACCTGTAAATATGTATTAAAAATATCATAATTCCACAGAAAGAAACAGACAACGTTGAGTAAACTATTAGGCTTGACAAAGGCAGTAAATATCTTAATAAGAATGATAATGATATTTAACAATTAGTGATCACAATTTAGATAAATTTGAGAAGTAAATACCTTAACAGATGTTTCCTTGTAAACATCAAACCGGTTGACATCTGGATTATCACGAGCAGTTAGGACGAGATTATATTGCGGAGTGGTCTCATAGTCGAGGACAGTACCTTCAGATACCACAATTTTTCCCTGTGGAAATAAAGACAGAAAGTATTTCAAATACTGTAGTATCTGGTACATGTACCAATATTAAACTTTTTAAACCATTCAACATTTCTGAGAATCTGACACACTTATTTCTTATTGAAACTCCAGAATAATTATCGCTCTGAATTACTTTCCATAGATAAAACGGCCACTTCAAATACATTTATTATCTTTAATTAAGAATATTATATTTAGGTTCCAATTTGTTAACTAAAATTTAATAAGATTACATTTTACTTCAAAATGGTAAAATTTTTCATATCTTTCTGAACTGTATAGTTATTCAAACTCAAAGATAAGTATCATCATTTTAACAAAGAATTTGGTGCAAGTTTGGCATTATCAGTACACACATCAGAACAACTATATCTAAGGTAGGATAGTAAATCTAGCAATAACTTAGCCTCTGGTTGAGTAACGACAACTCTGTCTTAGGTTGATAGCAAAGGCTAAGTTGTTGGTTGGGGAGCAATGACTTTGTCTTAGGTTGGGTAGCAATGTCTCTGTCTAAGGTTGGGTTGATGTGGCTAAGTCTAAGGTTGGGTAGCAATGGCTTGGTCTAAGGTTGGGTAGCAATGGCTTGGTCTAAGGTTGGGCTGATGTGGCTAAGTCTAAGGTTGGGTAGATGTGGCTAAGTCTTAGGTTGGGTAGCAATGGCTTTGTCTAAGGTTGGGTTGATGTGGCTAAGTCTAAGGTTGGGTAGCAATGTCTAAGGTTGGGTTGATGTGGCTAAGTCTAAGGTTGGGTAGCAATGGCTTGGTCTAAGGTTGGGTAGCAATGGCTTGGTCTAAGGTTGGGTAGCAATGGCTTGGTCTAAGGTTGGGTAGCAATGGCTTGGTCTAAGGTTGGGTAGCAATGGCTTGGTCTAAGGTTGGGTAGCAATGGCTTGGTCTAAGGTTGGGTAGCAATGGCTTGGTCTAAGGTTGGGTTGATGTGGCTAAGTCTAAGGTTGGGTAGCAATGTCTCTGTCTAAGGTTTGGTAGATGTCACAAAGTCTAAGGTTGGGTAGCAATGGCTTGGTCTAAGGTTGGGTAGCAATGGCTTGGTCTAAGGTTGGGTAGCAATGGCTTGGTCTTAGGATTGGTAGCTATAAGATTGGATTTCAATGACACAGTCTTAGGTTTAATAGCAATATTTTAGTCTTAGGTTGAGTAACAATGACTCAGTCTCAGGATGAGTAACAAGGACTCAGTCCAAGGTTGGGTAACAATGACTCAGTCCAAGGTTGGGTAACAATGACTCAGTCCAAGGTTGTGTAACAATGACTCTGTCTTAGGTTGAGTAACAATGACTCAGTCTTAGGTTAGGTAACAATGACTCAGTCTTAGGTTGGGTAACAATGACTCAGTCTTAGGTTGGGTAACAATGACTCAGTCTAAGGTTGGGTAACAATGACTCAGTCCAAAGTTGGGTAACAATGACTCAGTCTTAGGTTGAGTAACAATGACTCAGTCTTAGGTTAGGTAACAATGACTCAGTCTTAGGTTGGGAACAATGACTCAGTCTTAGGTTGGGAAACAATGACTCAGTCTTAGGTTGAGTAACAATGACTCAGTCTTAGGTTGGGTAACAATGACTCAGTATTAGGTTGGGTAACAATGACTCAGTATTAGGTTAGGTAACAATGACTCAGTCTTAGGTTGGGAACAATGACTCAGTCTTAGGTTGGGTAACAATGACTCAGTCTTAGGTTGAGTAACAAGTCTTAGGTAACAATGACTCAGTCTAATCCAAAGTTGGGTAACAAATAGTCTTTTAACAATGAGTCTTAGGTTAGGTAACAATGACTCAGTCTTAGGTTGGGAACAATGACTCAGTCTTAGGTTGGGAAACAATGACTCAGTCTTAGGTTGGGTAACAATGACTCAGTATTAGGTTGGGTAACAATGACTCAGTCTTAGGTTAGGTAACAATGACTCAGTCTTAGGTTGGGTAACAATGACTCAGTCCAAGGTTGTGTAACAATGACTCTGTCTTAGGTTGAGTAACAATGACTCAGTCCAAGGTTGGGTAACAATGACTCAGTCCAAGGTTGTGTAACAATGACTCTGTCTTAGGTTGAGTAACAATGACTCAGTCTAAGGTTGGGTAACAATGACTCAGTCCAAAGTTGGGTAACAATGACTCAGTCTTAGGTTGAGTAACAATGACTCTGTCTTAGGTCCAAAGGTAACAATGACTCCAAGGTTGTGTAACAATGACTCTGTCTTAGGTTGGATAACAATGACTCAGTCCAAGGTTGTGTAACAATGACTCTGTCTTAGGTTGAGTAACAATGACTCAGTCTTAGGTTGAGTAACAATGACTCAGTCTTAGGTTGAGTAACAATGACTCAGTCTAAGGTTGGGTAACAATGACTCTGTCTTAGGTTGGATAACAATGACTCAGTCCAAAGTTGCGTAACAATGACTCAGTCCAAGGTTGTGTAACAATGACTCTGTCTTAGGTTGAGTAACAATGACTCAGTCTTAGGTTGGGTAACAATGACTCAGTCCTAGGTTGGGTAACAATGACTCAGTCCTAGGTTGGGTAACAATGACTAAGTTTTTACAGACCAAACTTGTATTAATTTGATTTCAATGTAAGCAGCTTTAGTTTTAATCTTAACAAAACTCAAATATCACTTAACACAAGTTATAAAACAAATTAAACAAAATTAAAATTTATATTGCATGTGTGATTTGAAAAAGCATTTCACAAATTTGTTTTGTTAAAGGCTAAAACTTCACAAAAAAATTGATATTCCAAAGGATTACTTGGACCAATAAATTCATTTTAGAATTAATACACTGTAAATAATTCATATTAGAAAAAAATATAAAATATTATATGTGGCTATGCAAAAACAGCATTTGGACATTGAACATAATTTGTACCTATTCTTTGGTTAAAAACATGACAGGCAGATTGAACTGTAGAACTATAGAAGACAGCTAGCTACTACACATACCAAAAGGCCCAGAGGGCCTAAATCATCACCTAAATGGACTTATAAACAGAAACAGTTGGAATGAATGTGTAGAGAGAAGAGAAAATCAGAAATGCTATTTATACAGGGACAGAGTAGTTTTACTTCATCTCCATGAAGAGTATTTGATTCTACCATATTTGGGTATTGAAAAGACGAGTTTTGAAATTTCAGTCAATATGGCCTTTTTGACCCCGCCGATCAAGCCTCTATGGATCAGCCAGTATCTAACTAAATTTGATCTATTTCCAATAGAAAATAAACAAATTATGCTCATAAATGTAATTCTCCTATATGAACTTTAACCCCTCCCCAGAGAAAAATGTGAGGCCCTAGGGTAATGAAAGTTACAATTTTGGTAAAGTACTTTAAGAAACTTCTATCCATGGGAGTATTTGAATTTTGTATTGAGAAGAAGATTTTTGAAATTTCAATCAATTTGACCCTTTTTGGCCCCATCCCTCAGGCCCCTGGGGGAGGGAAGTCCATATAGTTTATAATTTTGGTTAGCTGTTAGCCATGGAAGGTTACTGTTCAGTTTCATTGAAATCAGTCCAGGGATTTTCCGAAAGAAGTTGAAAATGTGAAAAGTTTATGGATGCATGACAGACAGGGCTGGACAAAAGGGTATCACCATAGGTCATCATCAGACTTTGTCTCAGCTGACCAAAAAACCTGATTCTTACATGAAGCATGATTATGGAGATGGAGGTTATCAATTGGTTAGGCTTAAACAAGGTCAAAGTTTATAGTTCACTTAATCTCCAAGAGTCAAGGTCGAAGAAAATTACACTTGTTACAAAGACATCTTATAAGAAAATTCTATTAATAGAAAAGAAAAAAACAACAATGTGACATTCATTTTCAGTTTATACTCATTCAATGACATTAAATCCTCACCAGGTTTCATGCAAACTCCTCGTTTCATTGTGCAAATCTAAACCACTATTTTTAGCCCAACTATTCCTAAACCAATGACCTTGATCTTCTAACTACAAGATAAGCCAAAGCAAATTTCTTTATCGCTTTTTTCAGCATTTAAATCATGTAGGTGATTTCATTTATTATCCTGATTCAGCGACCCATACTTTATCAATACATGTTAAAAAATACCTGCAAGAGAAATTACATACTCTTTAAAAATATCTAACATCTACAGCCGAAGCTCATGCAGCAAAAATATCAAGCAAAAAGGCAGGGGAGGTAAGGATCAATTTAAAATCTGTCAAATTACTTACTGTGGCACTTCTCTGAAAGAATGGAGAAAAAACAAAGAAAAGTAAGCAGAGAGTTATGTGCTCATGAGACCAAGTTCCCACAGAAACCAGATGCTGGTGTCATGTGACGTGTGCAAACAGTCTCAGACAAAGGAGAGTTCCAAGCTGGTGTCACACAATATATATATAAACAAAACATTTACAATACGTAGCCATATCAATAACAGTCACATAATAGATAAACTATATATGAATATACATTTACTAGCATATTTGGAACAGAAAACCATACCATACATGGATCGAAAAAAAAAAAAACACAAACAAGACTCTACTCTGGATTATATACAAACATACAAAATAGAAACATATAATATACAAACATACCATATATGGACAAAACATTCATACATATATTTGGGAACAAGACAAACATACCATATATGGACAAAACATTCATACATATATTTGGAAATAAGACAAACATACCATATATGGACAAAACATTCATACATATATTTGGGAACAAGACAAACATACCATATATGGACAAAACATTCATACATATATTTGGGAACAAGACAAACATACCATATATAGACAAAACATTCATACATATATTTGGAAACAAGACAAACATACCATATATGGACAAAACATTCATACATATATTTGGGAACAAGACAAACATACCATATATGGACAAAACATTCATACATATATTTGGGAACAAGACAAACATACCATATATGGACAAAACATTCATACATATATTTGGAAACAAGACAAACATACCATATATGGACAAAACATTCATACATATATTTGGGAACAAGACAAACATACCATATATGGACAAAACATTCATACATATATTTGGGAACAAGACAAACATACCATATATGGACAAAACATTCATACATATATTTGGGAACAAGACAAACATACCATATATGGACAAAACATTCATACATATATTTGGGAACAAGACAAACATACCATATATGGACAAAACATTCATACATATATTTGGGAACAAGACAAACATACCATATATGGACAAAACATTCATACATATATTTGGGAACAAGACAAACATACCATATATGATCATAACACAAAGACATTTCATATTTGGGAACAAAACAATGTGCTATATATGGAGAAAACACAAAAAGCATTCCATATTGTAAACAAGACAAATGTACCATATATTGACACAAGATAAAAACACTGTATTTGGGTACATGTACAAACCATAACTGGACACAATGCACAATACCATTCACAAACACAGTAACAAACATGCCATATATGTATATATCAGAATGACACCATACCAAATATTCTGATTATCTAGGGAAGTTGTTAACTGTTTTAGTGTAAGAGAAGATTGCACAACTTGTTGTCTGGATCAAATTTACACACATGTAGTATTGATAGGTGTCATCATCTTTACAGAAAAGCAAAGCTTTATTTTTCATTTTCACTTTTAAATTGTCAGCTTAAATTCCACTGGTTATTTGGTTTAAAATCAACCTTAACACTTAAATAATTAAGTTAGGATAAAACCCCACAAAACTACCATCTTCATTACCATCTCTTCCCACAATTATAAAAAACAGATATTTTCTTTTTTCATTTTATTTATTTTATTTCATATTATTATGTTCTTTTACTTTAGGTCAATTATTTGTAAAAAATTTTTTTTCAAAATTTGTCCTTTTCACATCATCTGATTGTCCAATTTTACTTCAATATATCCTCTTATTTATGGTCATAAAAACCGTTATGACAACAAAACTTAAATAATGATAAAATTCATGGCCCAAGATCACATATTCCTAAATTTAATCACAATTAAATCTTGAATGAAGTAGATCAATTTTCTGAGAAAAAAAATCTGTACATAATTTTACTTTATCAAAATGAAACAAGAAAATGTTTGAACTTTAAATTAATAAAATTAAGTTTAATTTTGATGAAGCAGTTTTACTTAACTCTGTTTTCCGTTTATCCTAACGTGAAAGAGTCAAACATGTGGTCATTCCAGATATAATTATATACTGTCTGAATCCAAATCTCTTATACATGCTAATGTGACAGGAACTGAAATATTAGATATAAGTGCCACGGAAATTTTTACAAACAGAATTAAACAGAAATGCAGATTAATTTTATCATTCTACTACTAATAAGCATTTCAACTGCCATGAAAAAATATAAAAGATTAAAAAAGCAAAAACACAAATAAAAAATCTATTTTCAAAAACAATTAAAAAAAATAACACAAAATTGTATTCTAATGCATGTGCTTGAAAAATCTCATTTATGAAATTATGATGTAGTCTTATCTGACAAAAATACAGAGAAATTCCACTTTACCCCAGAAGTTTGCTTCATTCTTATTTCATACATAACAGTCTTTAGATGAGCACTCAAGTTACTTAAAACTAGATTTTGATTTGTAGTCTTAAATGAAACAAAATGATGGAACTGTTCAAAGACTTAAACAAACTTTAAAAATGTTTACAGATTTATAAAGTTTTAAGTTTTCATTCAGTTGAATGCAGAAGTAACAGGTATGATGCAGATGTTGTAATGTGGCTATCTGCTCAACATGCAACAATGTCTGCTCTTCAGAGGAATAAGTTTAACAAGTAATTCAGTGAGTTGGTAAATAAGTTCACAAGTGAATAAGTCAACAAGTTAACAAGTAAAAAGTGATTTACAAGTTTAAAATTAAAAATTTAATTGCTGTTTATTTCTAAATTTATCAATTAACTGGATTCATTATGATTAGTTCTGTTGAATTATCAGTCACTCTCTGCCATGAAGTATTGAACCTTTTCTGAGTTTGACCTCCAGTGTACTGGTGGACATGGGTTTAATTTCCAGGATTAATTGTGTCAGGTTTTTATAACAGGGCTTTGTTTATCTTTATCAGTATAATGTTACATGCTGGCATTTTACAAGAAAAACAAACAACAGTTAGAGAAATACTTTTTGAATTTTGCGGGAAATTTTTTTTTTGAAATTTATTAAAATTGTTTAATATCTTACCAAATGAGATACTACAACTTAGATTCCAGTCCAATAACTTTTTGGTAGATGTTGAAAATGATATTATGATAAATTGGATTATTTTATTCAGATGTGAAATATTTTATGAATAATGATCTCAAAATGTTTTATTGGTTTCTATCTCTAGAAAATAACAAAAAAAATTGTTCATGCTTTTAAAATATTGTCTTAATAACTTATTATTTGCATTTAAAACTAAAATAAAATGTTCTTTGATCTTAATCCACATATCAAGGTACAACTATGAATCACTAAGCTACCAAGTGACTACTTAAGTTTGTACTCAACTGAGTTTTACTTGTAAATTTATCTGTGACAAGTTTAATTCAGATTGAACCCACGACCCTAAAAACTTAAGAATGCTTTTTTTCTCACTAAGCTATCGTAAAACAATGACTTAGATTCCGATTACTATCTGGTTTTGAATTGTAATTAGTAAAAACCTAAGAAAATCACTCTAACATCTATAAAGTCATTATTACAGAAAATTAAAATGTGTAGAAGAGGATATTCAAAGTGGATACAAACTTTACTGTTATTATGTACAATAATTCACCAAAAGCGTGGTAAAGTCTACAGAGCAAAATCATAACAACACACACACCCATCAGAGTGAAACCAGACACGCTAGTACAAAACAAAATGCAGAATGATCAAAACTTCACTTACCATGTTGTTTCCCTGAAAATATACAAAAGCACCACAATTAAAAAGAATCCAATGGTTCTTAATCAATTTCAATAAACTTGATCAAATAATTCACTTAAAAGACACAGTCAAGGATTAATTACAAATGATTGCTTTACGTGTTTTAATTTCAAAGTAATTTCTAATGACGTATAATCAAATTCTTTGGAAATATACCTTTTCTTTAATTCAACTTGACCTTATATTTGTTAATACCCTTTGTGAAATACAAAAATAAAATACTGACACAACCACAAACTCCACGAAGAACTAGTTTGTTTAAAAGACAAATGGAAAAACACATGAACAATTTTTGAAAGGGGAGGTAACTCCATGGATTGGATGCAAAAAAACACTTACCACCATGAAGATGGTGAAGTGGCTGGCATTGGTGCCAGTTATACTGAAGGAGATGTTAGCATTACTGCTACTGTCGGCATCGTTGGCGACCACATTACCAATCTCCTGTGGATACTGTTTCCCTTCAGAAACAGTAAATGTGTAATTCTGAAAACAAAAAATAAATCAGTATCAAATAACGGAATTTTAAGGATGACATTTTTTTTAACCAGTAAGCCAGTGTAGACAGAAAACATGTATATCAACATCCTGACTTTTGATGAGGTCTATTGATAGTTTATCTACTGTAATATTCCAAACATTACCACTGCATGATATTTACACTACATGTCCTAAGTCACAAATTTTCTGGACGACTGCAGCTAAAATATTGCAGGTTCAACCGGTCAAATTTTCAAAATTTAACAAAATAATTATTACATGAAATATTAACAGAATGACTTGACAAAAATTCAATATGGCTACTCGCTCACACAAATATTTTGTGTCAGACCCTATTTCATACAGCACAAATAAACGTAGCTTTTAACTTACCGATTGTGAAAATTGTGGAGCGTTGTCGTTGATGTCTTGGATTTGGAAGACTATATTGGCAATTGAAGAGAGTCCCTCTGGAGACGTTGCTTTCACTGTCAACGTCAGAATCTTTCTATCTAAGGTCTCGTAATCAATCTCTCTGTTTGCACGGACTTTTCCTGAAAAACATCATTAAAACATGTATAGAAAGAAGATGTTTTCTTACAAGGGAAGCTTTCAGTTTAGCTCACCTCAGATGCTTCCGTTATTTATTCTATCTCATTCATAATTTAAAAAAAGAATATTTCTCCTTGAGAAAGAGCAACATGTTTGAGTAAGTCTCTATATATACACATTTCTCACTACTAGAGTGTGAATGAGCACTATTTCCCAGAGTTTCAATTTTTTTCAAAACTTTGGTAAGTTTAATGTAGCAGATATTGATGTACCTGTTACAACTAGTTAACTAGTACATGTCTATAAGACATATCCCTCCCCCAATCTATAGATACAATACAGTAAAATGAACTAAGACCCTAATATTTTGATATTTTCTCCACATTGTTTTGAAGTAGAAAATAATTAGATGTGTTGAGAAGGTGGACATGGGTTTAAACTATATGTCTCCCCCCTCCCCCTCCCATGATCTTTTTTTTCCTTTTTTTGTTTGTTTAAATCTTAAAATGGTATATTGTATTTTGCATAAACAAGTGTGATGTGTGTGTGACTGTTCCATACCAAACAGTTAGGTGCGACCATTTAACATAACAGCTCACCTGTTGTTCGTTCAACAGTGAAATAATCATCGGGGTCAGTTCCTGGCACCTCTTGGTAATCGGTAACCTGCTCCCTAGTACTGGGTACAAAGGCGATCAGTGTGATATAGGTAAAATTTGTCTTCGCCTCGGGAATAACATGATAGTAGCTGGGGTTTGCATCGGTCCAAGGCTCATTAAAGTCTGGAGTATTGTCCACATCTTGTAGAATGTAGATGAGAACAGTTGCTGAAGAAAACAAACGAGCTTCATTATTATTCATTTAGGTTAGGAATTGTAAAAAGATAGGACTACATCTATATGAGTGCAGTGTACTTTTATATGAGAAATAATGAATTGATAAAACAAGACTGATAGAGTGTCGTTTATATGCTGTAATAAGCCCACTAAGTTATCACAGTATTTCACTTAATTTAGATCACCGTATTGCAGGACAATGATATAGAATCTGTTTAATCATTTTTCACAACTGTAATATAAATGGGTGGGCTTATTACAAGACACAGGCTTCATGCAGGCCAAATAGGGTGTCGATTATCATTAAAATGTTGTGATAGCAATCAGGAGATCATATAGTAACAGGGCTCTGTAAAATAATTAATTCTTCATGGGAATTCATTTTCCTTAAATTTGTGGTTTCTATTAATCCACGGAAATGAAACGTCAAATTAACAATAAGCAGGTAAGAAATGGCTTATAGTGGTTTATCGTGGTTTATAATGGTTTATAGTGGTTTATAATGGTTTATAGTGCTCGTCAATTTTATGAGCAACATCTATCAATGAAATCAAGTCACAAGGAAAATGCTTATTTTACAAAGCCACAAAATTTGAGTCCAATGAAAATATACAATTTACAGTATGTACAGGATAAAAGTTTAACCACTTGTAGATTAAAACGAGATTTAACCAGTTTACCTGTAGCTGTCTGTATTACGGTAGCATTAACATCTCGAGCCTCAACTACAAACTGGATTTGTGGCGCCTGGTCGAAGTCAAGTGTAGCGTTTGTATAGATAATACCCGAAGAGCTATCAATACGGAAAGCATTCTAAAAAAAAATACAAAATACAAAATATAAAATGTTGACTTTTTCTGGTGAAAGACCATTGGTATATTATCATAATATCAGTAAAAAATGAGTAAGAAGAAATAATGCATTGATCTTGTAATAAGCCCAGGGAGCCAGCACATTGTCTTAAAATAAGGGGTTGGTTTATAACAGGATAGGAATTAGTATTCATTTACAATTCTACTGAACTGTAATAGGGGCTTATTACCAGACATAGTCTTAAAAATGGATCAATACAGCAACTAAAACCTATTACTATGTAAATGTGAAAACCTCAATGATACACCACTCATCACAATACAGGGTTAAGGAGAGATTGGTCGTATACACCACTCATCACAATACAGGGTTAAGGAGAGACTGGTCGTATACACCACTCATCACAATACAGGGTTAAGGAGAGACTGGTCGTATACATCACTCATCACAATACAGGGTTAAGGAGAGATTGGTCGTATACACCACTCATCACAATACAGGGTTAAGGAGAGATTGGTCGTATACACCACTCATCACAATACAGGTTTAAGGAGAGACTGGTCGTATACACCACTCATCACAATACAGGGTTAAGGGAGAGATTGGTGGAGAAATATACATTACCACTCATCACAAGTTGATAGGGTTAAGGAGAGATTGTTGTATACACCACTCATCACAATACAGGTTTAAGGAGAGACTGGTCGTATACACCTACCCTGTAGTTCATCACAATGGGGAGAGACAGGGTTAACCCTGGAGATATTGGGGAGAGATTGGTTGTATACATTACCCTGTAGTTGATATTGGGGAGAGATTGTTGTTATACATTACCCTGTAGTTGATATTGGGGAGAGATTGTTGTTATACATTACCCTGTAGTTGATATTGGGGAGAGATTGATTGTATATATTACCCTGTAGTTGATATTGGGGAGAGATTGGTTGTATACATTACCCTGTAGTTGATATTGGGGAGAGATTGGTGTTATATATTACCCTGTAGTTGATATTGGGGAGAGACTGGTGTTATACATTACCCTGTAGTTGATATTGGGGAGAGATTGTTGTTATACATTACCCTGTAGTTGATATTGGGGAGAGACTGGTGTTATACATTACCCTGTAGTTGATATTGGGGAGAGATTGATTGTATATATTACCCTGTAGTTGATATTGGGGAGAGATTGTTGTTATACATTACCCTGTAGTTGATATTGGGGAGAGATTGTTGTTATACATTACCCTGTAGTTGATATTGGGGAGAGATTGGTTGTATACATTACCCTGTAGTTGATATTGGGGAGAGATTGGTTGTATACATTACCCTGTAGTTGATATTGGGGAGAGATTGGTTGTATACATTACCCTGTAGTTGATATTGGGGAGAGATTGTTGTTATACATTACCCTGTAGTTGATATTGGGGAGAGATTGGTTGTATACATTACCCTGTAGTTGATACTGGGGAGAGATTGGTTGTATATATTACCCTGTGGTTGATATTGGGGAGAGATTGTTGTTATACATTACCCTGTAGTTGATATTGGGGAGAGATTGTTGTTATACATTACCCTGTAGTTGATATTGGGGAGAGATTGGTTGTATACATCACCCTGTAGTTGTAAGTTGGTACGCCTTGTCCACTGGATTGATAGTACAGAATTGAGTATTGGAGGGAGCTGGTCGAATCCGGGTCAGTAGCATTCAACTTTATCACAACTGTGCCAATAGGTTCAGCTAAAGGACACAAGACATTCATTTTAAAATGTTGAAGTGTTTGTAATATATTCAAAGCTATCTTGCTTCTTTATTTACAGCCTACTTTAATAACAATACTTTGCTGGAAAACATCGCAAACTGTATGCTAGCTACACAATCGAGTGATCATGACATTTGTTTTAATATAATTCTTGCATGGAGTGTAGAAACATCAGATAGGGTTTTGTAAACAGGACATGGTCAAATAGGATTCAGATTTCATTTTATTGATTCAACAAGTCTAATTTTAGTAACAACAGGTTGATATCATAACTCTAGTTATAAGAAGGAGTACTGTATAAACTAGATGTACCTGTACTTAGAATGTTAATTTATGTGTGAGCAAGAAAATATCTAAGGAAAATGAATCCTCCCAATTCTTATTGCATCTTATTGTCATTGCATGACAAAATTGTAATAAAAAAAATAATATAAAATGTTTGAATACATGAATGCCTTCATTCACATGCATATAAATCCCTATTGATGATAGACAAATTTCTATAAACAGTAATCTTGACCTTGACCTTTGAAACATAAAACACAAACTTTGACCTTTGCAGAGGAGTTTGATAAATTTCCCTGCAGATTTGAAGTTGTTAGAGTTATAACATTGATCGGAGTTATGATGAGACAGGACTGGTGTGGGTATCGCTAACACTATATGCAACCCCCATCAAAAATGGTAGGAGCAGAACTGAAATTTGGTGTAGAGAAACATGATCTAGTAGAGTACTGACACTGACCTAACACAGGATATCATTAATGGTGACACACCACGAGTTCAATCCCTTTTCAAAAACATTTCTTAAGTCTAAGCATTAAAGAAGGAAGCCATGACCTACTTTCATCCAGTGTCTGTGCATAAAGAGGCTTGTCAAAGCTCGGACTTTTGTTGTTGGCATCTTCAATTGTAATCTGGACAGTGGTCAGTCCGGTCCTTGGGGGACTGCCCTGGTCAACTGCCTCCACCTAAGGAATACAGAGATCATAATATGTAAAACTGAAAGTTCTTTGTTCAGAGGTCGTGTATAAATTTGAGTGTAGGATCTACCTTAAAATATTTTCAATAATGAATTAGCTCGAAATATTCTGAATGTACTCCATTTCACTGCTATTTTCACGATTATGCATCACAATAATTCTGCAGTGATCATCTTTCATGAAAAAGACTAATAGAACCTTTCTCCAGCTGGAGGGTAGGACAGAGAAATCTCTACCCGAGGAGGAGGAGATTCTCGACTGTCACGAATCTCCTCGGAGGTTTAAGGTTTTCTGTCCTACCCTCAGAGTAGGGAATGATCCTTTTTCTACCCCTTTTTTTACCTCAAAAATAGATAGGCAAGTAACTATACAGGGTGGCATTATAACCATCGTTATAGTCATGTGAGGCTCGGATAACAATTAATAATGACATCAAGGACACTAACCGATCTCAAAACATCAGAAAAATGACATCATTAATAAATACACATACTCTGAATGTCACTTTCTGCATGTGCATGCTGTCTCGCTGAAAACTGAGATATGTTACCCTAACTCGCGGATATTTCTGTCTGGTGGGGTAGAAAATACTGTCTATACCTTACTGGTAATGGTTGTTGATTATCTTAAATTCTGGTAAATCAATTTTACAAATTTGTTTCTATTACCGATTCTCTAATCTGTAGTAACTGTTAAACAAAAATACTGAATAAGATATATGATTATACCGTGATGTTATAGAATGGAGTTGCATCGTAGTCCAGCGCAGCAGCAGGTCCAACAAATATGATTCCTGTGTCAGAATCGATTTTAAAGTCATCTTTTGCTCCGAAGGTAATGGCATAGGTGATTGCCCCATTTGTACCAGAATCAGCATCTGTAGCTATGACCTGCAATACTGTGGACCCTGAAGTAAAACAAAAGCAACAAATGACACAAAACAGATGCATAATTAGCCCGTCTCACTATATATAGATATGTTCTGTCTTTGTTTGATAGTTCCTACCAGCTAGTGGCAAGTCGAGTCTAAATATACAAGTGTAAACATTATTTTACCAAACTGAATTCACACTAACATTGCTAGACTCCAGAAGAGAAAAAAAGTTAAGTCTAACACCTTGTTATATTGCCTCCAGTTGTCAGTAAAACCTTGCCATGCTGCCGTCTGTTGTTAGTAAAGCCTGGTTACACTGCCACTAGTTGTCAGTAAAACCTTGCCATGCTGCCACCAGCTGTCAGCAAAACCTTCTTGTACTGCCTCCAGTTGTCAGTAAAACCTGGTTACACTGCCACCAGTTGTCAGTAAAACCTTGTCATGTTGCCACCAGTTGTCAGTAAAACCTAGCATAATGCCACCAGTTGTCAGTAAAACCTAGCATAATGCCACCAGTTGTCAGTAAAACCTAGCATAATGCCACCAGTTGTCAGTAAAACCTAGCATAATGCCACCAGTTGTCAGTAAAACCTTGTCATGTTGCCACCAGTTGTCAGTAAAACCTTGTTGTACTGCCACCAGTTGTCAGTAAAACCTTGTCATGTTGCCACCAGTTGTCAGTAAAACCTTGTTGTTCTGCCACTAGTTGTCAGTAAAACCTTGCATAATGCCACCAGTTGTCAGTAAAACCTAGCATAATGCCACCAGTTGTCAGTAAAACCTAGCATAATGCCACTAGTTGTCAGTAAAACCTTGCATAATGCCACCAGTTGTAGGTAAAACCTTGTCATGTTGCCACCAGTTGTCAGTAAAACCTAGTTACACTGCAACCAGTTGTCAGTAAAACCTTGTTGTACTGCCACTAGTTGTCAGTAAAACCTTGCATAATGCCACCAGTTGTCAGTAAAACCTTGTCATGTTGCCACCAGTTGTCAGTAAAACCTAGTTACACTGCCACCAGTTGTCAGTAAAACCTAGTTACACTGCCACCAGTTGTCAGTAAAACCTGGTTACACTGCCACCAGTTGTCAGTAAAACCTGGTTACACTGCCACCAGTTGTCAGTAAAACCTTGTTGTACTGCCATTACATGCCATCAGTTTAATCCTTTTATAGAAACTCCTATCTTTTGTTCCTTAATGTCTAACAAAGATAGAGACAATAGAGAAGCAAAAGTCTGAAGTGTCACAAAACATCACTGGATTTCTAAATACGAAGATTTCCCTTTAAGGGGAGATAATTTGTATACAAACTTACCTTTGCCTTTGGACTCTTTAATAGTAGCATTGTAGTTGGTCTTGGTAAAGGACGGAGCAGCATTGTTCTCATCCTAATAACAAAGAAATAAAATCTTCAACAATATTACTGCAAATGGCAATAACACTGTTTCTAATTTTTTTGTGTGAAAAAAAATTTTGCATGCAGCCTTTGATAAACTTGTAAAACTTTGTAAAACTTGAACCATTGAAAAAATTGTTTACACAGTGTTGACCTAACACTGAATAGCAACGACTTACTCGGACTTCCACAGTAATTGTTACATAGGAGGTTTGGCTTGGAAGTCCACTGTCAGTAGCGGACACATTCAGGAAAAAACTGAAAAAAAAATGACAAATTTTGTTGGAGACTTTACCTACAAAAAAAATCTTCAAAGAGATTCATTCAGGTGGTATTTTCACTTAATCTATAATCCTTCATTATTACAGACAATTTGTAAATTGAATGACTAAGAAAATTCTGTGATTAACATCCAGTATATGCTCCTCTGTAAAGGGACCAATGGCCCTTAGTTATACTCTGAAATCAAAATTTCTCCTGGAGGGAGAAGAAGGCTTATGAATGGTCTATGCACTGGCTAATAGATGTAAACCTCTACAGTCTCTTTCTGACGAACAAGAACAGGTAGACAAATTCCAGATAACATGACAAGTTATGGATGGTGCCCTTATCACTCAGTATCTAGAGTGCAAAACATACCGAAATCGATATAAAACATTTTTGATATTTTAATCCCCATCTTCCATACAATAACTTGGGATGGTTTTTTGTCCATTATAAAGGCCTTTGGGTGTCCAATGGCCGAAGGGATTATCGAGACACCTACAAAGGGATTATCGAGACACCTACAAAGGGATTATCGAGACACCTACAAAGGGATTATCGAGACACCTACAAAGGGATTATCGAGACACCTAAATTTACACCCTTGCTCGATTTTACTTTATAACTTTGTATTTGTTTCATGTTCTATGAATGTGATGTAACTTATGTAATATCTGTGTATTGATAAAGAGGCAGGTTGCCTAGAAAATTTGACAAGTCGCTTGTCCATACTGTCATTATTACTTCATTGATCATATATCTATTCCAGTAATACACATCCAATGAATATTTGTTTGCTAGGATCATGTACCAATATTGGTACCATACCGTGGATATTAATTATTAGGTTTACTAGATCTAGACTTGTTAGAGAGAGAGAGAAAGAGCAGTCATATACATCCACATTAAATATATGTAATATCAAAAGTAAATGACACATGTTATGTAAGTCATCTATCATGTGACCAACAAGTTGTCACCATTGATCATGTGACCTACAGGTCATTATTGCTGATCATGTGACTTACAAGTCAGCATCAATGGTCATGTGACCAACACTTGACTACAGCATGATCCGGTGACTTACAATCCTCCTTCATCCTTGGTATCTTTGTAGTTGACAATGGAGTTGAGTGAAAGCGTCCCCTGGATGGGATCAATCTGGAAGGCATTGTCATTAGTGTTACCGTCCACGATTCTGTAGGTTATTGCGTAACCATCTGGGTCAGTTGCCTGGAAACAAATATTACATCGATATGAAGTAACTATCCGGTTTAATACTAACAAAAAAATATCTGTTAAAATATCCATTAACGAAAGTTTTGGTTAAAAGCAAGATTTCAAATGTTGTATTTACGGGATTTACTGATTATTTCAGTCTTATGTCGTGTGTGAGAGCTCAACACACTTACAAAGAGGTCAGCCAAGGAGAAATTTCCCTTTTATTTGAATAGATTGAATATTTTTTGCTGCTTGAAAAAAAACATATTCACATTGGGTTTCAATCAGGTTGAACTCTATATATTCTGTAAGTGTAAAAGTTTTGCTGTCAAATGTAACTGGTTGTAGAAAAAGCTATTGCTATTGGAGTATGTAAAAAGAAGTTGCATTTTCATGGGGTAAAAAGGAATGAAACCAATTTCACAAGCACAGATAAGAGAAACGGTGAATACCTGGACTGTAACTGGAATGAGAAACACTGTGGAGGATTCTGTGACGGTGGACCTGTATGAGGATAGCTGGAAGACAGGTACCATGTCATTGTAATTAAGCACCGTCACAAGAAGGGAGGTTGATGCTGTTTGAATGGGATTTCCCTTATCTGATGCTATGACGGTCATTTCATATTGCACAGCCCCATTGTCATAGTCCAATTTTTGAGCTAAAGTTACGACCCCTGTATTTGGGTCAAGGTTAAACCTGAAAATACACAACAACTGTATTTATTATTCATAATACGGTATGATCATACTATTTCCATACTTTCCCAAAAATATACATTTTCCGTTGCACATATTTCATATCTTGTTCACAAAATCCATTAGTACTACACATAATAGAAAATTGAGAAAATAAAACTAACTTTGATGTGAGACATAAACATGGAAAATGAGAGTAGAATACCTTTCATTGTGTTATATTGCATGCATTCTTTTGATCAAAATTAAATTTAAGGATTTTTTACATTTTTATTTTCATTATTATTTGGAATTAAAGGTTAAATAACTGTAAGTGGGGATAGTCAAAGTGGCATTTAACATATCTATATCAGAAAATGAGCCCATGCCTGGTAATAAGCTCACAAATATCGAGCTACAGCTGCTGATCCGTAGAATAAACAAATTCTAAATCATGTTCCTGTAATAACCCCACCTCCGATTTTGAGTCACAACAAACATGTCGGCAACCAATCAAAACTTACATGACAATGTTGGGATCTACAAAGGTATATTCTAGTGCTGCATTACTTCCACTGTCTCTGTCTGTAGCCTGTAAAGAGAGACAATTCATTGTGTGTGTGTCTAGTTTTACCATTGAATTAATATGCAATGCTTTTGACTGACCTCTGACCTTTACATCACATATGGGTCACCTTCTAATGACCTCTTTTTCAAGTAATTCACATAATAGTCAGCTTCTTGTGACAATCAAAACTGTGAGACCATTAGAGAATCCTGAAGCCTCGAACAGAGGCGAAACTAGTAGACAATTAAGTAAAGTACACAATGACTGGTGATACTTGTTCTTGTTGCGATTAATTCTCTAACGGTCTTATATTCAACATTTCGTTAATCGCCCTGCATACCTTTGGTATCCAAGCTCAAGTGAAGCACCCCACTGAAGAAACCACTTACCTGATACTGACGTTGTCTCTATTTACTTACTTAATCAAAATTGTTGTTACAATGATTGCTGAAAATCCAAAATGATGGTACAAAGGAGATATCCCTTATAATTGTTCCTTCCCTATTTACTGCCCTTAATAGAGCTCTTGTTTTTGAAAGATATGAATGTTACATTTAGTGAGTTAATCAAATAGTGAAAAGCGGGCTATGTGTTTGTTACAGTCTCAAAGTGTATCAATTGGCTATGTGTTTGTTACAGTCTCAAAGTGTATCAATTGGCTATGTGTTTGTTACAGTCTCAAAGTGTATCAATTGGCTATGTGTTTGTTACAGTCTCAAAGTGTATCAATAGGCTATGTGTTTGTTACAGTCTCAAAGTGTATCAATTGGCTATGTGTTTGTTACAGTCTCAAAGTGTATCAATTGGCTATGTGTTTGTTACAGTCTCAAAGTGTATCAATTGGCTATGTGTTTGTTACAGTCTCAAAGTGTATCAATTGGCTATGTGTTTGTTACAGTCTCAAAGTGTATCAATTGGCTATGTGTTTGTTACAGTCTCAAAGTGTATCAATTGGCTATGTGTTTGTTACAGTCTCAAAGTGTATCAATAGGCTATGTGTTTGTTACAGTCTCAAAGTGTATCAATTGGCTATGTGTTTGTTACAGTCTCAAAGTGTATCAATTGGCTATGTGTTTGTTACAGTCTCAAAGTGTATCAATAATTATATAACTGAATGAAAAGGCAACATAATTGTTGAAGAAGGGTTGTAAAAAAAGTCATAGAATAACTTCAAATACTGCAGTGAAATAGACAATTAGACCTACTGTAACAGTCTGAATAGATTTTCCTGGTGATTCAATTTCAGACACTTGGGCAGTGTATGTAGTCCTTTGAAACACTGGGGCGTTGTCATTGGCGTCTAAGATGTCAATGAGGACAGTAGCGGTAGATGACAAGCTACCATCATTGAAATCAACTGCTTCAATCTAAAACAATGAATTATTAACAAAATGTAATGCAAACAGACAGGGGCTTGTTCAGTATGAATTGAATGAATTGAGCTTATTTAAAGGTGTAAAATAACACATCTGGAGTTCCTTTTCCATATACAAAACAACACAAGTTAAGATTGAGAGTGTTTTCTCAACTATATACATGCATTGAAAAGTTTACATCATATTTGATTTAAATCCAGAAATTATCAAGGTCCATGTGGATTTAATAAGCTCACCCCCTGACTCTGAGTAATATGTCAGCTCCCTGAGGTTACTGCAGATATATATGTTTATTAAGCATGGAATAGAACAACTGTTGGATTGTTATTTATTTTGTATCAATACCAAATCATATTACTGTGAAATCTTTTGGATTGGAGATACTTGCAAAAATAAGGTAGCATTCTTCCTTAACAGACCAATGATAACAATCTGAAATTTTTTTGACAATATATCAAAATGGAGATGAAGATTTAAAAACATTACCAAGACGCTTCTTGTTCTGTAACTAGGAATTTCATAGTCGAGGTTCATGTAGTTATCGATGACAAGGTTGAAGCTGGCCTTGCGAGTGCCAGCATCGTTGTTCAGGGAGAATGCAGGAGGGCTACTTTGTGAAATAATGCTAACGTTGAATGTGGAATAGCTCAACTGTAACAGACAATTAACACAAAAATGAACAGCCAAAATAGTAAGGTCACATATTGAAACATAGGTCCTATGTATTGAGGTGCTTCAAAACATGTCTGACCCCAATGACCTTGAACACACTTCAAGTTCATGTACTTCTAAAAAATAATAGGCCTTTACTTTAAGCTGCTTTCTCTTCTATAAAACATTTTATGTATCTGACCTCTGTAATCACTTTAATCAATTTTTTTTCCCACACTTCTTGATTGGGTAGAGTAGTGTCATGTGATCCAAGCCCATCCCCCCCTCCCTGAAACTGCTAGACAATAACACAAAACAAAGACAGTAAGTTAGTTGACCTTATAAATAAGAATTTTGGATAGAATGGAGTCTAATGCTATCAGAGGCAACAAACAACACAGAAAGAGTATACAGAAATTTTCTAAAAGCGAGTTCAACCTTGCTTTCAGTGCTGGCAAAAGTCATTTAATACTGAACTAAAACGATCATTACTTTCAGTACAAACAAACAAACAATATAAATATACATACACCATCAGCTGTCCTCGTCTGAAAAGATAAAAAAAAGGTTGAAGATTAGACACCTATTAAGTACATTTCTCTGCAAATAACAACTGTCTATAACACTAAATTAGTTTATTGAGGCTTAAAACATCCATTATGATATATTTCATGCTTGAAAATGTATGTGAAGCTATCATGACCTTATGTCTTTGATACATTATGACCTCTGGTGATCTCAACTGCTACAATCCTATTGGCTACTCACCACATCTGCATCGGTGACCTCTAATATGACCCCTGGTACTATGCCGTTGTTGTTTCTGGGTTCGACAAGGTCTACCCTGTACACAGTTTGGGTAAATACTGGTGGATTATCATTGATGTCTTGGATTGTCACATCAACTGAGATGGAAGCCTCAGAGTTGGTAAGTGCTCCTGTGGATTCGTCAATTTCTACTGCCTGAATATTAGAACAAGGTTTATTGTTAACAAACTTTCAGACAAATCAATAAATAGAACAAATGTTCTACAGCAACACATCTCTGACCACTGACTATTTCATGTTTGAGGTATAAAAAAAAATATAATGGATCACCTTCCTTTAAAAATTGATATCAACTGACATTAATTTCATGCAGGCTAAAGGCATATGCATTAACTACTGAATCATCTGTGTAACCAAACCCTACAAGACATAAACCATCTGTGTAACCAAACCCTACAAGATATAAAACCCTCTGTGTAACCAAACCCTACAAGACATAACACCATCTGTGTAACCAAACCGTCTGTGTAACCAAACTACAAGATATATCACCAAATATAAACCATCTGTGTAACCAAACCCTACAAGATATAAACCATCTGTGTATGTGTAACCAAACCCTACAAGACATAAACCATCTGTGTATGTGTAACCAAACCCTACAAGACATAAACCATCTGTGTAACCAAACCCTACAGGACATAAACCATCTGTGTAACCCTACAAGACATAAACCATCTGTGTAACCAAACCCTACAAGACATAACACCATCTGTGTAACCAAACCCTACAAGACATAAACCATCTGTGTAACCAAACCCTACAAGATAAAAACCATCTGTGTAACCAAACCCTACAAGACATAAACCATCTGTGTAACCAAACCCTACAAGACATAACACCATCTGTGTAACCAAACCCTACAAGACATAACACCATCTGTGTAACCAAACCCTACAAGACATAACACCATCTGTGTAACCAAACCCTACAAGACATAACACCATCTGTGTAACCAAACCCTACAAGACATAAACCATCTGTGTAACCAAACCCTACAAGACATAAACCATCTGTGTAACCAAACCCTACAAGACATAACACCATCTGTGTAACCAAACCCTACAAGACATAAACCATCTGTGTAACCAAACCCTACAAGACATAAAACCATCTGTGTAACCAAACCCTACAAGACATAAACCATCTGTGTAACCAAACCCTACAAGACATAAACCATCTGTGTAACCAAACCCTACAAGACATAACACCATCTGTGTAACCAAACCCTACAAGACATAACACCATCTGTGTAACCAAACCGTACAAGATATAAACCATCTGTGTATGTGTAACCAAACCCTACAAGACATAACACCATCTGTGTAACCAAACCCTACAAGACATAAACCATCTGTGTAACCAAACCCTACAAGACATAAACCATCTGTGTAACCAAACCCTACAAGACATAACACCATCTGTGTAACCAAACCCTACAAGACATAACACCATCTGTGTAACCAAACCCTACAAGACATAACACCATCTGTGTAACCAAACCCTACAAGACATAAACCATCTGTGTAACCAAACCCTACAAGACATAACACCATCTGTGTAACCAAACCCTACAAGACATAAACCATCTGTGTAACCAAACCCTACAAGACATAACACCATCTGTGTAACCAAACCCTACAAGACATAACACCATCTGTGTAACCAAACCCTACAAGACATAACACCATTTGTGTAACCAAACTCTACAAGACATAACACCATCTGTGTAACCAAACCCTACAAGACATAAACCATCTGTGTAACCAAACCCTACAAGATATAAACCATCTGTGTAACCAAACCCTCCAAGACATAACACCATCACCATCTGTGTAACCAAACCCTACAAGACATAACACCATCTGTGTAACCAAACCCTACAAGACATAACACCATCTGTGTAACCAAACCCTACAAGACCAAATAAACCATCTGTGTAACCAAACCCTACAAGACATAACACCATCTGTGTAACCAAACCCTACAAGACATAAACCATCTGTGTAACCAAACCCTACAAGACATAACACCATCTGTGTAACCAAACCCTACAAGACATAACACCATCTGTGTAACCAAACCCTACAAGACATAAACCATCTGTGTAACCAAACCCTACAAGACATAAACCATCTGTGTAACCAAACCCTACAAGACATAAACCATCTGTGTAACCAAACCCTACAAGACATAACACCATCTGTGTAACCAAACCCTACAAGACATAAACCATCTGTGTAACCAAACCCTACAAGATATAAACCATCTGTGTAACCAAACCCTACAAGACATAACACCATCTGTGTAACCATCTGTGTAACCAAACCCTACAAGACATAAACCATCTGTGTAACCAAACCCTACAATCTGTGTAACCAAACCCTACAAGACATAACACCCTCTGTGTAACCAAACCCTACAAGACATAAACCATCTGTGTAACCAAACCCAACAAGACATAACACCATCTGTGTAACCAAACCCTACACCATCTGTGTAACCAAATAACACCATTTGTGTAACCAAACCCTACAAGACATAAACCATCTGTGTAACCAAACCCTACAAGACATAAACCATCTGTGTAACCAAACCCTACAAGACATAACACCATCTGTGTAACCAAACCCTACAAGACATAACACCATCTGTGTAACCAAACCCTACAAGATATAAACCATTTGTGTAACCAAACCCTACAAGACATAAACCATCTGTGTAACCAAACCCTACAAGACATAAACCATCTGTGTAACCAAACCCTACAAGATATAAACCATCTGTGTAACCAAACCCTACAAGACATAACACCATCTGTGTAACCAAACCCTACAAGACATAAACCATCTGTGTAACCAAACCCTACAAGATATAAACCATCTGTGTAACCAAACCCTACAAGACATAAACCATCTGTGTAACCAAACCCTACAAGACATAAACCATCTGTGTAACCAAACCCTACAAGAGATAAACCATCTGTGTAACCAAACCCTACAAGACATAAACCATCTGTGTAACCAAACCCTACAAGACATAAACCATCTGTGTAACCAAACCCTACAAGACATAAACCATCTGTGTAACCAAACCCTACAAGATATAAACCATTTGTGTAACCAAACCCTACAAGACATAAACCATCTGTGTAACCAAACCCTACAAGATATAAACCATTTGTGTAACCAAACCCTACAAGACATAAACCATCTGTGTAACCAAACCCTACAAGACATAAACCATCTGTGTAACCAAACCCTACAAGATATAAACCATCTGTGTATGTGTAACCAAACCCTACAAGACATAACACCATCTGTGTAACCAAACCCTACAAGACATAACACCATCTGTGTAACCAAACCCTACAAGACATAACACCATCTGTGTAACCAAACCCTACAAGACATAAACCATCTGTGTAACCAAACCCTACAAGACATAACACCATCTGTGTAACCAAACCCTACAAGACATAAACCATCTGTGTAACCAAACCCTACAAGACATAAAACCATCTGTGTAACCAAACCCTACAAGACATAAACCATCTGTGTAACCAAACCCTACAAGACATAACACCATCTGTGTAACCAAACCCTACAAGACATAAACCATCTGTGTAACCAAACCCTACAAGATATAAACCATCTGTGTAACCAAACCCTACAAGACATAAACCATCTGTGTAACCAAACCCTACAAGATATAAACCATCTGTGTAACCAAACCCTACAAGACATAAACCATCTGTGTAACCAAACCCTACAAGATATAAACCATCTGTGTATGTGTAACCAAACCCTACAAGACATAACACCATCTGTGTAACCAAACCCTACAAGACATAAACCATCTGTGTAACCAAACCCTACAAGATATAAACCATCTGTGTAACCAAACCCTACAAGACATAAACCATCTGTGTAACCAAACCCTACAAGATATAAACCATCTGTGTAACCAAACCCTACAAGACATAACACCATCTGTGTAACCAAACCCTACAAGATATAAACCATCTGTGTAACCAAACCCTACAAGACATAAACCATCTGTGTAACCAAACCCTACAAGATATAAACCATCTGTGTAACCAAACCCTACAAGACATAAACCATCTGTGTAACCAAACCCTACAAGATATAAACCATCTGTGTAACCAAACCCTACAAGATATAAACCATCTGTGTAACCAAACCCTACAAGACATAAACCATCTGTGTAACCAAACCCTACAAGACATATAACCATCCAGCTTCTATGAGGAACAGTATAAGGCAACTTATACATCGATAAGATTTGGAATTACTGTATTGTTGGAATGAACAACATACCTTTATTAGGAACTTGTGACCATCAATGAAAGACTCGCGGTCAATGTCTCCTTTGACCACGACGAACACCGTGTAGATCCGTGTTTCATTGTCCATCGAGATGTCCAGTTCAAACAGGTCAACAGAATCTGTAACACATATGACACAAACTGACCCATGGTCTAGAGATTTGAAGAATCTATAGTATCAAATGAGCTCCCTTTGATTCCTATATCTTTAAATTTATTTGAAAATATTTCTATTTCAACATTTTCATTTTCGTTAAAACACAGAAAATTTTCAGTCAGTCTCAAAATCATCAAAAGCTTGTATTTCAAACAAACTTAAAAACATTTTTGTCAAAGGGATTCACAGATAACAATCTACAACAGGAGAAACAATAATTAGATATAGGAAGAATTAAAAGCAATGACCAGGTGACTTTACAGTTAAAATTAATTAGTACAAATCCATATAGCCAATTAGACACCAACATCAATATAGCATAAATGCACAAATGTGAAAGTTCAACTCCCCAGATACATTTTTTCAAGTTAAAATATAATCTGATAAATATAAATTAAAATAGCATTGAGTTCAATACATACACAATCACAATGCAGAAAGCACTCGTACAAAGTTCTGCGTTTTCCAATAACGGTCAAAAGTTGTCAAACATCAGACTTTTTTAAAACAATGTTCAACTGTTAACACAGACTCAAAAAAAAGAAGCATATTATTTTCATGTCACCCTCTTTAGTTATTTTTAAACACAAATATTTCAAGCGCGACAGTTTTTTTATAAGTACTTACTTGCTCAGCCAACAAAAGCAACACATGACATCATAATTTGTAGCTTAACAAACAATGACAGAACAGTAAACAAGTTTTTTTTGTTTTTTGTTTTAACCCAAGAACAGATTTTACTTTTTAACAGTGAATAATCATTTTCACTTACAAGAAAGGTATTGATATTTGATACAGACACGTACTTCAATATATGTTGATCTGAAGGTTCAGACACGTACTTCAATATATGTTGATCTGAAGGTTCAGACACGTACTTCACTATATGTTGATCTGAAGGTTCAGACACATACTTCACTATATGTTGATCTGAAGGTTCAGACACGTACTTCACTATATGTTGATCTGAAGGTTCAGACATGTACTTCACTATATGTTGATCTGAAGGTTTCAGACTTAAATTACCTGTCTCAATGGTATCCAAGTTTTATATACTGGGTGTATCTTGTACACACACACACATAAGATAGAGATTTGTACAGTAGATCTTAATTTATAAACAGGCATTATAATACTGTCAATATTTTTTTAATATATATCTGCACAAGATTTTTTAATCATCAGAAGCAGAGACTGTGATACAAATATGCGTTATTAAAATGTTTCAGTGAAGCAACATATGACATTTGTTTCACAAAGTTATCATCAAATCACAAACTTAAGTCAAGCATTTCAAATTCTGGTGTTTTTAATTCTCTCACATGCAGAGTATACTGTAAAAATGTCTTTGTAAGAGTTTTTCTTGTTCAAAATTACCAGCTTGTACTTAATGTTTTATAAGACATGTGTACTAGGTTATTCAATACTTTATTTTTTATTTTCTAGATATATACCTGGTTCTCTGAATCACTAAATCTTTAATCTGTTTCCATAGGAACCATAATTATAAGATACCTTGTACATGTAAATAAGATTGAAAAAAAAACAACATAAGTTTAGCCCCCCACTACCACTCAACTCCGTTTTTTTTTTTTTTTTTTTTTTTGCTAATTCTGTAATTTGGAAAAAAATTTCAGGAAATATTCCATGCAAAGCTAAGAAGTTTTCCTAATAGTGACCTATATACAATATGAACAATTTTACAGTATACTTTTGTTAAACAGAGTATAAAGCGTTAAGACTAACTCTCCAGCAACAGGCAAACACGCACAATGCCCATGCAAATGTCATGCATTCTTCATAAGTCACAATATCCAAGTTTAACAATGTGAAAAAACAATTATTGAACAGACACCTGTACACTTTGCGCAAAACCAAGAAATTGGATTATATATGTAACACAGAACCTAGAGAACGGAATATATAACTGTGTAAGTGTGCATACCCATAGTTCGAATTTTCAAAACTTGTACACTTAGTACAAAACCAAAATATATACAAATCTATTGGCAACTGCTATACACAGTCCAAATCAAGGAACATAGGATGCAAAGTACACCTGTACTAAGAAAATATATGAATATATTTCAGTATATCTTCTGCTAATTTCCTCATTCTACTAATTATATACTGAGAGGAAAAAGAAACGCAATTAGGAATTTCCAGGTCAACTACAGGAAATAGAAAAGGGTTTTAGAATGTAATTACAGTGTAACTGGAAGATAGTTGACCACTCTATCATCTACAAGAATTTCATTTGTGTACGTTAAGTAAACCTTTCAAATTTGACGTTGATTCAAGAGTACCCCACTCAAAATGAAGTGCCTTCTGGACCCATCAATATCGTGTGCCCCCCCCTGCAGTAACTGCACAAACTCTTTTGTGCATTGAATTAATCAGGGTATTAACCCTCCTCATTGGTATACATTTCCATTCCTCATCCAGCACCAAAGCCAACTGAGTGACACTGATTGGAGGATTTGGCCTACGTCTTATCCTTTTGTCCAACTCGTCCCATAATGTTCTAATGGGGAGAGGTCAGGGCTGTATAGGGGCCAGTCTAGAGTGGGGACATTGTTTGCTGTGAGATAACCATGGAAACCCTCTCTACATGCGGCCGGGCGTTGTCCTGCTGAAACGTCAGTTGATGCTGCTGTACTAGAGGAACAATATGCGGTGCTAGGACTTGATCTCTATCGCGGACGGCCGTGAGATTTCCCTGAATAACTACCAGAGGAGTCTTGATACCATGTACAATCCCTCCCCATACCATGACCGATCCTCCTCCAAAGCAGTCATTCTCTATCACGCAAGCATCTGCATAGCGCTCGTAGATACGTCTATAGACATGGCGTCGGCCGTCTGCCAGTTAAAGCGAAAACCTGGACTCATCTGAGAACAGGACCCTTTTCTAACGTTGCATTGGGAAGCGTCTTACGGAATGTGCATTCAGCCATTGCATTCATCTGGCACTTCGCCGCGCATTAAGCTGTGGCCGCCGCAGTCTTAGACGGAAGGCACACAGTCGAGTACACACTGTCTTTGGATCACTTGAAACATGATGATGCCCAATTGTGTTCCTTGCTTTTTCCATGACCGTCAGAAAGTGATTGCGTAGGTGCGAAAGTTGCATTGCCCTATCCTGCCAACGTGTCATCACACGAGGGCGACCGCTTCAGGGACGGTCTGCAACCCTTCCGGTGGCATGTAGTCTTTGTATGAGACGGCAAATGTTTGATGGATGGATTTCAAATTGATTAGCGACCTGATTTTGCGGGGTACCTTGCATAAGAAGTGCAATGGCACGACCCCTGTCACCTTCGGACAGTCATGGCATTTTTTACATTGAACTGTTTATGCTTAAAATGTGGGAAATCAAGACAGATATGTCTGAAGATTCACAGATTTTGAACCAATCCTTCATACTGGGGTCAAGATATCGTGCTTTTGTCTCTTATTCTTTTGTACAAGTGGCGTCCGCAGTTTAATGATGCATCAGTGATTTTAATACGGTACCATAGGGACCTAACTCAAATGCACACATTGTCAAGTTTCAAGGGTGTACGTCAAGGATTTAATTTACAATATTAACTTTCTGCTAATTGCGTTTCTTTTTCCTCTCAGTATATAAAGCACACATACAATCTGAAATGTGTTGAGGGGCTAAAGGAATAATTCTGCCAACGTGGAAAGGGGGCAGCAATATGTTGAATGAGCAGGACAGCACACAGGGCCCAACACCTTCTTCACATTCCTTAACTTACAATCCTCCTTCGTAAAGTATACACATATTGCTGTACAGTAATTTCTTGTGTATTCATTGCCCACACCAACCAAAATGACTGTTCTAAGGATTTGATTCTGAGATAACTTGCTCCGGTTATCTTCTACTAATTACGTAAAACTGTCTTATAAATTTCCAATACCCATAACACTGCCTGGGGAATCCCCAATGCGTTGTTTATGTTTTGACTGACAGCCCTCACAGATACCATTACTTGTGAACAATTGTTTTTATTTGATTTGTCCTGGCACATGTAATACAGGTGAAAGTTTAGGAATGCAGGGAGGCTTAAATAAAACTGATCGAATGCGCCATGCAACATATGCAAAAGTGCGTTTGTGGGTGCAAACAGCGTGGGACAATGTAAACTGCCAAAATGGGAGACGTTGATGATCAAGGAAATAATGATGACATACCACTAGCAGAATTTGCGCGGCTGGATAGGGAAAGATTCTTCGATAGTGATTCATCTGATTTGGATGGCTAGGTATACCCTTCATACATTTTTGATCAGCTGTTACAAACTTGGTTCATTCCAGAACAGTTTCCATGTTTTTGATAATTAAAGCAAATTAAAGCAAACTATTTGTAAACTTGTGTATTTTTCATTGTCTCTCTTACATTTGACAAATTTTGTATAGACTCCAGTTTGATTGGTTTTTGGAAATCATTTCATCAGATAGCCACAACATCAGATAGCCACAACGTCAGATAGCCACAACGTCAGATAGCCCGCAGAGGTCATTATTTAATGAGTTACATTGTGTAGCCCATGGCTAATACACAAGAAATTACAAAAAAAAAAAAGAAGGAAATATTAAGAATGGAAATGTTTTGAAAAACTGGAGAAAAGTAATCTGACCAACTCCCAACTCCAACAAAACCAACAAAAAGTCACTGTCAAACTACACTATGAAGGTCAGTCTGCATGACATAAAGTTAAAATATTAATTATAGCTACACATTATATCGGATACTGATATTAGAGCTCTGTAGACAAAAACCTTGTAAGACCTAACTCTGAAGTAATTAGATTTATAGATATTTCACATATCAATTAATGAAAATGTGATTCTGTATGATGCTATAAAACATTTTGCAAAATCTCTTATTTAAATACAATTTCTTTTTCAGAGTTGAGACTTTAAAAGCTCAACAAATGAGATCTATGGAAGTAAATTATAAACTGTAATAATTTATTGCATTTTCTATAAAAGTCTAATTTCATCAAAGTGAAATTTCATCTAAAGCTTTTTGTTCTACATTTTTATGTCAATATCACAACATTAATGAGATACTATATATAGTACAATGACCACTGGGTTTTGTACATCCTGAAAGCAGACATGGGGTGGATTTTAAGGAGTTCCATAACATTTATTGGAATTCTTCTTAGGATCTCCTACAATTTTCAAAATTTTTGGTTCTTGATTCAAAATATTCTGTACATGGAATAAAACGTTGATAAAATCTGCATTTAGAAAGAATGCCAATAGAGAATTTCATTCAATTTAGTCATTTGCCAAAATATTCGCAAGAAAAAGAAAAAGAAGTTTTGAAAATTGTAAGACAACTACAGGACACATGAAATTTACACCTGAATATAGAATTAGAACTATGATTCTCAAAAATATTTACTTAAGTAATGCTGTTTTATTTGGTCAAGGTCACAATGACTTTTAAAGGTTGGCAAATCCTTTCATTTCATATAGTTCATATATACACAGAATTCTACATTGTGTTTTCCTCCTTTTTTCCTTTGTTTTTTTTAAACATGACTTTCCTAGTTAGTTAATGGTGAATGTGTTGAGATGTACTTCAGTACAAAACTGTCAAATGTTGATGATGATGATGATGATGATGATGATGATGATGATGATGACAATTTCCGACCAGAAACACCAGTCATGTGTCCTTATAGCCACCACAAAAATGAAACAAGTTAGAATAGATGGAAATAAAATAATTTGAAACAAAACATGAAGAACAAAAATTAAAGATGACAAATAATTCACAATCGATATGAAAACAGGGAGTGAAAAAAATAATAAAAAAAATTATGAAGATAAATATAAAAAATAAAGATAAATATAAAAGATAAAGATAGATTATTGAATCATTTCAAGTGAATAAAAATAATACAGAACATTTAAAACAGTCAACAGATCCAGATACCATTATGTTTACCGGGGATTGATAAAACTCATTGTATGATGTAAAGATATATATAATCACGTGTATGTGTTGCAATATTTGGCTATCATTTCTTTTCCAATATTATCAAAAAGATCAATGCTGGTAACACTATTTTTGTTTCTGGTTCTTATTTATTTATCATTTATTTATTTATTTTCGTTTATCTAAGCTGAAGTCTCTAAATCAAAAGTAAACAGTTAAAAAAAATATATGACCTTTCTGTGTACATTTTTTTCCTTTAGAACAGTGACCTTGACCCCAGGACTACAAAAGCTATCAAAATTCTCAATGAGAGCATTATAATCCTAACTTTTGAAGCATGATGTCAGTTAACATGAAATTTGGTGTTGTAATTCTTAGTAATGAAATGATCTATTCAAATAAAAAGTGATTAGTTTTCTGTTTTAAAGACATGCAAATTCAGTTCATGACAGAAATTTATGTTTCCCATGAAATAAATGCATGATAAACAACACACATGCAGACCAAATATGGACATATGTAAATATATATATGTATAAAAAAACATACTGGCAAATTTTGCATGCAATATAAAGCTGTCTCACACAACAGATACTCATTATGGTGGAGACCTCTGTAAATACTTACTGCCTGATATATCTGGGTAGGGGAGGGATCAAAAACATTTGTTAATAACAACAGGAAAAAGTGTGGATAATTCTGCTTATTCAGTAATAAGCCCGGGTCAGATTTGTTTCCATTGAACTGATGAGCTTACTACATTCAATAATTTAAAATGTTAAACTATTTCTATAGAACTATGATAAACATCAGACATGGGCTTACTGCTGAATAGATCCATGATAAACATCAGACATGGGCTTACTGCTGAATAGAACAATGATAAACATCAGACATGGGCTTACTGCTGAATAGAACAATGATAAACATCAGACATGGGCTTACTGCTGAATAGAACAATGATAAACATCAGACATGGGCTTACTGCTGAATAGAACAATGATAAACATCAGACATGGGCTTACTGCTGAATAGAACAATGATAAACATCAGACATGGGCTTACTGAAGTAGTAGACGTTTTCGGGATTATTTATATCTAATAAGAAATTATGTAAATACCAATCAAAATTACATATACAATAGTAAGATCACTTTTGTTAGTACCATTTCCTTTAAACCAAATTATCATTTTTATGTAAATTTTCCATCACATATTAAAGATCTTAATTTTTGGCTGTTCAAATTTATTTAACTCTATTATGGTCATTTGTAAAATCGATGTAAATTTAGTGACAAATCAATTTTTTGAACAAAAAATTTGATATCCTACGTTTTACCATTAAACATGTATTTTGCTAAAACGAGAAAATCTTCATAAGTAGTATTACAGAAAGGTTATTACAACATGGGACTTTTTACAAATATTTTTGATGTTGGAAGGAGAAAAGAAGATGAATGAAGTGTAACACAGAATACAGTTGCTTAAGGATTGAAAAAATTGAAACAACCCCTTTTTCTTTTGTCAAACTTTTCATCAATAAATTCTTTACTGCAGGATGAATATATTGGTAATTTCCACATCTTTCAAATGTACATAACCATTACTTTCCTTCTCTACCCAACCCCCAGCCTTTCACTTATAAGAGTTTGGAAAGCAAATTTATACCAAGTTGTACCTGAAATTTGAAAAGCGTTATGCCATTGTTTTAAATATTTCAGCAAACTTTAAAAAAAAAAAAAAAAAAAGCATTTAACAACTGCGTAAAGCAAAAACAAGTACCAGGGTATGTAAATACATATACTGCAGCCTAATCAATATGGTTTTCTGTTCTGAAAACAAGATGTTTAACTTGTATTACGCAATATCTGTGTACACGTTGCCAGGAAATGAATACATTTCACACTGCCATATTTTTTAAGCAAGTATCATAATTGTGACACTGATCTAAGTGATAAATGGCATTATGAAAATTATCTTCCTAAACCACAATCAGAGGGTTGTATTTTAAGATATTCAAACATGAAGTAAAATGGGACAGATCAAACTTTTCCAGTTGACTTTTACTGTACAATAAATCCATTCAATATTTAGGGGGTAAGGAATCTTTCTTACACATTGAGAAGTTACAATCACTTATGGTGTGAGTAGAAGTATATTGTATTAAGCAGCCTTAGCTCACAAACAGGGTTATGAATCTGCAAATTATTTTCATAATGAATATCCAAAACACAAAAAAAGTTATAAAATATTTAAATAAAACTTCTAAAACATTATTATTGATTTGTCCGAGAAAACGATCCACATGAACTGAACGGGTGAGCGTATCAAGCATACCTATGGTTGTGATGTTCAGCAGACGCGGGTTTCCTTCATCTCCATCTCTCACAGTCACCGATGACAAACGCTTGCCCTAGTCAAGCAAATTCAAACAATGTATGTAAGCAAATATTGAAAGCTGACAGATTTCAACAAATTTTTTACAACAAATCTAATTTAATGACACATTTTCCATACCTATAATTCTCTTAGGCTCAATCATGAATTCTTGGTTGCTGTTTCAGACACCGTCATTGCCAAATAAACATTATCCTGTTTCAGACACCGTCATTGCCAAATAAAGACTATTTTGTTTCAGACACTGTCATTGCCAAATAAAGACTATTTTGTTTCAGACACTGTCATTGCCAGATAAAGACTATTTTGTTTCAGACACTCTCATTGCCAAATAAAGACTATTTTGTTTCAGACACTGTCATTGCCAAATAAAGACTATTTTGTTTCAGACACTGTCATTGCCAAATAAAGACTATTTTGTTTCAGACACTGTCATTGCCAAATAAAGACTATTTTGTTTCAGACACTGTCATTGCCAGATAAAGACTATCCTGTTTCAGACACTGTCATTGCCAGATAAAGACTATTTTGTTTCAGACACTGTCATTGCCAGATAAAGACTATTGCCTGTTTCAGACACCATCATTGCCAAATAAAGACTATTCTGTTTCAGACACTGTCATTGCCAGATAAAGACTATCCTGTTTCAGACACTGTCATTGCCAGACTATTTTGTTTCAGACACTGTCATTGCCAGATAAAGACTATTTTGTTTCAGACACTGTCATTGCCAGATAAAGACTATTCTGTTTCAGACACTGTCATTGCCAGATAAAGACTATCCTGTTTCAGACACTGTCATTGCCAAATAAAGACTATTTTGTTTCAGACACTGTCATTGCCAGATAAAGACTATTCTGTTTCAGACACTGTCATTGCCAGATAACGACTATTCTGTTTCAGACACTGTCATTGCCAAATAAAGACTATTTTGTTTCAGACACTGTCATTGCCAAATAAAGACTATTTTGTTTCAGACACTGTCATTGCCAGATAAAGACTATTCTATTTCAGACACCATCATTGCCAAATAAAGACTATTTTGTTTCAGACACTGTCATTGCCAGATAAAGATTATCCTGTTTCAGACACTGTCATTGCCAAATAAAGACTATTTTGTTTCAGACACTGTCATTGCCAGATAAAGATTATTTTGTTTCAGACACTGTCATTGCCAAATAAAGACTATTTTGTTTCAGACACTGTCATTGCCAGATAAAGATTATCCTGTTTCAGACACTGTCATTGCCAGATAAAGACTATCCTGTTTCAGACACTTTCATTGCCAGATAAAGACTATTCTGTTTCAGACACTGTCATTGCCAGATAAAGACTATTCTGTTTCAGACACTGTCATTGCCAGATAAAGACTATCCTGTTTCAGACACCATCATTGCCAGATAAAGACTATTCTGTTTCAGACACTGTCATTGCCAGATAAAGATTATCCTGTTTCAGACACTGTCATTGCCAAATAAAGACTATTTTGTTTCAGACACTGTCATTGCCAGATAAAGATTATCCTGTTTCAGACACTGTCATTGCCAAATAAAGACTATTTTGTTTCAGAGACCATCATTGCCAGATAAAGACTATCCTGTTTCAGACACTGTCATTGCCAGATAAAGACTATTCTGTTTCAGACACTGTCATTGCCAGATAAAGACTATTCTGTTTCAGACACTGTCATTGCCAGATAACGACTATTCTGTTTCAGACACTGTCATTGCCAGATAAAGACTATTCTGTTTCAGACACTGTCATTGCCAAATAAAGACTATTTTGTTTCAGACACTGTCATTGCCAAATAAAGACTATTTTGTTTCAGACACTGTCATTGCCAGATAAAGACTATTTTGTTTCAGACACTGTCATTGCCAGATAAAGATTATCCTGTTTCAGACACTGTCATTGCCAAATAAAGACTATTTTGTTTCAGACACTGTCATTGCCAAATAAAGACTATTCTGTTTCAGACACTGTCATTGCCAGATAAAGACTATTCTGTTTCAGACACTGTCATTGCCAGATAAAGACTATTCTGTTTCAGACACTGTCATTGCCAGATAAAGACTATTCTGTTTCAGACACTGTCATTGCCAAATAAAGACATTTTGTTTCAGACACTGTCAAGATAAAGACTATTTTGTTTCAGACACTGTCATTGCCAGATAAAGACTATTCTGTTTCAGACACTGTCATTGCCAGATAAAGACTATTCTGTTTACGACACTGTCATTGCCAGATAAAGACTATTCTGTTTCAGACACTGTCATTGCCAGATAAAGACTATTCTGTTTCAGACACCATCATTGCCAGATAAAGACTATTCTGTTTCAGACACTGTCATTGCCAGATAAAGACTATTCTGTTTCAGACACTGTCATTGCCAGATAAAGACTATTCTGTTTAAGACACTGTCATTGCCAGATAAAGACTATTCTGTTTAAGACACTGTCATTGCCAGATAAAGACTATTCTGTTTCAGACACTGTCATTGCCAGATAAAGACTATTCTATTTCAGACACTGTCATTGCCAGATAAAGACTATTCTGTTTCAGACACTGTCATTGCCAGATAAAGACTATTCTGTCTGAGACTTTCTAACTTTAATCATAAGTAAAGTGAACTTACTATAGGCGAATGCTCATGTACGAAAGTACGGAAGGAGCTTCTACTGAAAACAGGTGGTGAATCTTGCTCATCAAAGACGTCTATAGCAATGTTAACAGTAGCTTCATTTTGATTTCCGTCTTGCCTTCTGTCTGGGTTGTCCTGAAAATACATTGTACATAATACAGTCTTCAAATACTTAGAAAAAGCAGGAAGGAGTGAAACAAGGAAGCTCAATAAGTTGGAGGTCCTGTCTAGGGTTCAGAGGTCATAGTGTGCTCCAATAGTGTTTTCCCTCTCCTAATTGATGAAGACACAGCTGTTTTATACATGACATGGGATTATGTGGAGTTGGCATAATACTGATAATCAAAATCAATATGTCTAGAGTTCATCAACACAAATATGGAATTACAGCTCATAGTATTTTTAAGGTTTGATAAAAAAAAAACTTGAAAAAATTAGTGTACATAGTTCAAATTTCAACTTAAAAACATGACAAATTAAAGCTGTTTGATATAAGAGCCTTGATTATCAATTCAATTATCTATTAATATTTACTGATGGTTCAGTTTTTGGACTTGAATTGAAGTCTCTCAGCATTCAGAAAAATTATAGTATAGCAATACTTCAATGTTAAATGAAAATGTAAAAAATTACAAAGCAAGTATTTGTCTGAAAATGTTTTCACCACTCACTATTGCTGAAATTGTCATGGTGTAATCTTTCTGTGTTTCATAATCCAGGGCCTTCGTCACAAAAATGAAAGCTTGGTAAACTTCTTGGTCGTTGTTTCTATTAACGTACTCGTATGAAAGTCCAAACGTTTCACATGCCTCGATACTCTGTAATCAAAGTTTATATGTGATAGATCAATTTATTTCTTACTGTAAACAAATGTTGTTTGCCAATCCCTTCCCCTTTTCCTCCCAACACCCCTCTAAAACATCCTGATTACATAGATCTTGACAAGACTTGCCATATTTATATCCATTGTTTTGATAACACTTCTATTCTAAATATACTGTCCCAATGCCATCCAACTTTCATCATTTACCTATGAGTTCTATATTCAAATACATATGTTTAATACAATAAGCATCAAATTTCATGCATCAAATTGATGACAGATAACCAAATTTCATGCATCAAATTGATGACAGATAACCAAATTGATGACAGATAACCAAATTGATGACAGATAACCAAATTTCAAAATTTCTGAAATCTTCACGATCTTTTTCTCAAAACCAAATCTCCAATGTCAAAGCAAATGAAAGTTTTCTGCTTGAAAGCCAATTTTTTTTTAAATTTTACACTCACTATTTACATCCTTAACCTTTGAACTCCTTACCTTGGTATTGTTTGTAATACTCGAGCAGGCCATTGTTAATTGAGCATTCCATCCTACATCCTTATCAGAAACCAGAATATCACTGTAGATAGTTGTTCCACTTGCAACGTTCTATTGAACCAAATACAGTAGAAATGCTTTACAAATTTTGATACAATAGTAAGCTTTTAAGTGCAAAGAAGTCATACACGCAATGATTGTGCTGATTTATGCCACGTTCTTTAATATCACATTTTTGTTTGCAGTTAATATCATCATAAATATTATCACATTTAATATCACATAACATAATATCATGTTTCATGCCAACATTGATCACTATTCAAGTTAAGTATTATTCTGTTTATTCTAAATGCTATGTTAAACACAAACTCATCGTAATATCTCGATCAATCTTTAAAAAGCATGAATTAAAGTATCTAGATATTTATGTAAATGAACTTCATACATTGTTTGTTATGTAACAAAGAAATAATGAAACCTATTCACAACCTAATTTTTTTAAGCTTATGCATATCTATTTCTGTTCTGAAACTGAAAAGAGTTTAAAAAATCATTTTTTTGGAATCCAAATTTTTCGTAACTCACTGCACCTCTATTTTACATTATTTTCAAGTAAGGCATAGATCAAATACCTAACCACTCAAAGACCAAAAAGATGGGCTTCACAGACGACAATACCCAACACAAGCTTATTACCAGTTAAAAACTATAAGAATTCTTGCTTGCTTTCTATAGATAAAATTCATACCTCAGACACTTGGGTACCATATCCTAAATTCCGCTCAAAGACTGGAGGGTTATCGTTTTTATCCAGTACAGTAATCTTGATTGGCTCTAAGACCTGTGACAGTGACATAAAAAGTACAGAAATCAATAAAGTTATCAAAGCAAAAATTGATGGAAAAAACTTTGTCTCAACTTTACTAGCTCTACTCACAGGAAATTTGATAGCATTAGAAATATCCTAAATATTCTAGCCTTCTACTTTATTATTTTTCTCCTTCTTTACTGTATTTTTTGTCTGATGTATACACGTGTACATGTACTGATATGTCAGCGATTTGTTCATCAATTCAATGCTCTTCTTTGATAAAGCATTATTCCTTCTTTATTACTGGTAACAGAATTCATTGAGAGATAAAGTACATGCCTATTAAACTCTATAAGAGGGCCTTAAACCACTCTACTTACTGTTACACCCTGGTAGCTTGCAATAAATGTTACAGGCAGTGTGTTAGCATTCACCGTCTAAAACAGAAAAACAGAAAAAAACCATTAAAAAGAGTAAAAATAGATATCAGATTAGGTATCTTAACACTACTGCATGTTCTTGAGTTTATAATATTGTTCACAAATACAAATGTCCACACACTATCTACCAACTAAAAAAAAAACAACATTTAACCTTGACCTTTTATCCACTGACCTTGACCAAATTAACTTCTAGTTGACTCCTGAAACTAATGCCATATAAATGGATCTCAGAGAGATACAAAATTTGCCCCAACCTCCAGACCCATGATTTTGACCTTTGGTTAGATGACTTTGACTCAAGCTAAGTGTTCTTAATTATGTAAAAACCACATGTAACACCATATTGACACAAATTAACAACTGGGTAATCAAACATGAAATAAATACCGAGGCTGATGCCAAGAGTAAAGCAAAAACATCCCTTCAATGAAATTTTGATGAAAAAAACAATCGTCGTGTGTTCTGTAGATAGTTGTGTTTGGACATCGTTGATTGCAAAAGCATATAATTTCTTGTCTTTCCAAAGTCAAGAATATCTAAGAAGTGTCAAAAACAGAATGTTTTGGAAAGAATCAATCAAAACTGCAAAAAAAATACATTTTTCCATAATTTTCATTTGAGAATGGGTCTAAAAACACCCTGCCAGAAACAAAAAATTGGTAAAGTTTGGCAACTAAAGATATATTTATAAAAAATATTTAATTGACCTCCCGATCCAAAGGAGCCGCAGTGGTCACAGCACCAGTCGAATTGACACTAAAGTGATTATCTCCACCAGCATCCTCTTTACTGTACACGATATTAGAGTTGGGCTGTCCATCAACATGGGCAACCAGCTGACCAATGTAGGAACCTGGAAAGACCAATAAAAACTCAATTGAGACAGAATATTGTATACCAGATGATCAATATCCAGTTAAGATGTGTTGATTTTTATATCAAATATATATAAAATATACCTTAATTAACGATTAAGCCCAGTGTACCAACACACAAATTCTGGCTCAAAAACAGCACAGAAAATACTAACATATGATCATTATCATATTCTAAACTCAAATTCAATAAAACTAGCACAAATTTGGAACTTAGAAAGATTTACATGGAGACTCCTAAAAATAATTTTAGGATAAGACGACCAGGTGTACCAGAGGAGAAAGCGACACGTCATTTCCAGAACACAGACGACAACAAAGGGACCATCAAGTGTACTAGCAAGCATCAAACACATCTAACTATAAATGGCATACCTATAATAAAATTTAATATTTAGTTCAATTGAGGGGAGGAATTTAATGCAAAGCAATAATTATGTATTTGTTAAAAAATTCTACTATTTGAAATTACAGTGTTATTTTATTGAAGAAAACTCTTACCTGCTGGTAGATTTTCAAGTACACCTTCTTTTGTTATCCTACGTCTCAAATTTCCATCTATATTTGTTTCATCATACTCCAGAAAATTGATTTCTGTAATGAAAAAAGAGAAAGTTAAAACCAATTAAAGTTCATGATTAAATTTGAAAGAGATGTGTTTACCACCAAAGAAAGACAGATACACTCTTCTTTAACACAAACAAATTGAAAACAATACATCTTATTTGCATAATAATTGTACAAGAAATTATGATTTTTTGAAATCAATTTTTAATTTGATACAAATTTGGGTATGTACATACCTATTCCAACAGCAGGAGCCAGAAGAACTGAAACGGCAGAAAAAGAATATTTGTAAACATCATGTAAAACAAAAACTTTTATTGAGCATTGGGCACAAATCAGAGGAAAGGAACTTTAGCTAAACATCACATCTTGATATTTGACATAGAAAACAGGATCATGAATACTGGCGTATGACAAAATCCAAATTCAAAATTGATATTTGAAATGGAGATGAGTTTAAACTTGTCATTTCAGTAATTCCATATAAAACAATCAGGTATGGCAGCAAGTATCAATTTACTAATCGAAGCTGTTTAATGATGAACATTATCATATTTTTCTCCACATCTCCAATTTTCGGTGGTCTTACAGTAAAAGTTTGAGTGTAGGTCTCAAATATCTAAGTCCCTAAAAAATTGATGAGAGCTTTGAACTGACAATTTCATATTCACACAGAATCCTGATAAAAAACAAAGTTGCCAATATTCAAACTTGAGAGGTTTTTTTTTTAAGTTTGGGGCATGTTGTTTAAACTTTACCAACTATCTACGGAGTCACTTTTTTTTAAAATATGAGATGAATTCAGAATATTAACAGCAGTCAGAACAGGTCAAGGTATTGTTTTTCTTTTCTCAGACACTTTTTCCAATGCTACACTAAATCATTATCATTTTCCATCAAAATCTCATGGTTTATGGATGTGATTGAAGTCTTATTCAACCGCAGCACAAAAGATTCAAAGAAAAGAAACAAGAGGTCAGTGGCCCTTAATGGTCACCTAAGGTCTTCAGGTCTTTGGACAGTTTTAGAACCTGTCCATCAGTCACAGCATTGAGTTAGACAGAACAGAACTGATATATACATACCTACTAACGTCTTATTGTTTCTAAGTTTGAAGACTTAATGCAAAATTAAAGTGATAACACTCTCTGTTGTTATATTTTGCATATTTGACCCCTGTGACCTTGAATGAAGGTCAAGGTAATTAATTTGTGGGAAAAATAAAGCCCAGCATGCTACTTGCCCAATATGATGACCCAAGGCCCTTTAGGTTATTGAGAAGTTGTTTAAAGATTTCAACATATTTGACCCCTGTGACCTTGGAAGTGGGTCAAGGTCATTCATCTGACCAAACTTGGTAGCCCCTCATTCCAGCACTCTGGGCCTTTTGGTTATTAAAAAGAAGTAAAAAATGTCATTTGTTTAAGACAGACACTGTATGATGAACATCAATAGGCAACCACAACAGTTCACTTGGTACTTCATCTCCGGTGACCTAAATATTCCACTGTGATCGTGGTAACTCCTATTAGAATATATGGCACAATGTTCCAGAAAAACCACATTCTAGTTTTAGTGTAAATCTCAGTAATCAATTCATCAACTCTCAAATTAAGACGAAGAACAATTCAATGATATGGTGATTTTATGTGTGGCTTTTGAAAAATACTCACCTGCTGGTATCAGCAGTAATAAAATAGTCTTCATCATTCCTTTATTTGTCACTCACTCTAGGTCTGCAAAAACAAGAGTCAGAGTGAAAATGATGAATACTCCACAAAAAAACATTTGATTGGACATAAAATTTTAACAAACTAGGCAATAATTTTGTAAATAAGGGGTTCAAGGCCCTGAATGAGATACACTGTACATCCTCTTAGTCTAATATATATACACCAAGTTTTAGTTTTCTAGCTTAAGTGTAAGTATGTGATTAGGCTACTTGTCAGTCTGTTTTAAGTTGCACAATAATATTCAAGGGAAGTCATATCAGTCAGGTCTATATATCTTGTTCTGGTAAGAAAACGTGTACATGTTCATTATTAAATTGATTCAAAATATTTCAGGCTTAAAAATACATCGATATTTCACATACACACACACATATATATGTAAAATTGATGTAGTATGGTACAAGGATTTTTCACGGTAAGTACATGATAGATCTAGGCGAATGAAACTGTTTTAACCACATATAGCTTATTGGTCGAAAGTTAACAAACATGTACAGGTATAATCATTACACTAATATTCTGATTCATTTTGGTCTTATATCACAAAAGGAAACAGAAATGCGTCAGATAATTTACAATATTGCCATGATGTTTAATGTACCCCTCCTCACTGTCTCATTTGTGGTAAAACAGCAACAAAACAAAACACTGGAATTATACCTTACCTGTGACAGGTGTGATGCCCTACTTTCGACTAAGGTGTTATTGTTTTTCCAGGTGAGATTAAAGAATTTAGATCTCCGAAAGTTAATATTTTCCCAATGCCATCCGATCGGTTCTTGAATATCTCCCTACGAACCAGTAGATGTTATATCTGCACACCCTATGTGTGTATATTCTGGTGATGAAAATAGCATAACAAGGTCTATTGATCGGTGAAAAACCGGTTTTGCAGGTTGTTTATTTTTAGCCGTATTGTTGAATGCTCCACCTCTTCTTTGCATCGGTTGTTATAATTGTATTTTGATAAATTTTACCGGAAAGAATTTGTGTTATTGTATTAAAATTATAAAGTAACAATATGATCTCATACCTAGACTGTTTACTAAGATTTTCTAAAGTAGAAAAATGGGCAATTTTATTTTGTTTCAATCATCAAAATACAAAATTAGAAAATTATCCTCTTTGTCATGTTGCCTGCAAATCTGTTTTTATACTTACACAAGTAAAATGGCCGCCAAAGTGCAAAGAAGCGGAACGAAGTCCCACCCTCGACTTGTTTGACACGCCCACCCAAACCGGTCTTGGAAGTTATGAATAGAAACACGGATTGAATGTTGATCTCAGGCAGGGCGTACAGCAGCTTCGGACAGGTAAGATGCACAACAAGGAAAACTCACCAATTGTCCATTTTCTTACTTAGTCACTATTTTGTCACGGACAAGATGAAACAAAAAATGTAAATTATGTTTTCAATGATTTTCACTAGGACTGTTTCAATTGTTTTGATCGACGTGATGTTTAGTAAATAGGACGAAGTGATAGTCAGCCTGTTAGTAGGCATAACGTGTTATTTTTGCCTGCACGTTTTAAAACGATGATTTTTGTAGTTCTGAATTCTTTATTTTCACATCAAAGAAGTTATGAATATAGCGCTGTACAGACTCATGAGTAGCGCAAGTGTAAGTCGGTAGCCCTGTGACATTTTATATCGCTGTTCAGCAAAGTACCATCATAACATGTATCATAAATCTTATGTCAACTAGTTAAAGTGATACTGAGATGTTTGTGTCTATGTGCTACATGGTAGTTGCATGATGTTGTATTTGTTGTATTAGAAAGGTACCTCGATTCTTCATTTCAGTTAATTATTGTTGAACTAACTTAGAGCGAAACATTGGGGGGGGGGGGGGGGGGCGGAGGGGGGAAGAATGCTTGATTCGATTGATTGAAAATTGTATCATTGCTGTTTTTTTTACTTTATTCATATTTTACTTTTTCAGTGCTGATTTTCGTAACATCATGTACCAGTCAGCTTGGTGGCTGGGAGCATGGCTTCTGGTTATCGTTAACACAGGTAAATAAAACTTGAATTGTAAAGTCAATGAGAACAAAAATACAAAATACTAAACACAGTAAAAGATGTATTGCAATTATTCTGAGAAGGTATATTGTACATATTTACTATATGCTCAGTACAAAGATACATGTATGATTATTGAACTGAAACCATTTTTATTTATCCTAATTTCAAAAAATTAAATAAAAAAGTTTCGTTTTTTCGAATTATCCATAGAAGATGAAGAACAGCCATACTTTAAAAGCAGGGTTAATGAAATCTGCACAATAATTTGATCAAGTTACATGACATGTGCAAATATATATATATATATATATATATTATTTGTTCTAGTTTGTGGACAAATAACTCCTGTGTTTGTACAAGATATGAATGGCTTTGGTGTCCCAGAAGACTGGGACAAAACAGGTAAGTAGAAATAAGTTTTGTGGTTCAAGTTTTAAGGTTAGGACCTATAGAGTTCATTTGGTTAAGCTATTTCATCCAATTCACATTTAATTCTTGTAATTAACATGAAACCAGACTTTTACATATGACAGAATACAGACAAGTGACATTGTTGGATGAGATTGAAGATCCCTGAAAACCGGCCAGTTTCTTGTCAGTGGCCAGTAGATGTATAGTATTGACGTGTTAAATAATTCTCATCATAATTATTGTATTGTTATGCATTCTATACTCCATTATATTTATAGATCTGCTTCCCGTATTTATTCCAATAAACGCCCCGTCTCTAATAAACCCCCCCCCCCCCACCTGTTTTCTCAGTAAATTTCAACAACTCAGGAGTCAGGTTACAAAGCTTACCTTTTAATAAATTTTAAATTCCTGATACCCATGAACATGAACAAATGAATTTTGGCACAAGAAAATTACACTGTCACAACATGTACACAAGTAATATCAATTTAATCCACGGTTCATTTCAATATACTGCAGGCCTAACGGCCGGAACTGCCATACGAACTACTGTCTTCACTTTCGCCAGTCTCGCTTTCACTCAGTTCTGTTTGTGGAATAGAAGGCGCATTCACATCAGCCATTAAATTTTGCAAAACGTCATCTGCAGCTTGGACATCCTTTTTACTAAACCCCTGGAATTCCTCATCGTCGGAATCATGCTGGAAAATATGATCCTCGCTACCGTCCAGCGAATTTGTGATACCGCATTTTTTGTACGATCTTCTGATTGTGTCCGGGCTATTGCTATCCCATGCTGTCTTGACCCAAGACAACATTACAGCTTTCGATGGGGCTTTACGATTCCCTGCTTTGGTTTTCTCAATGGGGCCACTGAAACACCATTCGTCATACAACTCTCCAAGTTTTTGTTTATTCCACGACACATCAGCTGGCTGTAGCTTACATATACATCCTCCGGGTATAACACAGATGTCTGAATTATATTTTTGACGAACCAGTTTTTTTACATCTTCAGTAAGATGACCACGGAAAGCGTCCCATACTAATAACCGCCTAGCTGTATTATACACACCCCAGAGTTTTTTTAACCAAAATTTTATACTTTCCTCGTTTGCCCAGGATTTTTGTCCGGCCTGCACATGTATACCACAATACCACTTGGTATGTCATCTTTCGGAAGGGGACGAATGCCTGGCATGTGCACAAGGGGGGCGATTTTAGTCCCATCGGTATATGCTGCCAGTGTCACCGTTATTTTTTGTTTTTCGTGGCCAGTACTGTAAACTCTGACCTCCTTTTCCCCCTTTATTGCCAATGTTGATTTTCCTGGCATGTCAAACCACACCGGGGTTTCGTCCATGTTAGCGATATGGCTATCGGGGTATTCTCGTAGCCAACACATTCTTGACACGAAATTAAAAAACTGTCAATACGATCATCAATTAATGAAACTTCATGTTGTGCCACAAGTGTAGATCGCCTGAACGAAATGTTATGTCTCTTTTTGATTTTAGAAAACCATCCATATGAGGCTTTTAACAATTGACTACCATTTGCCTTATGCATACGCAGGGCCTCAAACCGCAATGCTTTCCCAGTCACTCGTATTCCGGCCTCCCGTCTGTCCTGTAGCCATCTCATCAGATTTTTAGGTCATCTGACCCGAAGGGTCCGATGACCTATAGTCATCATGCTTCGTCCGTCGTCGTGCGCCGTGCGCCGTCCGTAAACTTTTCATTCAAACGACTTCTTCTCAAATACTAGAAGGTCTAGGGGGCTAATACTTGGCACAGAGGATACTGGCATGGAGCTCTACCAAGTTTGTTCAAATGAATGACCTTGACCCACTTTAAAGGTCACAGGGGTCAAATATGTTAAAATCTTTAAACAACTTCTTCTCATTAACCAAAAGGCTCAGAGTGTAGATATTGGGCCTGTGACATGCTGGGATGAAGGACTACCAAGTTTGTTCAAATGAATGACCTTGACCCACTTTAAAGGTCACAGGGGTCAAATATGTTAAAATCTTTAAACAACTTCTTCTCAATAACCAAAAGGCTCAGATTGCTGATATTGTGCCTGTGGCATGCTGGGATGAAGGGCTATCAAGTTTGTTTAAATGAATGACCTTGAACAACTTTCAAGGTCACAGGGGTCAAATATGTCAAAATCTTTAAATAACTTCTTCTCAAATACTAGAAGGCCTAGGGGGCTAATACTTGGCCCATAGCATGCTGGCATGGAGCCCTACAAAGTTTGTTCAAATGAATGACCTTGGCCCACTTTCAAGGTCACAGGGGTCAAATATGTTAAAATATACAAAGGACTTCATCTCAATAAGCAAAAGTCTATGAGTGCAGATATTGGGTCTGTAGCATGCTGGGAGGAAAGGCTACCAAGTTTATTTAAATGAATGACCTTGAACAACTTTCAAGGTCGCAGGGGTCAAATATGTCAAAATCTTTAAATAACTTCTTCTCAAATACTAGAAGGCCTAGGGGGCTAATACTTGGCCCATAGCATGCTGGCATGGAGCCCTACAAAGTTTGACTTTCAAGGTCACAGGGGTCAAATATGTTAAAATATACAAAGGACTTCATCTCAATAAGCAAAAGTCTATGAGTGCCGATATTGGGTCTGTAGCATGCTGGGAGGAAAGGCTACCAAGTTTATTCAAATGAATGACCTCAACCCACTTTCAAGGTCACAGGGGTCAAATATGTTAAAATATGCAAACGACTTCTTCTCAACAAGCAAAAGTCCATGAGTGCTGATATTGGGCCTGTAAGATGCTTGGAGGAGAGGCTACCAAGTTTGTTCAAATGAATGACCTCAACCCACTTTCTAGGTTTGGCTTGCTTTTTGTCAGATGACCGTTAAGGCCCATGGGCCTCTTGTTGATCTTTAGAGTAGTACTAAATGATCATTGTCAACTTTTAAATGTAGTTTTTTCTTTGTCCCTTCTTGTGCAGAGACAATTTTGAGACAGATCAGATTTTTTAGCGATTTCATATCTGGGTTCTCTTCGGTCCTTTATTGTCTCCTTTTTCATTCTGGGAATTATCAAAGAAATCAAGTGGCCGACAGGTGACCATCTTGGATTTCAAGTTTACTGTCACTATTTCGTGAGAAAATGCTGCATGGATCTTTCTTCAGTACTCTGTATGTTTCCCTTAGTCCCGGCCCCTTTCATTTTAGGACTTATTAGAAAATTAAAATGGCAGCCATACTACTATCGTGGATTTGACAAAGAGAAAAGATCAACCATTTAACAAATAATTTTCATTGCTTGTGACAGTGGAGAAGTAATTGTGGTGTCATATTATTGACAATAACATTATGTAATGAATCAGAAAACATCACAAAAAAAAGATCATTGCCTTTGTTGCCTTCAAACCTATTGAAATGAAACTTTCCTGAGTTATGTGATAACACGTTTCTTAGATTTACTTTCATTTCAAATGAGATTTTATGAAACTTGACTTGTTCAATAAAACCTCATGAAACGACAAGTCATTTGAGATCCAATATATTTGTGAATGCATGGCATCAGTTAAGTCATTATAAAATATTTTGTAAAAGTTTTATGTAAATTTTGTATGTCTTACAAAAACATGACACTTCATCAAAATCCCAATGACTCTTTTTAATATTCTTGTAGTTACAGAATTACATTTAGTCGTAGGAAATAATTGTAACAGATGTCATTATTTATTTCAATGCCTCCGCTAGGAATCGAACCCGGGACCCCTGGCGTACTAGTCTGACGCTCAACCAATCGGGCTAAAGAGAAGTTCTCTCTAGCCGAGTGGTATATTGTGGCTAGTATTTACCATGGTTACAGAGCTAAAGAGAAGTTCTCTCTAGCCGAGTGGTATATTGTGGCTAGTATTTACCATGGTTACAGAGCTAAAGAGAAGTTCTCTCTAGCCGAGTGGTATATTGTGGCTAGTATTTTACCAGGGTTACAGAGCTAAAGAGAAGTTCTCTCTAGCCGAGTGGTATATTGTGGCTAGTATTTACCATGGTTACAGAGCTAAAGAGAAGTTCTCTCTAGCCGAGTGGTATATTGTGGCTAGTATTTTACCAGGGTTACAGAGCTAAAGAGAAGTTCTCTCTAGCCGAGTGGTATATTGTGGCTAGTATTTACCATGGTTACAGAGCTAAAGAGAAGTTCTCTCTAGCCGAGTGGTATATTGTGGCTAGTATTTTACCATGGTTACAGAGCTTAAAGAGAAGTTTACCTCAAGCCGAGTGGTATATTGTGGCTAGTATTTACCATGGTTACAGAGTTCTCTCTAGCCGAGTGGTAAGAGACCATGGTTACAGAGCTAAAGAGAAGTTCTCTCTAGCCGAGTGGTATATTGTGGCTAGTATTTTACCAGGGTTACAGAGCTAAAGAGAAGTTCTCTCTAGCCGAGTGGTATATTGTGGCTAGTATTTTACCAGGGTTACAGAGCTAAAGAGAAGTTCTCTCTAGCCGAGTGGTATATTGTGGCTAGTATTTACCATGGTTACAGAGCTAAAGAGAAGTTCTCTCTAGCCGAGTGGTATATTGTGGCTAGTATTTACCAGGGTTACAGAGCTAAAGAGAAGTTCTCTCTAGCCGAGTGGTATATTGTGGCTAGTATTTACCATGGTTACAGAGCTAAAGAGAAGTTCTCTCTAGCCGAGTGGTATATTGTGGCTATATTGGTATATTACAGTATTTACCAGGGTTACAGAGCTAAAGAGAAGTTCTCTCTAGCCGAGTGGTATATTGTGGCTAGTATTTACCAGGGTTACAGAGCTAAAGAGAAGTTCTCTCTAGCCGAGTGGTATATTGTGGCTAGTATTTACCATGGTTACAGAGCTAAAGAGAAGTTCTCTCTAGCCGAGTGGTATATTGTGGCTAGTATTTTACCAGGGTTACAGAGCTAAAGAGAAGTTCTCTCTAGCCGAGTGGTATATTGCGGCTAGTATTTACCATGGTTACAGAGCTAAAGAGAAGTTCTCTCTAGCCGAGTGGTATATTGTGGCTAGTATTTACCATGGTTACAGAGCTAAAGAGAAGTTCTCTCTAGCCGAGTGGTATATTGTGGCTAGTATTTTACCAGGGTTACAGAGCTAAAGAGAAGTTCTCTCTAGCCGAGTGGTATATTGTGGCTAGTATTTACCATGGTTACAGAGCTAAAGAGAAGTTCTCTCTAGCCGAGTGGTATATTGTGGCTAGTATTTACCAGGGTTACAGAGCTAAAGAGAAGTTCTCTCTAGCCGAGTGGTATATTGTGGCTAGTATTTTACCATGGTTACAGAGCTAAAGAGAAGTTCTCTCTAGCCGAGTGGTATATTGTGGCTAGTATTTACCATGGTTACAGAGCTAAAGAGAAGTTCTCTCTAGCCGAGTGGTATATTGTGGCTAGTATTTTACCAGGGTTACAGAGCTAAAGAGAAGTTCTCTCTAGCCGAGTGGTATATTGTGGCTAGTATTTTACCAGGGTTACAGAGCTAAAGAGAAGTTCCCTCTAGCCGAGTGGTATATTGTGGCTAGTATTTACCAGGGTTACAGAGCTAAAGAGAAGTTCCCTCTAGCCGAGTGGTATATTGTGGCTAGTATTTACCAGGGTTACAGAGCTAAAGAGAAGTTCTCTCTAGCCGAGTGGTATATTGTGGCTAGTATTTTACCAGGGTTACAGAGCTAAAGAGAAGTTCTCTCTAGCCGAGTGGTATATTGTGGCTAGTATTTTACCAGGGTTACAGAGCTAAAGAGAAGTTCTCTCTAGCCGAGTGGTATATTGTGGCTAGTATTTTACCAGGGTTACAGAGCTAAAGAGAAGTTCTCTCTAGCCGAGTGGTATATTGTGGCTAGTAGTTACCAGGGTTACAGAGCTAAAGAGAAGTTCTCTCTAGCCGAGTGGTATATTGTGGCTAGTAGTTACCAGGGTTACAGAGCTAAAGAGAAGTTCTCTCTAGCCGAGTGGTATATTGTGGCTAGTATTTACCATGGTTACAGAGCTAAAGAGAAGTTCTCTCTAGCCGAGTGGTATATTGTGGCTAGTATTTTACCAGGGTTACAGAGCTAAAGAGAAGTTCTCTCTAGCCGAGTGGTATATTGTGGCTAGTATTTTACCATGGTTACAGAGCTAAAGAGAAGTTCTCTCTAGCCGAGTGGTATATTGTGGCTAGTATTTTACCAGGGTTACAGAGCTAAAGAGAAGTTCTCTCTAGCCGAGTGGTATATTGTGGCTAGTATTTTACCAGGGTTACAATATGATCACTTTTTTATAATGTTGGTAAAATGTCATAAACTGTAGCATTATTGCCATCTCATCACACTACATTCCATCCGCTGTAGTTTGCATATTTCAGTGCAATACACCTCACACTGGTCATTATGTGATTAAGGTAACAGTTTAGTCTTTAAACCATCATACATAGATTTTATGATTGCTTGTTATATATGGACATCTATTCAATGTAAATCAAAGGTAAATATCAGTTGAAAAACACCGTCATAAACAATATACTGTAAAATCCAATATTTTTGTGGGGCTAAAATTTTGTGGTTTTTCAAAAATTTATGTGTTTTCGTAGGCATTTGAATTTTTGGATAAATCTTGTTTCATTCTCCACTAGAACTATACTCTATGTCAAATTTTATCTGTTTATTCTCTGATGAGCATGAATCCATGAATTTGGAGTACCCACAAATTAAACAAAAATAAATTTCCACAAAAATTAATGATTTTACAGTATACTGTCTTCCTATTGTGTCTTCAGATAACAAATGCCTGTTATATAAAATGTGGGAAAATGGGGAACCATTCATCCTCATGAACCAAATTGGTTAATAGTGCGTATACAGATTTATATAGATAATTTCTTTACTCCTTTATAGTGCCTGTTTATACACTGCTGGCGGTGGCTAACGATGAGGTGACTTACGCAATCGAAAACTCAAACACATTTGAGTTGAAAAATGAATTTGATGGGAAGGTTTATCTTACCAAAACCCCTGATTATGAGGTGAGTTTATCCATTTAAGCTGTTTTGAAAATTTATGACAGTAAAAGGATTTATCATCATGAAACACATGTATAATCAAGTGACCATTTTTTTATTAGCCCACCATCCAATAGATGGTGGGTTATTCAAATCGCCCTGCGTCCGTGGTCCGTGGTCCGTCCGTAAACAATTCTTGTTACCGCTATTTCTGGAAAAGTACTGGATGAATCTTTCTCAAATTTCATATGCAGGTTCCCCTTGGTCCCTAGTTGTGCATTGTACCTTTTTTGAACTGATTCGCTTTCAAGATGGCCGACAAGTGGCCATCTTGCATTTTGGTAGTAAAAGTTTGTTACCACTATTTCTAGAAAAGTACTGGATGGATCTTTCTCAAATTTTATATGCAGTTTCCCCTTGGTCCCTAGTTGTGCACTGTACTTTTTTTGGACTGATTCGAATTCAAGATGGCCGACAGGCAGCCATCTTGGATTTTGGAAGTAAAAGTTTGTTACTGCTATTTCTTGGAAAGTACTGGATGGATCTTTCTCAAATTTCATATGCAGTTTCCCCTTGGTCCCTAGTTGTGCATTGTACCTTTTTTGGACTGATTTGAAATCAAGGTGGCCCACAGGCAGCCATCTTGGATGTCGACAGTAATACAGCACAAGCATATTGTCCATTATCCACCTGTAACTGACTGCTATCTAATAATACTTTGGGATCTTTTTCAAATCATATTTGCTAATAGGTGCTTAATAAAAATATCTTGTGCCATCATTGAGTACATTCAATGAAGACCAGTTCATGAACATTTACAACACCTGTAACAAACAAACAAAAATAAACAAATCTTCAAGAACTGAAAACAGATCCTCAAATGGTGGGCGCCAAGATCCCTCTTGGATCTCTTGTCATTCCTAGATTCCCTTGCCCAAAGGAGCTGTGGTGTCGCATTCATTATCCATTTATCTGTCCATCATTTGTCTGTCTGTCATCCATCTAGCATCAATACTTTCCTTTTAACAACTTCTTCTCAATAACTAAAAGACCAAAAGTCACCATTTTGGGCTAGTTACTGACTTGCTGGGATGAAGTTTGACAAAGTTTATGAATAGAAATCTTGACTCATGATCAAGTTCACTGGAGTCAAATGTCCTAAAACACTTCTTTTATTGACCAAAAGACCTAAAGTTATGATATTTGTATTAAAAGTTCATGGGATAAAATTAGCTGAAGAAATTACCTTTACCTATATTCAAGATCACATGAGTCAGCTTTGTTGATTTCTAATGATCAACTGATTGCACAAAAGTCTTAGAATCATGATATTTAACATTGATTTCTGATACAAAGCCTTACAAATTTTCCTTGTGGACAAAGATGTCAAGTTTCTTCACTTGCCCATAAATTACTTTAACTTTAAAAATGATCCATCGTTGAAGACAAATAATTCATTTTTCTGTGTACATCATACTAGTTTACTTTTTTTTGTGAAAAAAAACAAACCTGGTTGGTTTTTGTGATTGTTTCATACTATGCGAAGTGTTTATCTTTTTGATTTTTTTCAGAATGTTCGAGACAGATTTGTTACTGTGACATTTATTGCAAAGAATGAAAGAAGAAGAACTCAAGTAAGTTTTACTATTGTATTGTATTGCAGAATAAGTAACAAAATGGCTATCTGTATCAATACAGTATGCTCCTACTCATAATCAAAGATAATTTCAGAGAATGCTGAAAGCACCTTGAGCTTGGGAATAGAAATACTGAAAGTACAAAATAAAATGAGACTAGTGGAATGGTAAAACATGGCATCTGACAAATAAATTCGGAAACCACCAATGGTGATACTGAGGATGGCAACAAGGAAAGATAACTCTGATGTAAATCATATATTCTGCAATGGAGATATTTTTTGCATATCAGTGAAATCATTTCTATGATTTTTTATTTAAAAAATAATAATTGAGGAAAACTGTTTAAGATTTAAAAATAATATTGCACATTTTTTTGTTTTTTTTATAAAGACAGAAGTAGAGGTTGGTGTGAACATTCTAGATGCAAACGATAATGATCCAGTGTTTGCATCAGATACATACAGTAAGAGTATACCTGAGGTAAGTGTTTATTTGTTGTCAAAGAACTTTTAATACATATGTGTTAACTTGCATCACAGTAATATTTTAAGTAGATTCTATATGGATGTTACAAAATCTTCATACTTATGTCATGTGATATGACGTTAGATAAAATACAGTCTAACCTGTATTAAACAGCCACTGTTGGGAAATTATGAAAGTGGCCTTTATAGAGAGGTGGCCTCTTAATTGAGGTTCCTTATATTCTAACCCAAGTTGCGGCAATTTGCACATTGACATTTGAATACAGTTTAATAATAAGATATAAAACATCATCTGTTATTATTTATTATCTTGTTAGCAAGTAATTTGAAGACAGACCAATCTTTATTTTATGACACAACTATAAATACAAAAGAACAAAATTGAAAGGAAGGCATGTACAAGTTTTAATGAAACTATTGAAAAATTCTTAATCGAACAACCGTAATGTTCTACCTGTAATTTCGCATGTGATTCAAGTCAAAACATTTACTTCTTTGTTAGGTTTGTTAATGCAAAATTATTCCCAATAATTGTTAATATTTGTTTGAATATATTTCATTTATAACCAAGAAAACGTAAACATAAATTATTCATTCTTAATCTGCCTGCGTTTTCATTCAAACACTCGATGCCATGTCTAAACGACATCCAGTAAAGACTAGTATCTAGAGTGGATGGGAACTTTATAATGATGTCGCACGAAAAATGGCGACGAAGTGGAAGCACTCCAGTATTGTATATATTGTTCTTACAACCTTCAAAAATGAACCACTGCGTTGTTTTTGCTTTCTATCCATTAAAATATTTTTTATAAAATTTCTCATCCTAGTTACCTGTTGTCGGGAATGTTTCTGGGTTTTACTCTACTCCTCATTAATATTCAGGACCTCAGGTCACGGATAGCCGCTCTCTATTCTAGCGAAATGTTGAGTTTACAAAGCGAAAGCACTCGCAATGAAATTTGATTGACAAAAAACAACTAAATGTGGTATTTTTCGACAGTGCATTTATTTCTCTTAATGATCAATATTTTGTTCGATACAGAAACTTTCGATCCGATATATCTAACGAACGTAAAATACCGGTTTTCGATACAGAGCCCTATCTTCAAGAGTTAAAGTTTTTCATTTGCTGCTCATATTTCGAAGTGATTTGCCACAATAGTGATAATATGCCTGTATTGTGTATACCAGTGACGTAAATGAAATCAAACTCCATATAAAATGCATGGTGAATTGTTTACGTGCCATCAGCTGTTTTCTTAGTAGGAATGTTCACGTTGCGAGAAAACGTGACTCGCAGTCAAGAAAGCTTGTCAAATGACTTGTGGTCAAAACAGCCGTTAACCAGAGGCTTCGATCGCGAGTTTGGGGACGAAAAGGGTGGCCGCTGGCCGCGTTAGACAGGTGACTGTTAAATTAGATATCATTAGTGAGCAAAAACGATTGGGAGGGTCTGAAAACGGCCGTTATAAGCAGGTGGCCGTCTAACTAAGATGGCCGTTATGACAGGTTAGACTGTATTGATAATTTGAAAAAAAAGGAGAGAGCCATGATATTGCTGTTATACACATGTAAGCCTTCCTAGCATATAAGCCTCACACATGAGAGGGAAAGAGCAGCAGCTAATAACCTGGAAAATATGGTATATGTCTTTTATAAGTCACTTTCTATCACAGAATACGCCAGTTGGAACCACAGTCCTGAACCCTACTGATAAGTTCTATGTCAGTGATGTTGATGGAGTCAACAAGGCGCTCAGATTAATCTGTGATCCTAGCAAGGCAGCCGCTCAGGTAAGTTAATGAACTTTAATTGTAACTTAGAGACTTAAGGGTGTATTCTACCTTATCATAACATGGAGACTTATAGAGTTAATAGTACCTTATTGTAACATGAAGACTTAAGACTACATTAGTAGCTCACCTGACCCTATAGGGATACCACAGTGTCCGTCCACTATCCATAGTCTACAAAACATTACTGGTCAGGAACAACAGGAGGCAGTGCTACCAAATGGGGAAATTGAGCAAATTCATTAAAATCCTACCCCTTTTTTAGGAATAATTGGATTTTGCCTAAATGTGGCCAGAAGCATCTTGGGTAAAGGGAATCAATGCTGTATAAACGATGGGTCTTGACCCCCTACGGCAAAAAGGGGTTGGAGAGGCATGGCCCAATAGAAGAAATAGTGTAAATTTTAAAAAAATTCTTTTCCTTGTGTAGGATTGATTGGATTTCGTCAAAATGTGGTGTGAAGGAAAATCAATTTTTTATAAATGGTGGGGTGCAGTCCCCTGGGGCGGGGCCCTCTACTTGTAGGGATGACTGGACTTAACCCATATTTGGTCTGTAGTATGTTTGGATGAAGGAAATCAGTTTTGTAAAAATATAAGGTGCCTGGGGCAAGAGGGGAGGGGACTCAGTAGGGGAAAAGTTTTATATCTTTGAAATAGTTTAGATCCTAACTCCATAGCCATGTATAGCATTGCTTGGCAAAAAGAGATGAACACAGTGGTGACGTAAGAACTGACTCGTGGTCTGGCCAAGGCCCCAAGGGACTTAGATTCCTTTTTATGTCTTTGAAACAGTTGAGATCCCTATCTCATAATCTTATATAGAAATGATAGGCATCAAGAGATAAACATATTCATGATGTAAGAACATGCCATTAGTTGTGACTTCACCCTTCTGAACTTAATTTCTGGGTTATATGTTTGAAACGGCTGAGATCCCCACCCCTAAACTATTTATAGCAATGCTGGATAACAAGAATTGGTCCTTGGATGTGGCACACCTCAGGGGATGTTCTTTCTAGGTCGTATTTTTGACATGGTTGAAATACCAACTCAATAACCATATAAACTCTTATTTGGCATCAAAAGAGAAAGACAGTAATGCTATCAGAATTTAGCCATTGATCTTGCCCCATCAAAGATGTTAGCTTACTAAGCTTTAATTTGAAAATATTTGAAATACCTAAATTATAGGCATGAATAACATTGCTGTGCTTTAAAATCCTGGTGAGTGGTACTGGCCCTATAGGCCCCTTGTAACATGGAGACTTAAGGATGTATGCTTTGTACATGGAAACTTGATAAAGAATATTTGCTACTTTTTAGGAACTACCTTATTGTGTTGTGGAAAATAACAAATGCCTGCTACAAATTTCAATTTGGACACCTAATTAGAAATAATATGCTGGCCATTTGGGCATACTGGGTGAGAATTTCTATGTTGATCTTATGTCTGTTTTATTTTGGTAGCACACAGATGCCTGTAACTTCTTCGAACTAGTGAGATTCAACAGCAGTACAAACTCCTGGGCCGGATCTCTCATTCTCTCTCAGCCTCTTGATTATGAAGTCCGATCTCAGTTCCAGATCCCTATTGTTGCGACTGTAAGTTTGAGGATTAAAATCTCAATGTAACTTTGTCAAGTAGATGTTATGAGTTGGTGTAATAATCATTCATTGTCTGACATGTTGTGTCTACTTCGATGCTCCTTCTTGATTTGTCAGATGTTGTGATTATATATAAGCTGTTAGATATTTGGTGAACATATACAAAAATAACCTGATAATTGATGTTATCCTTCAAAAATTTATTTTAATGGGGCACAAATTTCAGGGTTTGTTCAAGGAACTACTATTTTGTGAGCATTTTATATTACAGATCATCTATATCCAGTAGCAAGTATCAACTTATCCAAAAAAAAATTAATTTTGCAACAATTTTCTAATTCATGGATAAAAGTAACCAAAATTATGAACAGAAAAAAACACACAACGGTTAATGATTTCACAGAATGTGTTGTCCAATATATTCTAATAGTAAATATTCGCCTTTGGCCTTGTGCAACAGTTTGGTCTGAGGGTTCAACATAACACATGTTGACCTCAAACCCAGTCAACAAATGTATATTGGTTTCACAAAATGTGCTCAGTGAATCGAATAGAACAAGGTGTGAAAAAAATGATTATCACTAGATGAATTCATCACATCTTGACAGTGATTTGTCATGACTTTCAGAGCAGAAGAGAATTATTGGGGATCAACCGAAAATAAAAATCTACTATTGCTTTCAATATCAACGATCTTTGAAGATATTTGAAGAATATACTTGATAAAACCAACAATCAGGTGTCTGTTTATACTTGATATCTAGTATCTTGCTTCAAATAATGTTTCATTTCCACAGAGGTCTAAATACACCTTTCCAAAGAGGTCTAAACACGCCTTTCCACAGAGGTCTAAACACACCTTTCCACAGAGGTCTAAATACGCCTTTCCACAGAGGTCTAAACACACCTTTCCACAGAGGTCTAAACACACCTTTCCACAGAGGTCTAAATACGCCTTTCCACAGAGGTCTAAACACACCTTTCCACAGAGGTCTAAATACGCCTTTCCACAGAGGTCTAAACACACCTTTCCAGAGGTCTAAACACGCCTTTCCACAGAGGTGTAAACACGCCTTTCCACAGAGGTCTAAACACACCTTTCCACAGAGGTCTAAATACACCTTTATCAAGAGAGATATACATGATGATGTTTTGATTTTTATGGCCTGGATTAGTACAACATCAGAAAAAAGGCTGTATTTGTCCTGCCTATATTATATCCACTTGACACAAAACAGAGGAGGATTCTGCATGTTTCTGCAATTACTCTGTCACTACCACAGGCTGTCAACCAATTCCTATATTCCTATATTTTGGTTCAAAAACCTATATTTTGAGAGACCTTATTTCCTGTATTTTTCAGGAAATTTGTCGCCGATGAATGCAGAGATTGTAAATATTTCTTTGATACTGCTTTTGGCTTCTGTATTTTACAAGTTAGAGAATTCTTAAGTCTTTAACAGCATCACCAGCCACCAGAAAATGATTCAGTGCATCTCTTTATCACCTGTATGGGCACCTTGCTAGGCAGGACAACAGGATGTTGGCCTTTTAGGTGCCCATTCAGATGATGATGATGATGATGATGATGATGAACTATGCAGCAGCTCTCTGTCTGGATTGTGATGCTGTTGAAGTGAATGGTTACTTTAAGGTAGATTTTAATCATTGATTAACATAGAAACAGTAAGTGAAGGTAAGAATTGTTAGTATAAATGCTTTTGAATGAAACAATTTTTGTTTGGAAAACTCCTATATTTTACCTCAAAACTAGCAAAAAACTCCTATATTTTACCTCAAAACTAGCAAAAAACTCCTTTATTTGTTGAAAAAATGTTCCTATATTCCTATTACATTTCGAAGAAGACTTGGTTGACAGCCTGCTACCATGGTTTAAAACGACCCAGCAACATTTTTCAACACCACATTTTGATGGTTTACAAATCAATATGCATCCTTTCAATCAAGCATTGGGAAGGCATATTATCCCATGAATGAGGTGGAGTCTGAGCAGGGCCTTTCATGAAAATGCTTTGTTCTTATGTATAATGTGCATCACGTTTTTAAAAAACCAAAATCCTCCCAAAAAGGTGTGCATTATACACACATATTTATGGTAGTTGTTTCACAAATGAACTGACTTGGTTACATCTTTGCAGGATGGAAAGAATTTCCAACTGAATACTGTTGAAATAACAGTAATAAACATTCAGGATACCCCTCCACGGTGGAATCGAGCCCAGGACATCACTGTTGTTGAGGAGAAACAAGTGGTAAGAAGTTGTATGTGAACCGCTGTTGTTTAGTGAAGCTGGTTATGAAAACCTATTGCATCACAAATAGACACTTGAAGAGCATAAATTATTTATATTGCCCAATGTTCAAAGCCAAATTTGAGGTAACTTAACGTCAAATTTGTCTGACTTTTCAACAGCTTCTTAATCTTATCAATTATGACTGTTTTGATACAAGACCAGAGATAATATTGTATTTTAGCAAAATCCCAAAATTGTTACTAAAAAGAGAAAATGCATATTAAAGTTATCTCCCTTTGGGGGAAAAAAGCAGTCAAATTTAACACTAGATAAACTGTGAAGTGTTTTAACTTATGTTTACATTTTCTTTTTGAAGGGCACATATTTGGACTTTGTTGAAGCTGTAGATGGTGATGTTGATGACCCTCGTCCAATCTTTTATGAAATCATTGATACAAGTAAGTCTACTTTATATCTAGTTGAGGTATTCAACATGTCCCAGTATACATTTGGAATATCAGCACTGATACCTATAATTTCTTTAAATTTGTTAGTCACCTTGCTATGAAATTTTGATAAAAATGAATATGCGTATTGCTCCCCATTTGTCACCGTACATTGTGACAATGGATCAGTTTAACACCCCTGGACTCAATATGGGACTCATTCTTCAGACAATTTATTAGGCACTGTGAAGTTAATTTACAGTAGTAATGAACTAATTTTAATATGTTTTGTAGTTGGTGTCGGACACACACTTTTTAGAATCGACAATGCAACAGGACAGATCTATAACACTGTATTGATCGATCGAGAGAGTCCGGATTTTCTGCAGGGATATGTGGATCTAAATATACGTGTAAGTCATAAATGTTTGAACAAATACATATCTTAAATTTTGAATATCCTGGTAAAATTGTTCAATGTCCAAGAGTGATATTTTCTGTTTGTCCTGGAACTTTTATGTAATTGAAATTTCCATGTACAACACAGTCAAAATCTGAGCTTATACATTGAAAAGTTTTTCATCTTCAAGTTTCTGAGAATCACTTGTTGGAAAAAGTGAAATTGAATAATCTTTAGCTTGAACAAGGAACCAGGTTTTAGCATAGACTATCAGCTTGAATATGAATAAGAAGACAGTCACCCACCACTTTGTTGCTTTGTACATGTCTTCCACATTTCATGCTAGGGTATTTATATGTGGACCACTCATATCTTTTCAATTGACAAGTAATAGTGTATAGTGGAGATCACTCAATGAATACTTCAACATTGCTTTTGCAGCCATTTTCACATTCCATGAGTATACATTTAAAACTGGATAATCTTAAGATTTAGTTGAAATTGGTTTTTTTTCATAAAAAATCTCTTTCAAGCATAATTTTTCCTTTATAAGTGATATATCCCCAGCTTATTTTGGTTAATCAGAAAAAAGTATCACGCAAAATAATTCTTCAATAAAGCAAGTGGAAAAAGGGTATTGGCATGTTTTTTCAGGCTAGAGAACGAGACCTTGTTACTGGGGAGCTTGGTGACGCAGCCATCAATTCCACAACAACACAGATTCGCATTACTATTGAGGATATTAATGACAACAAGCCACAGTTTGAACAGGATGAGTATGTGACGAATCTGCGCGAAGATGCACCAAATGATACTCCCCTCAATTTATTGATCCCCTGCCAGGACCCCGATCAGGTTTGTCTTTAGGATCAATTGTTATTGGTCCAAATATGTTTTTTTCAAATTCTGTCACAAATAGCAGATTGTCAACATCTGTTTTGATGTTAGAATGTATTATGACAAAGTAATACCTGTACTACGCTGGTTTGGTCTTTTTTAATAAGTGTGTTTTGATTAGAAATATCAATGAAAAATTAAGTGATTTGTCTGACAGAAAGTCCACACCTGTTGCTCTCTCAGGTTAAATGTGGAGAAAGTATGCCCTGGTAAAGATAAAAAGGACAAAGCCAGTACATCATAAATCACACCACTAAATATACCACATCATCTATACTTAAGAGAATATTACAACCTGAATTACTGTACTGTTATTAGCCAGTTTCCTTATTAGTCCCCTGCCAGTGAAACTGGAGGGGACTATAGTGTTTGTCTCCGTCTGTCCGTCCGTCCGTTCGTCTGTCTGTCTCGCCGTCCAGGTGTCCGTCCGTCTGTCTGTCTGTCCGGATGTTGGTTTCCAGACGATAACTTGAGAACAGATTGATGGATTTGGATCAAACTTCTTACAATCGTAGTTTATAAGGCAGTATAATGTTGGATTTACTTTGGGGTCAAAAGATCAACTACAAAGGTCACTGTTGCTAAAAATAGAAATTGTTGTCACATTTTAGTTTCCGGACATTAACTTGAGAATGGATAAATGGATTTGGATGAAACTTCATACAATGGTAGTTTATAAATAATAAAACAAGATACTTCTGATACAGAACAAGTTCTATATTACTTGAAAAAATAATGTATTTATACTGCAATTAGATCATGGGGCCAACATATGAACTCGGATCCATAGTAAAGGGTTAACTTATTGCAAACAGTTAGGTAGCATTTGCTCCCATTTGCTTTACATCAGAACACTGGTGGGCTTATTAGCAGACATGGGTTTATTTGCTGATAAATACAGTAATTTATGGCAAGGGACATGTGTTGCATGCAACACTAACAGTAAGCTTGTTTCAAGTCCGAGATAATGTGGAGGACCTCTAGGCTTATTTCTTTAACAGGAATACTGAAACTTCAGAATCTGATTTGTTTAATAAGCATATTTTTATTTACAGGGAATTAACAACAATTTTATATTCACACTGAGCAACTATAATGCCGAGTTCAAGCTCTCTGACCCTGGAAACCAGTCCGAGTCTGCATTTGCACAAATCCGTGTGAAGGACACGACACTTATAGACTATGAAGGAGCCCAGAAACAATACGTCTTCTTTGTAAGAATTTTACGAGAAACACAAATACTTTTGATAGAGTGACATAACAGGAATAGCAGATTGAGCAAAATTCATATTTTGCATGGAAACATACAGATTTATTTATTTTGAACTTAAAAATTATAAATTTGAGAAGAAAAAATTGTCTACAGATTAAATTTAGAAGCAGCCATTTCTGTCTCGTCAGAAGCCCTTGGTATTTTGACTTCCCTGTCTTATCTAAATACTGAGCACTCCAACATCCTATTTATATACATATAGTCATACAAAATCTTTGTATTTTGAATTCTTGTCTGATTCTGCATATTAATTGAATCATGTCAGGTGTCAGAAAAAGGGAAAAAGATTTTTTGATATGCAATTTACGTTCATCATATTTTACATAGAAAATGTAAAAAATAGTGAGGCTGGATCCTTACACTCAATTAATTTTAGATTAAAATTTCATTTGTATTTATTAAACAGAATATTAAGTCTTCAAATATTTCATTTCTCTTTTGTTTAAGGTTCAAGCTCAAGAATTTTTGACGGTAGAAAGATACCAGAGTCAATCTAAAATCACTGTCAACATAATTGACGTCAATGACAACAGTCCAAAATTTATCCAGTCGACCTATGTGAAAAGTATTTTGGAAAACTCTCCCCCTGGTTTTTCAATTGAAACAATTAGTGTAAGTATGAAGCTAGAAAGAGGTGAAGTGTGAAATTTCATTGTTGGCTAGGCCATGGTTAAAAATAGATTTGATGTTTCATTATATGAAAATAAATGTAGTAAGAATAGTGTTATTTTTTTTAATGTAAGAATGTTAGATTGATAAGAACAGAGCTGATTCCTGATAGCCTCGAACTCTCTGAGATTTAGACTAATAGGATCTTTCCCTAGCTTGAGGGTAAGACGGAGGAATCTCTACCCGAGGAGGAGATTCACAACTGTCCAACCCAAGGCTTTCTCTGTCCTACCCTCAAAGTTGGAAATCTGTCCTACCCTCAAACTAAGGAATCTGTCCTACCCTCAAACTAAGGAATCTGTCCTACCCTCATACTAGGGAATCTGTCCTACCCTCATACTAGGGAATCTGTCCTACCCTCAAACTAGGAAATCTGTCCTACCCTCATACTAGGGAATCTGTCCTACCCTCATACTAGGGAATCCGTCCTACCCTCAAACTAGGGAATCTGTCCTACCCTCATACTAGGGAATCCGTCCTACCCTCAAACTAGGGAATCCGTCCTACCCTCAAACTAGGGAATCCGTCCTACCCTCAAACTAGGGAATCCGTCCTACCCTCAAACTAGGGAATCTGTCCTACCCTCATACTAGGGAATCTGTCCTACCCTCAAACTAGGGAATCCGTCCTACCCTCAAACTAGGGAATCCGTCCTACCCTCATACCAGGGAATCCGTCCTACCCTCAAACTAGGGAATCTGTCTACACCTTATCTCCAGCCTGCTAAAAATAGGATAACAAGACAAATATATGCTGACAATTATGGAAACAACAGGAGGCAAATACAAGCATTTGTTTTTAATTTTACCCAATTTGTAGTCTACATTATACAAGATAATAATAATAAATCATTGTCATAACACTGATTTGAATAATCAAAGATAATCAGACAATGCCATATGATAATATTATACTGTCAATATCAGTCAGTCACTTCTTAAATTTACAACTTTCACTTTAGCATGTGTTTATATTGTGTGCTTACAGGCTGTCTCACACCTTTAAGTTATAGGTATTTTGTCCTCACTGGATGTGTGGATATTTCTGTCCAGTTGGAAAGGAAATGTTCTCACTTTTGTACTCTTTTAGGTTTCTGCATATTTGTAATCTTTGACTTGAACTGGCCATATGTCTTTGACCAAACTACCAGCAATGGGTAGAAGGAAATCTAAAGCCTTGGCTTTCTTATTGGCAATATAATTTCCATTCTGGGGAAGTACGTTTGAGATGGGGGAGGGGGGGGGTATTCAATCAGGCTCTGTCTGTAAGTCTGTCTGAATTAACTGTGAATGAGCATTTTGCAGACCAGAACTCTAGAACCGTTCAAGAAAACTACTCATAAACTTTGTCAATTAATACTTTGATAGTCCCAGAATTGTTAGAATGTCTAATATGTCAAACGTCAGACCACAAACTATCAATTAATGCTGAATACTGAAAAATGTCGATGATGAATCTGTGTAGTAAATGATTACTGAATTTTTGTATAAGGTGTTAGTTATTTTTATTAATTTATTTTTTAAATATTGTTTCCATTCCACAACAGGCCAATGATCCAGACTCTGGGGACTTTGGTAAAGATGGCATTGTGTATGGAATGACAGGTGATGGCAAGAATTTGTAAGTATCCATTGTCTCAAAGAAGAGTTTGACATCTGTGCACAGGGCCTGTAGTGTGGTAGCATAGATCTGTAAGAAGTGTTGATTTGTGATTCATCTGAAATCTGGAGTAGATAGTGTGCAGGGTGTTGAATGTTTTCAATATGTCTTCTAGGTAAGTTGGTGGTATTCTGAGTTCACATAATGTGGTTGATCTTCATCCAAATTGCTAGAAGGATGGTACAGGTTAGGAGAGAGTGAATTCTATAAGGAATGCAGGGGTTATTTAAAACATATATATATGTAGATAAATTCAGGCGTGAAAAATCTCTAGCAGGTGGAATTTTCCGAGAAGCAATGTCCTACCAAGTAGTGACAGAAGTGAAATGGTGATAATGATATGATCGTTTGAATAAGACTATACCTAGTGGTGGAGTTTTTGGAAATCAATTGAACCTGATATAATTAGTTAATAATTAGATTTTGATAAAACTTGAGTCTCATTTTTTATTTACTACCAAATTTAAACTTGTTGTTTGTCATGTCATTTAATTTATCAAATATTTGTGTATTTATGAAAATGCAACACAAGGTCATCAAGTAAATATCTTTAAACAGGTTGTGAAAACCAAGGTCAGAGTTACAAAAGATTCATAAATGTAGATTTCCTATGTTACACAATTTTATTGAAATGTTATAAAGGTAAATAAGTTGTTTTCAAACCAAAAAATGTAGAGGACTATTTGACAAGATCAGACAAAAACTAGGTGATGTGTTAAATTTTAACCTGCAAATTTTTTTTTTGTTGAATGCAATGTTATGAAAATGTGTGATGAATTATTGTAAATGACATTCTACATATTTTTATTCAAATTTCAATGTTTTCTCCCAGATTTTCTCTAGATGCTACATCAGGTTTGGTAACTGTGGCAGACTGTCCAACTCCAGGAAGTGGCAACTGTATTGATTTTGACAAGAAACGTCAGTATGTATTGACGGTTACAGCTCGGGATGAGAATGGACGTGGACGAGCTGGCACAACAACACTGACCATCAATATTCTTGATGTCAATGATAACTCGCCTGTGTTTGTTAACCAGAATTACACAAGTTATATTGAAGAAAACCGACGTAACCCAAACCCAGAGATTATCGTATCTGCACTTGATAAGGATACTGTTGGGGGACCCATATCTTATAGCGTCATTGCTGACCAGACTGGGATATGGGCAGTCAATTCGTCTGGGTACATTTATGCTCAGAAGGATGTTATCTACTCTGATACACCAGGCAATGTGGGATTGTAAGTAAATGTGTAAAATTCCAGTATAGCATGTATAGTGTCCCCTACCAATGTCACAAGAGTGGACTACAGTTTTTTCACTTCTGTCGGTCCCTGCATCTGTGAAAGATTGCCAGCTTTCCAGTGACTTCATTCGTTTAAGGATTCTCATCAAACTTCATACACATATTAACAGCAAATTATCTTGGAAATGGTTGAGTTTCAAGGTTTTTTGGTCAAGATCAATGTCACTGTAACTATTTTTAGAAATTTCTTGCCAGTGCTTGACCAGTTCCATTTCATGATGGATTCTCATCAAACTTTACCCACTTATAAAGCATCAAATTATCTTGGACAAGTTCAAGTTTTAGGGTTATTGGGTCAAGTTCAAGGTCACTGTTACTACTTGTACAAAATTGATAGTGGGCTGTTAGGGACCATGTATTGCTTCAGCAATGCTTGTTGTGTATGGTATTTGTACCCTATTTGTTAGAAAGCCACCCACATCTATTGCTGTTGCAGTGATGTTCAATTGCTTGATGAAGCATCTTCAGGACAAAGAAATCTAAAGAATGTTGAAACACAAAAATTACAAGAAAATGTGTTTTCATAAGTTGATTATATTAATGATAGTCTTGATCACTTTGTACTTAAAGAAAGTCTTTGTTTTCATTTCAACAAATTCTATTGCAAAACAGAAATTGTTTATATGAATGTTCCCAAGATATGAATGTTACAATAATTCCTTTGTCATATTTCAGTTTTGTCTTCCAAGTACAGGCGACAGATGGAAAATTTTCACCCGTTTCAAATGTCAAGATCTTTGTTATCGTAAGTGTGAATTTTGTCTTGCTATTTAAATTGCAAAAATATTGTAATGATAATGTCTGCAACTTTTGTTGGATAAAAGTGTTCTGCAGTGCACCATTAAAAACAATATTTTGAAAATGTGGGTACTTGTAAGTAAAGAAAAAAGGAAGATACATGGATTGAGATAAGGACCTATCCTTGACTAGTTTTAAAAACATACAGCAACAATGTTTGCAAAGTCTCTCTAAAGCAGATTTGTAATTTTTAAATTTCTGTAACCTTTCTGAAGAAATACCTTTGATAGAAAAGTGGGATATAGATTTAATAGATTAAAGACGTTGTTGAATTTTACAGGACATTAATGACAACACACCAATATTCCCACCAGGAATATATGAGACAACTATTAGTGAGAAAACACCTGGAGGTAAGACATAAAACGATGCTGTATTGAATGGTGGATAGATGAAGTCCAGATGTTGGGTCATTGTATATTTATTGTGGTGTGGGCTATATTGTGGAGATAGTAACACTAACATTCCCTCAGGAAACGATACATACTGGCTTAATCTACACGTGTGTTTATGTCCCCCAAACGAAGTGGGGGGACATATTGTGATGCTCCATTTCTTATTATTATCATTATTTATATCATTCTCATTTCTTCCACTTTCTTCCGCCGGCGAGGTTTCCGTCGTGTTTCTCAAAAGCTATTGCATGGAATTTAACAAAACTTGACACACATATTCATACATGCGAGGCGGAGTGCAGGCCACTTGAATTTTTCCAATCGGTCATCTGAGCAGTCAGCTGTGGTCAAAATTTGGCCAAATTTTAGATATTGTCTGATTTTCGTGAAAATTGGTATATATGTATTAGGTGGCACTAGGAGCAAAATGGCGTAGTCCATTTTTCATTCAGCCACCGATGGATCATCTGAGAGGTCAGCTGTGGTCAAAATTTGGCCAAATTTTAGATATTGTCTGATTTTTGTGAAAATTGGTATATATGTATTAGGTGGCACTAGGAGCAAAATGGCGTAGTCCATTTTTCATTCAGCCACCGATGGATCATCTGAGAGGTCAGCTGTGGTCAAAATTTGGCCAAATTTTAGATATTGTCTGATTTTCATAAAAATTGGTATATATGTATTAGGTGGAACTATAGGAGCAAAATGGTGTAGTCCATGTTTGGCATGACTGCAGGTCTGATTATTGTGATCGTTTACTGCTGAAGGGGTCGTTAGGGGGACATTTGTAATGGTCCCCATTACAATTAGCACTTGTTATACTAAAATTTCATGGAACTGTTGGTAAAGTAATATTACACATTAGATTATATACATTATATTATAATACAAATATTAAGTAAAACATTAGTAGTAGACTTATACCTGGGAATGGCTGTAGACTAGTTTGTTATCTACAAGATAAGTATACACTGACCATCATCTGATAGACAGATAGCTAGGGCTCCTGTTATTAATTATATAACCTGGGAATTAATTAATACATGGACATGTGTAGTAGATTGATTAACAACAGAATGTCTCTGGCTACCGGTCAATATATAATTGCCCACTGGTCTATAGAAGTCAGTAATAAATTTAGCTGGTCTCACTTTGGCACTTAAATTATCTGACATATGTCTAACTGAACACAATTTTGAATAATTTACTTAACTTAAATATTGACTTTTAATAGTTTAGATAAAATATCCTCAGATAATTTAAATAAGCTGCGATAGAAATAAGATTTTGGAAATAAGTAACACCCTCATTTTTTGTTAGAAAATTATACATGTACATGTTTTGTAAAATGGTTGAACAATATAGGTAATTGACCAATGAAAAGTGTTGTTGCAATCTTAAGGATGTCTGCTACCTTTCTGGTACATGCAGTGTTAAGGCTGTATGCTACCTTTCTGGTACATGCAGTGTTAAGGCTGTATGCTACCTTTCTGGTACATGCAGTGTTAAGGCTGTATGCTACCTTTCTGGTACATGCAGTGTTAAGGCTGTATGCTACCTTTCTGATACATGCAGTGTTAAGGCTGTATGCTACCTTTCTGGTACATGCAGTGTTAAGGCTGTATGCTACCTTTCTGGTACATGTAGTGTTAAGGCTGTATGCTACCTTTCTGGTACATGCAGTTTTATGGTACATGCAGTGTTAAGGCTGTATGCTACCTTTCTGGTACATGCAGTGTTAAGGCTGTATGCTACCTTTCTGGTACATGCAGTGTTAAGGCTGTATGCTACCTTTCTGGTACATTCAGTGTTAAGGCTGTATGCTACCTTTCTGGTACATGTAGTGTTAAGGCTGTATGCTACCTTTCTGGTACATGCAGTGTTAAGGCTGTATGCTACCTTTCTGGTACATGCAGTGTTATGGTATATGCAGTGTTAAGGCTGTATGCTACCTTTCTGGTACATGCAGTGTTATGGTACATGCAGTGTTAAGGCTGTATGCTACCTTTCTGGTACATGCAGTGTTAAGGCTGTATGCTACCTTACTGATTACAGTGAGACTTAAGGATATATGCTCTCTTACTGTAATATGAATTTCCTTTTCTGAAGAGTTTTCCACACACAAAGAAATTTGTTTATTATATTTCTTGGTCTTGACAGTGGAATAGTTACTGGTGTTGGACGTCTCATTTGAACAATACACAAGATAATTTTGATTAAAAATCATCTTTATCAGTTCAGTAATTTGAATTTGTTTATTTCTGTTCAATTAGATAAGGGGTCTAGCACTATGGGTGTATAGTGTAATGTTGATTACTGTATACTACAGTATGTATTTAGATACATATTTGAAAATATCTCCTCAAATATTTCCTTAATTTTGTTTTCAAGGAACATCCGTCATAACTGTGAGTGCTACAGACGGTGATTCACCAACAACGGACAATGGTGTTGTGGATTATACAATCCTTTCTGGTACAGATGGAAAATTTCAGATCAGTCGAACTCAGGGCATAATCACTACCACCCAGGATTCAAGCTTTGATTATGATTTGAAGAAAAGATACACATTGCTTGTGAGTTGTTCATGGCAATACTTTATGAAAATCTCTGTGCATTTTCAAAATCTTCAGCTGATGCTTGATTTTAATTGCAAGTGAAAATTTCAACCAAAAAATTTTGATCAATTAACATAGGAAAAATTAATACATACAAAATATATATCCCAAATTTTTATTTTATATTTTCAACATGTTCAGCTTAATGTAAGCTAATTAATTCAGCATTGGTGATTTGAGTAAACTAAGGGTGTATCCACCGCGGGATGGGGGAGGATCTTTCCTGCTGTATTAGATAGATCATCGGTTTTTGTTGGGAGTCAATAATCTTATCCTTGGAACCGATTCCCAGGACTATGAAATGCAGTGAAATGGTTAACTTGATTTCTGAAAACATTTTTTTTGTTAATTTCGAAAGGTATTGGCACGTGATCGTGGTACACCTCCACGAAACTCCACCAAGGAAGTTTACGTAAATATCCGTGATGTCAACAATAAAGATCCGTACTTTGAGCCAACCACCATGCAGGCTGAGGTTTACGAAAGTAAGTTGAACTAGAAATGATGAGAATGCATGTCATGCCTCTTTACAATGCAAATACTGGCTGTAAACTCCATAAAAACACACACAAACATGTTTAAACCTATTTAGAATATTATAATTTTTTTATCTTTTCGTGATCTTCGAACAAATGGTGATAAACATTATAACTAGATAAATTGTATAATTTTGTAATTTCAGACGTTGTGCTCGGTTACTCCGTCATTACTGTCGTGGGTAAAGATCCTGATGCGAATGCTGTTCTCAACTATTTTTTTGTGGAACCAAAAACGGCCATTAGTCCTCGTGGTAACAACGTTGACAGAAATGTCTACGATTACACGGTTTGTCATAGTGGCTTTTGGATCGAATTCTAATAAAAAATTTAGAGGGTACAAGAATCATATTTTCAATATTATCAATTAACTGTAAATGACTTACTATGTTTAATCGTTAATAAGCCCGCCTCTGCTGATTAACCAACCCGGTCCTGTTGTTGTTTCTGAAGAATTCTAAACAAGTGGTATTATTATGGGATGATATGTTTGCAGTAAGACCAAGGGGCCAACAATTTCTGACTCAGTGTCCTGAATTAGTCTTATTGACTTAAAATAATATTTGTTTAAATGGTACAGAACAACAATATATAAAGATGGGCTTATTACCAGGCATGGGCTTATTAACCTTATACAACTGTACTCTAGTACAACTTTTGTAGGGATCATTTGAGCTAAACTATATTAGCTATTTATACAGGTCTGGTGCTGGATTATCTGTATTGCATTTTCTGCTGCCTACAAAAAGACTATGTTCAAGTATGTTATTATACTATTACAACTTGTTTTGACACTCGATCTTTACAGATCTGTCACATGTTCACATTAGTGTCTGAAATACATTGCAACATTTTTTAGTTCAAATTTTGTCTCTAACGTTATTGTCTTGGAGAAAAGGGACTACATAGGAGTCATCATTAGCTAATTGAGATTTTCCCCTTACTTACAGAACCTGTTTAGAGTTGAACAGGCAACAGGAATCGTCCGTACAAACAGTTCACTTGATCGAGACCTTACCTCGGTCTTGACATACTCCTTGATTGTTGTGGACGTCAGCGCCAGCCCTCCTCAGACTGGCACAGGTAACTAAAGAACCTCATATAAAGTGGACACCTGTCTAAAGAGAAATGAGGAATTCCCTTAAAAATTCTTTAGACAGTGATATCTACAGCGAAACCTGCATTAAAGGAAACCAGTAAAATTTCTAAATGAACTTGCAATTTGAGCACAAAATCATATTTTGGCAAATTAGTGCAATTATGAGTGAGGGAATTAACAGTTGTTGCTTTAAAACAAAATACAGAAATGTTTTGGAATAATCATCTTTAAGCACAATATTTTCAGTGACGAAAATGCTAAAATATGGTTACTGATAAGATATGTGTGTTTATAGTAACCAATACCTGTCTATAAAGGACACCTGTATATAACATATACCTGTCTATAAAGGACACCTATATATAACAGATACCTGTCTATAAAGGACAGCTGTATATAACAGATACCTGTTTATAAAGGACACCTGTAAAAACAGATACCTGTCTATAAAGGACACTTGTATATAACAGATACCTGTCTACAAAGGACACCTATAAATAACAGATACCTGTCTATAAAGGACACCTATAAATAACAGATACCTGTCTATTAATGACACCTGTATGTAACAGATACCTGTTTATAAAGGACATCTGTATATAACAAATACCTGTCTATAAAGGACACATGTATATAACAGATACCTGTCTATAAAGGACACATGTATATAACAGATACCTGTCTATATATGACATGTTTTGGGTCATTAAATATACATTTCATAGTAATTGAACCTATAAACAGCGATGAATTGCCTATAGATACAACTCGTCTCTGCTCTTTGGATTACCTTTATTGACGAGTTTGACTGCATATAACACACATTTCAAATTTGGAAAACGAAAAAAGAATTGAAAAATTGTACACGGTCAACTTATTTGATAATATGGCATAATGTTTAAGATATGAAAATCATTCTTTGACAATTCCTTAAAAAAGTTGCCAAAATTTTGTGGGTTCCCTTTGTGATTTCGACAAAAGTAATTGCATCATTATCAGTTTGTTTTATTTGAGTAATGAACAGCATTCTCCTTCTGTCATGTTTTGATTCAGATTTGCTGTTTCAATATACTGACAAATATATGATATACATATATATATAATTATATATACATATATATGCAATTTTTATCACCTGATAACCTTTGACTTCAGATTGTTTACTTAGCTCTGTTTACCCTTCTGACAGGAACACTTATTATTACTGTATTGGAATACAATGATCAGCCTCCTTACTTCCTGCCATTTACCAATCAAACCATTGATGAGGAACAACCGTTTGGGACATTTGTCATGGTGCTTCAAGCTCGTGACCAGGATGACGCCATAGCTGAATACCAGATCATAGACAATCCAAACCAGTTCTTTGCTATCAACTTTGAAACAGGTAATGGCTTGAGGGGTGGTTGTGGGGGTGGGGGAATGGGGTACATATTCTGATTACAGTCAATATCGGATCCCTTGCTTGCTGATAAGCCCACCCATGTCAGAAACATTACTGCAGAATGATTTAATTGTACATTTTCACTTTAAATGTCATAATTACCATGTTTTAAATACGAGGATAGGGACTTACTCATTTGAGAATGTGTCATAACTTACTTGGATTGACCAAGGTTTTCATGGCAGGTGTTGTCGATGAAGCAGATGATGCTTTCCCTTCTGGAACACCTGGTCTTGTAATCCTTTACCTTTTTCAAGGGTCTCTGTAAATGTATCTTTTATTCTTGTTTCATCTTTTTTTCATCAATTTTGAGTTGAGAATACATTTTTTTAAAAGTTGTTTTTGGTTTTTTTTTTTTTTTTTTTTTATGATTTTAATGAAGAAATTAGAAGAAAAAAATGTGTCTTTTTTGTGTTTTGCTATTAAACATAATTCTTACCAAGACATGAAATTTTGTGTATGAGAAGTGTTTTCCTGATAGATGCCCTGGTATTTGTGCTCCCTAGGAACTGTGAGTATTGCCAGAAGAATTGATTTTGAAGTGATAGAGTCTACCTATTTCACTGCGATGGTGTTTGATACCGGAATTCCCAGACTAAGTGCATCAACAACAGTTTACTTCACAATAAACAACATCAACGACAATTCGCCCAAATTTCGACAGGTAAGATGGACAAAAGTTGTTGTAATCAACAACACTGATAGAACATGATGTTTCAGTCGGTTGTGAAAATGTTTTATATGAACTACAAAACATACAAAATAAAAATGTTATCAAGCACAACTTTGTTTCAACAGGTGATGGTATTCAACTTGAAAATATCTAAATTTCCAAATTTTAGCAATAAAAAAATAGGAAAAATTCAATACCCCCTAAATTTGGATCATTTTTCAGCAACATTACATTGCATTGATGGTCATGATCATGTCACATGACATGATGATCATGTGACATGCCATGATCATGATGTGACATGGAAGGCCTGGTGTGGTTAGTGTAAAGATAAACATTTTTTTCAAAAAACAAACTTGATATCTTTTTCAGTCTTCATACATCACCAGAATTCAAGAACACTCTCCTGCAGGTACATTTGTTGTCCAAGTTAGTGCTACTGATATTGATAAGGGCGACTATGGTGTGGTACGGTACACACTAGGGGAACCTAGCTCCTACTTCGAAATCGACAGTATCACGGTAAGAGAATACAAGTTCAGTTATGTTAGTTTTTCAATATAAGATTTCATATAATTTATTAAGTCTGGTATAGGGAAAAAAGATATAAGATTTGTCTCACTTAATTCCTATAGGTACATTCATATATGATTATTGATACGTAACTGTAAAGCAGCTGATTTTCGAAACAAATACTTTCTGCAATTTACTCTTATAGACTATTTCATTTGTATTTTTACGAAAATTAAGTTTTTTTATTCTGTTAAGAAATTAACATATCTGCAATCGCAGGGATTACTTTCTAAGGGAACAATACAGAAATAAGTCACTCATGAATTGTTGTTAAGTCACATTAGCTGTTTAAATTGAAAAATTGCTTAATAAATTTAAGTCTGTGGAAGACTTTCATGTCTTTTTGTATGTGAGAAATGTGTATATCGTGTTTCAAAACTGTCTTTGATTCAAGAAGTGAAAGCAGATAGAAAAAGTGATATAGATATTTGTGTATGAAACTATATCAAACTTAATGTCATTGACTATTGATTATGTGTGTATTGGTTTTCAGGGTAACATAACAGTCAAACCTGGAGCAAATTTGGACCGAGAAACCATCGGTGATGTAAGCATACAGGTTACAGCTTACGACAGTCCCAACACCCAGGATATAAGCATCAGGAGATTTGCCACGGCAACAGTACGTAAAAATTGAAAAATTCTAATTTGTGAGATTTGTTCTTTCGGTCTCATTTGCTATATCAATTTTGTCTGCTTGTATGTCTCTCTTCTTGTCCTTCCCCAGTCCTTAGGCACCTTCATGAGTATGAAAATTCTCAACTGGTCTTGTTTCTAATTATATAGGACCATTCCAAAATTAAGAATTATTTTGTCAATTTTATCTGTACAGGTGTATGTTTATTTGGATGACATCAACGACAATAAGCCAAAATTCAGTCAAGCTCAATATGCCACTACTATTGTTGAAACCATCCCTGTGGGTACCAGTATCCTTCAGGTGCGGGCCAGTGACCTTGACATTGGTTTGAATGCCCTCATCGCCTTTGAAAAAATTCCAGGGAGTGGTGATCTGAATGGTACGCATTGAAAATTTCCTGATTTTAAGAGAATAATTCTTTTTACTTGAAATAAGATAATTTTTGGGATCATTATGAACTATGAAAAGTTTTTAAATTACAGAATATGTAATAAATATTTACAAGTTGTCTACATACGTAAAAGTAATTACTAGGTAATTGAGAAAAAGTTTCCGATAGTCAAAAATTCAAAACAGAAGAACCTAGGCTATTTCTAACAATCAGTTCCCAGCATAACGGAAGGTGAGTTGTCCTACCAGTACAAAAAATATCCTATATATTCTGACACCTTGTCAACTCCAGCAGAAGTGTCATGTTTCATGCATAGTTGGATAAGACACTTTATTAAGTTTTCATTGTTAAATCTTTTTCCATCCCTTTGCAGATTTTTTCAGAATTGCCAGACATTCTGGTGCTATAGAGATACAAGCCAGCCTGCTACGTAATTCAGGAGTATACACATTTAATGTGACAGCCACAGACTTGGACGGTAACGGACCATTTACTGCCGTGGCTGGTGTGAGGATCACTGTTTTACAAGCTACAAACTCTTACCCAGAGTGGAGAACACCTCCTGTTGCCAATATGAGTATTGACGTCCTTGAGGTACACAATTCTAGTTGTTTAATCAAACACTTGGTGCTATGTATGTCTGTCATGATCATGTGAAGTCCATGGCTGACCATTGATAAACCTCTTTATTTATAGTGTCATGTCACTGAAATATCATGACCTGGAACATGATCAACTGATCACATTTTACTGAAAAACAGATTAAAGAATCTTTGTGCATTAGGCATTTAAGTGTTACCTCCATGAGTTTGGTATGTCATCACTTGAGTCCATAGCCTTCATGACTTGGGCAGACTCTCAGCTTAAAAATTAGGTACTGGTAGTGTCAATAGAGACACAAGGTAGCTCATTGTCTTAGGATATTCTATATCATAAAAGATTCAAATTCAGTTACCTTTCAGTGTCATGTAATTGCAGTTGAAAGATAAACATGCATGTTGTCTACCATTAAAACACACGTAATTATGGACACTTTTTTTTATTTGTTTCTTTTTTTCTTTTTCTTTTTTTTAGAAAATGAAAGTCCAAATTTAATGGGGATGTCGTGGGGGGAGGGATGTTGCATACATTGAAATTTAAGGGTGGGGGGAGGGGATGTTGCATACATTGAAATTTAAGGGTGGGGGGAGGGGATGTTGCATGTTGCACACAATAAAATTTAAGGGGAGAGGAGGGGAGGGGATGTTGCACACATTAATAAATGTAATAAAATGCCAGTCTTTTGACAATACACATATATAAGTCTACAGTACATTCCTTGCCCCATATACCAATGGCTTTTATATATAGTTTTGGCCGCAATTTACGTCAGCTAGCGTGTGTATTATAAGACAAGATTTAACAGGGAACTTGATTGTCTGAGATTGTAACTACCTTGTTTGATCATGAATAGGTAGATAACGATTTGTACCTGTGATTTTAACGCTAAACACTGTTGACTAGTGAGAAGACAAGTGTTTGTGCACATAAGATAAAAAATCTAGGTTAATTGTAGGTATAGGTAAGTGTATGATGCATTGTAACACGTCTGATGTCTAACAGGAAGTGCACAAATATAAGGCAGTTTTTTGTACCTATATTGTACCAATAATTAAAGAGAAGAAGGCAATTAAAAGTCAATAAATGAGATGAAAACCAGTTTTGAAGATAATATTTTCAAGTTATGGACTTTTATATCATTGGTCAGACATTTTGGGAGCAATTTCTTGGCTCCTGGAGATTGTTTTTGATGAATTTTTGGGTGCACACATTATGCAAGTAGAAGCACTTTTCACTAGTTTCAACCACATATAGTACCTGCGCAAATTACATTTCAGTGTACACTTTATTTTTATTTTGTTTCATATTCAGTTTGAAATAAAATATTCAAAAATTTTGAATAACAAATTTAGTAACGAGGCATTCTTGCTTTCTTTACTTTCAGAGCCAGTATCTTGGTATGTGGGTTTATGACGTACATGCCTCTGATATTGACGAAGGAGTAAACGGTGTTGTTGATTATGGTTTCTATCACAACGGAGTATACACAACATCTACTCCAGAGTTCATGATCAACTCCATCACTGGAGTCATCAGAGCACAGAGAGTGTATGATCGGGAGGAGGTTGATCGCTATGTGGTGAGTTTAACTAGACTGTTGACCTCGGACAGTCTCTCTCTTTTACCACAACAATTAACAATAGTTCTGCAGTCACTTTGACTAGAGAAATTCTGTCACTGCTGGATTATTGCCAAATTTTCACATAAGTATGCACCTCACAAGTTTTTAAGGGGTGTTAAAAAGATCCGAGATATCTCCAAAAAATAGGTATTGTAATACCCGAGTAATTTTCCTGTAAAAACAACATTGTCTTTATAAAATGAGTTACTTCCCTTAGTTGCTGCTCTCTGCTAAGGATAGAGGAACTCCAGCTTTAGAATCAACCCGTTTCCTGACTGTTGTTATCTTAGATGTCAACGACAACCCTCCAGTCTTCCCTGTCAATGCAGTAAGTAACTTTTATATATCAATCCTTCTGATTTTCTTTGCGATGATTTCTTATTACAGAAATGTGAAATTTTTTATTTTAGAAGTATAGGATTAATTATTTCAAGGTGACTCTTTAGGGTTGTTAATGTTTTTATCAATAAAAAATCATTATCATAAAAAGATATGTTTGATTTGGTTTTGGTAGTCTTTGAATTATTTGCTTTTCAAATCTTTTAAATTCTCTGGTTAAATAAGAAAAAAATTGAATCCAAATTCAAAGAGCGTACTAAAATTTTCATACAAAATATCCTGATATACAACTACATTACAATGTTAACTGGTGAAAAAGTCTTAAATAAAGGGATTTATACATGTTACATATTTAGTGTTACAATGCTTAAAGGTCTATTGATCTCTGGTCATTTAAAAATTTAAATCAGTTAGCTTGTTACAAGACAATCAAATAACATTGGGTTGTGATTGTACTGATCATCAGTATGTATGGGTGGGTTTATTACCAGACTTGGGCTTATTACCAGAGGTAATGGTTTTCCAGACATTCAAAATATCAGTCTTTTATATTACAATGTAGACTTGCATCTGCCGTAATCATATTTTATGTTGTTACATTTTATAGATATTAAATGTATAAGTTTGCAGTTTTCAAAATTTTCCAGAAATATCAATGTGGCCATTGTTATATTTGATTACAGGAAGGGGAGACTATTCCTGTCGAGGTACAAGTTCCAGAAAATGCCATCGTGGGCACGTTGGTAACCAGACTGTTAGCAACAGACCAGGACTTTGAACCAGAGGCTGTCAGAATTCACTATTACATTATAAGTAAGTTTTTATGTCAGGTAAATTTTTTTTCACAAGACAGTGAAAAAATTTGTCAAAATGTTTACCTGGGCTTGTAAAAACATCTTAAATTTGCATGGAGCTTCAGGCATATATGTTGTGAAGGATGATAACGTTATCTGCTTTTGAAATTGAAAGATGTGATATCCATTGTCATTACATAGTTACTGGCTGATAGGACGTCGTGTCAGATTTATGTCATGTGACCTGAAAAAACTTACTGTTACACTGATAAAGAAGGCATATTATGAGAGTTATGTCCCTTGGATTCATCTCGGCGCTGTTTGCCACGTATTACAATAGGTGTATAACTCATGTAGATAAATTCATTTATAGTAGCTTTTGATTGAGAGGCTATCGCAGAAGCTACTGATTAATGAATTACTGATTGTGATTATTCTTTAGGTGGCAATGAGGATAACTCATTCTTCTTGAACAAGACCACTGGAGAACTATTCCTGGCCAACCCACTAGACCGTGAAACAAAGAGTATCTACTTCCTAGATGTTCAAGCCACCAACAATGTCAGCGACTACAGTGTCATTACTAATCGTCGTCGACGAGCCACAGATCCCAGCATTGTCACAGTGAAAATCCTTGTAGGAGACACCAATGATGCAAAACCTACATTTACCAAAGTACTTTACAGTGGCTGTAAGTGTTATATAAATAATATTTGATATACGTATGGGTGGTCTATTTACCAAGAATATGCCTGTTAATGGATAAATATGATACTATAAGGTTTATCTGTTAGTAGATAAATATGATATATATATAGAGTTCATCTTTAAGGCGTGTCCACTTTGTCTGACATATATATATTTCATCTTTAAGGTGTGTCCACTTGGTCTGACATATATATTTCATCTTTAAGGTGTGTCCACTTGGTCTGACATAATATATATTTCATCTTTAAGGCGTGTCCACTTGGTCTGACATAATATATATTTCATCTTTAAGGTGTGTCCACTTGGTCTGACATAATATATATTTCATCTTTAAGGCGTGTCCACTTGATCTGACATAATATATATTTCATCTTTAAGGCGTGTCCACTTGGTCTGACATAATATATATTTCATCTTTAAGGCGTGTCCACTTGGTCAGACATAATATATATTTCATCTTTAAGGTGTGTCCACTTGATCTGACATAATATATATTTCATCTTTAAGGCGTGTCTACTCGGTCTGCGATCGGTGAGAGTATAATTAAGGTAGAAGCTATTGATGTGGATTCCACAGATGTTAGATACAGTATCACAGATGGTAACTCCGAGTCCCTGTTTGTCATCGATGATATCACAGGAATCATTTCCAATAGGGTACTCATGTCAAATACCAACAACCAGGTGTACAACATTAAGGTCCAGGCGCAGGATAGCAACTTACAAGACACAGCTGATGTACAGGTGATTGCTGATATATTTTTTTCATCATATACCTCTAATAGCACCATTATATAACAAAACCACCATTGTATAACAAAACCAACATTGTATAACAAAACCACCATTGATCTGTCTATAAAAACACTTTTGTTGGTTGCCTATGTATCTTAATTCACACCAGTTGAACCTCTATATGAAACATAACTGACTATGCAGTCCACTTTTCTCAATCCCCTTGTATGGTATTTTATTTATTTTATTTTTTTTTTATCACAGTGTGATTGTATATATACAGTCCTTTATTTTTAATGTCAAACATATTTCTGTATGTTTAATTTGACATGGTTTTGTTGAAATATATTAAAATGAATCATCACTGTTCCTATTCAATAACTATTTTATTTATTTGTAGATATTTGTGACACATCCAGAGAATGGTGTGACACTGGTCATCACTCAACCAGCCTCAGAAGTGAGACTGTTCAAGGAACAAATACAGAAGTGAGTAAACGTTACTACAGATGTCTTGTATACTTTTGTCAGTTTTATATAAAAAGAACAATCGTAATTTGTCGCATGACTCCTATGAAAGTTAGATACTTTTCATTTGAATTTTCAGTTGAACCACAAAAACTTTGAACCAGAGAGAAAAATCCCTGTATAGTTATTGTGGGAAACAAATTCCCCTCTGTATAGTATTGTATGATATTATGATAGAAGTGTCAGATGGAAGTCTTGCTTTTTTTAGACATTGATGAGATAGCTTTCTTAACTACAGAGATGTGAAGTGGGTCAGGAGACTTAAAGTGAAACCTTAAAAATTTGGGTAACAAGAAATGAATCAAAAACTTATTCTTTGTTCTATCTACTGATTCCTTAACAATCCTCTCCTAAGAATTAGGTCATCATATTTAAATCTCAATGTCTTCAGTGCTTTCTTTCTCATTCTTTAACATTAATGTGTATACCTGATTTTAAGGGGTTTTTTTAATTGGACTGCAATGACATTCTGTCTACTAGAGAAACTTTTTATTGTAACATTACAAGTCTAAAGACTCTTTTTGAAACTATTGAGATTTGTAAAATTCTAGATTATCTGAAAGATGTTGGTGTATGTAACAGACTCTGATTTACCATTTCAATCTTTTGTGATAATATAACCATTTAAGATTTTTAGCATTTATCTTTTACCTTTTAGTTTGTTTGATGTTATTTCCTTTTTGGATCGCTGTGTGTTTTACCGGTCGATGGCCCTATTGACATTTCATGGGTTGACGGGTCGTTAAAATTGTCACAATAATAATAAGAAGAAGAATCTAGGTTTTTTGTTGAAGATACCATTCTTTTATTCCATTGTTTGTTTTTATTTTTCACGTTTTTGTCAGGTTACTGGAGAGTTTTACAGATGGCAACAATCAGCCGATCTTCACTTTCGTGTGTTTTAACAGTATAAGTGACCATGTCCTTTCCTCAGGAGACACAACCAGTTTTTGGTAGGTACAATAAAATCTGTCGGTACAAACCATAAATCAAAAATTAGACAGATCACATATCTAAAAGACTCAAGTTTCACCTGAAATCAGAAATACTTTTATAAAATAATTTTATAGTAACGAAAGTTAGACCGGAACCACTAAATAAAGGGCATTGTATTTCACTTTGCAGAACACTTCATGACAACAAAAATACTGTCAGAGATATATAAGTATTTGTAACCAATTGAAACACCAAAACAAAAAAGAAAAAATACAAGTAAATTGTGGTCATATATTTTTATTGCAAAGATTTACTCTTCACCCTTCAAATACTTCCTGGAATTATAAACACACAAAATACAAAAATACAAACAAATTGTTTTGCAGGGCTGATGCTGTGATCTCCACAGGATGTGCCACATGTGGCTACAATGGTGGTGCTGGTGTATACAGTGGTGCCCAACTTCTGTATGAACTCCAGATCTTACAGAGTCAGAATAGCGATGGCTTTGACCTCCTCTATATTAATGAACTTAAGGTAAGGTCAGGGTTTTTGGAAAGGTCAAGGTTATTTTGTCAACTATATTGCTAAAAAGTTATGATATGAACTATTTTGATGAAGTTGAGTTTTGAGTTGGATTTCATATTACAGGATGACCCGCCTCTGTTTTGCGGATCGGAAATCTAGTCACTTTTTCTATAGAAGGGATGGTTTTATACATTTGGAAAGATATGTTGAGAGAACAATTCATTACAATTTGCAATTACTGTCTAATTTCCATGTATGTAACGAGAGATCGAAGCCCATTGACAAGTTCATATATTGATGAAGATACATTGAAACTAAAAGTGAAAAATGTACGTGAAATTTCCCTGATAGGTTATGCAAATGATCCTGGTATTTTAAACTAACACAAATAACACCTTTACTGATATTAGATTTGTGATTTACAGACATTGTTTACTCAATAATGGACGATTAAATACCATTAAAAATCAATGGCATTACAAAGCACTGCTAGCATTACACTGATGACTACATGTTGATGGTTTTTTTCCTCAGTTGGCCACTGAAACAGAAGATAAATTTGACCGTACTCCAACATTGGTCGTGATGATAATCATCATTGTTCTCATCGTCGTTGGCCTCTTCTTCCTTCTCATCGCATGTTACTGCATCAGAAAGTCGTAAGTAGTCAATACTTAGCAGCCAAGTAGTGAGGTTGATACTAAGAGTTATTTCAAAAGAAGTATTGAATGCATTAGTGTAGATTTAATGTAGAATTAACTTTGTTAAAAATTTATGAATTTGTAAATAAAGAGACAATTATACTTATTAAAAAGTTAAAAATGTTAATGATGTTCATTTCAGAAATACATTAAAGATTTTTTATAACATTAATAGAAATTTCACTTTAAATCACTTAAACTTTTGAATTTTATGTATATTAATGAAATATGCTTCATGTTGCTTCATATATAGTCCAAAAGTTTGCTGTGGAAATGATATCACTCTACATATACATACATATATAAAGGCTGTCTGTTATTGTTGATTATGGCAGTAATAAGCTTCAGTAATCAGGAATTATATACTGCAGAACATACAGAGACAATCAGAGACATACAGAGACAATCAGAGACATACAGAGACAATCAGAGACAATCAGAGACATACAGAGACAATCAGAGACAATCAGAGACATACAGAGACATACAGAGACAATCAGATTGTGTATAAAGCATCTCTTGATCTTATTTCATTGTTCACATCCTAAAGGTGTAAAAAAAATTCTGTCAATATTTGTTTGAATTTCTAAGAATAATTTGTTTTTTACATATATTTGCCGAATATGACCATTTTAGGGCGCATGCCTCTATAAGGGCATCTGTGCCTTTTTTCAGGAAAAATTCTTGACTGATTGTCCAGTCTTATTAAGGGCGCCCTTGCCTTCAATTACCTGCTTCCTGCACCCTTATTAGGTCATATACCATATACATTAAAATGGGTTTTTTTATTTTTGCTTCAATATTGATCTTGATATTGTGTACAAAATGGGAAAAAAAGGTTCGCCAAACTTATTTTGAGAAAATATTTCAATGAGAACTTTTCAATGGAAGCAAAGAAAATGAAACCATGGCAAGAGGATGTCTCTTTAGCTAATGAATATGTATAGGGTTACAATTCTTGAATTGATATGTTCTCAAAAAAACTTTTCAGCACATGGTGAGTTCACTTCCTGCAAATCTTTACAACATTTTAGCTTTGTTTATCCCATGTTTATTTCACCTTTAAGCTAATAATGATGTGTTCATGTTAGAATTGTATAATCATATTATCAAAACCATTCAGATGATTTTATAGTATTTATAACTGTAAGAATTGAATGATATGAACAACTTGCTTACAGATATTTAAGTAAAGCACAAGTTATCAGTGTAAATACAGTCCCAGCTTGAGTAGTAGTGCTTTCAACAAAATTGCTAAAATACTAATACAGTAAGCCTATCTATTTAAACTACTTGAAGAAGAAACAAAATGATAACACGCAAGAAAACTGATTTTTTTAACCACTTCAACATTTCACACCTCAAAGTAATTGCATGATCTTAATCCCAGCACATCTTTCAAAACATGAAACATTTCATGTTGAATAATTTCATTATCAAAATGATGACATGACAGATTAATGTACACAAAAATGAATAGCAGTCAAGCTATTATTCTGCATGTGCAACAACAAATCACACCTCAGCATTTATAACTTACTTTAAAATATTTTTACACAAAATTATTTACCCTTTACAAGCTTCAGGTAACATTCCAATTGTTAAAACTATATTTACATGATAATCATTTTATATAACATGTTCTATTATCTAATGGCATATACATGTATATTTATTTTATTTCATAATTATAATTTTTTGACTGAAAAATTTCTTCGCTTGGTTGGTCACATTTTATTTAATTCAAGGATTAAATATTTGCAGAGTTCTAGCCATAGGGTCACTAGATTAAATTTGTGAGTTAAAGAATTGAGTTGTTGACCTTTAATGAGCTTTTGATACATTACCTATAACATACAGAGTTGTTGCCCTTTGTTCCCTTCTAAATGCATTGGCTTAAGATATACAGATTCCTGGCTCTTTGTTCACATTTGAATGTGTTTGCTAAAGGTACAGAGTAGCATCTCTTTGATCCCTTTTGAATACATTGGCATAAGACATACAAAGATGTGACTATTCAAGTTGTGTCTCTTAGTACAGATTTTAATACCAATATTGGCTTTGGATATTCAGAGAAGTAGCCCACACATCTATCTTAATTCATGATTGAAAAATTTAGAGTTGTGGCCCTTTATTTACCTCTTGATACATAGTCAAAATACAGTATTTTTAATTCAAAATAACCAGTTTGAATGATTCAGTTTTACTGTTCGGCATACTAGTATTTATTGCACTGGTTACAGATTTATATGAAATTCTTTAAGATGATCAAAAAATTTTGTTTGTCTATGATGTAAATTTATGATATATTGCTTTTGTAGTTACATACTACATGCATTGCTTCATAAACAATTACACAGTTTACACTGATAGTCATTAGCTAATTTTAATACTATGCATTCTTTTAAATTGAAATTTATATAAAATCTCATTTTATAATCAAAGATCACCACAATTAAAATACTGCACAAATGTAAAAAAAAATATTGTACCAACATCATGCCATAGTTATGTTTAATGTGTTTATATTTTTATTGGGGAGTATTTTGGACACTTGAATGATGCTCCAGATTATGTGTAAATTTTCCTTTCTTTTCTAGCAATGAGCACAAGACTGCTTTGCTTGGTAAGTAGTGTTTACAGAGTTAAACAAATCAGATCTTATGATATTTTGACTTAATCAGTTTTGGAAAATAGCATCAAAAAATTTATTTTTTTACTTTTCCTTTACGTAAATATAGAGTTTAAACAGCCCAAATGAAAACGCAAGACTTATGTACGGTACATACAAACACATTTATTGTAAAACTCATATAAAAGAAAACAGATTTTTTTTTACAAACAAAGTTTGGCATTAGGGGCAACTCAGCTGTCTGCAAATCTAACACAGATAATCTTCCAACTTGGGTTGATGTCATTTATACAATCAATATGTATTACCTAATTTGACCTTAACAAGCTTAAGATGGAAGATTATCTGTTATGAAATATACTATCACCTAATTTGATAAGCATTTGTGTTTTGACAGTACATCCAAATACAAAAACCCCTAACTAATTTTTTGGGGCTTGAAATTTATAATTATGATCTAACTCTTACTAATTATAAAATTGAAATTTGCCAAAACTCAGGTCAAGTATATGTGTATATGATTGAGCTGAGTGCCAAATATTTTTTCATCAAAAAATTTTTTTTTTTTACTTTTCCTTTACGTAAATATAGAGATGATATTTATATTGCATTTTCTGAATATTGTCTCTTAAAAACTATTATTGTTTTGTTTTTCACAGAAACCAGAACAGAGGAGAGATTTGAACAGGTATGTGTAATTTCTATTCAGCTTAAGATACATATAAACATATCCTATGTTCATGGTGCCATTGTGTATATAAACCTACCGGTATATATATTTATATTAGAAAGCAATAATTTGTGCCTCGTTCACCATGCGTTGAGTATAAAATTTTTCTTTAAAATCCTACTCCTCTTTCATACCTGGATGGATTTTCACCAAATTTGGTCTGATGCATCATTTGGGTAAGGTTAATCATTTCTTAAATCTAGAATTTTGAGGGGTTGAGATCAGGGCCCTACAGGGGGAGGTGCTGAAATTGGATTTAAAACCCTAATCCTCCTTTCTGCCTGTGTTGATTTCAACAGGCTTTAGCCTCATTCATCAGTTAGGGTAGGCAGTTATTTCTTAAAGGCTCCAAAAGGGATGTTAGACAAGATTTTACTTCATAATGCTACTCTTTCTTAATGCTTGAATGGATTTCAACCAAATTTAGTCTAAAACATCACAGAGAGTGCTGAATCATTGCTGAAATCCAACCCCAAGTTAATAGGAATAACATTGCCCCACTTTCAAGGTCACAGGTATCAGATGTGTTAAAATGGTAAATGACTTCTTCTCAATAACCAAAAGACCCAGTTTGATGATATTGGACCAAGTGTGAAATGTGTTGAAATGCTTAAGCAACTTCTTCTCAATAACCGAAAGGCCAAGGGTCTTGATATTGGGCCTTTAGCTTGCTTTTTCAAAAGCAATACATCTGAAGTGATGGCAATTGTGTAGTGCATGTATGATTTCAAGTTTGCAGAAAATGTCTTAATGAACCAACAATGTCTTCTATGTAAGCTGTAGAGTAGTTGAGCTATTTATTTCAGGCCTACTTTGCCTCTTACATGTACAGTATAGGTCTTGATAGTCAGATGACTATTAAGGCCCATGGGCCTCTTGTTGGTAAAGACAAGTTCACACAGGAACTTGTACTTTTTAAGGCATATTTAAATAAGATACTATCATTAAAAATTCCTTATTTTTCAGATACAAAATTTTCTGATAAATATAATTAAGTGAAGCAAATTGAAAATTATCTCATAATTTTGACCCAGATATTCATGAAATGTAACAAGATAAATATCTCTTGTTTCTCAGCCTCCTATTCAAAACGTGAATCCTATGTATGACAATTATGGATATCAACCTGAACCTGCCTATGCCAAGGTGAAAAAGCGTCCAGAACCTGAAAGACCAAAATATCCGGAGCCTGAACTTCAGTTGGAGTTTCAACCAGAATATGACCAAGATCCTGAGCCAGTCATTGTAGACGAAGTTGTGACTACCACTGAATATATGCCAGAGGAACCATCTCCACGATCTTCAGATGTACCCGAGGATACAAGAATTGAGACGACAATCGTTGACGATATTGATGGTCCCGAGGTGCCAGAACCATCAGACCCTTACCGGATAGTAACATCCTATTAGTTTCTTCCCAAAGATAAAAATCTGAGACAGAAAATGGTCTCAAATGTTTTCTGATTTTATCCAAAAATTTCTTTATTTTTTTTTCTTTAGGAGTATTAATGATTAGTGCTGTTTGAATTAAATTTTTAATTAAATTTTTTAATAAAAATAATTAAAAAAAATGTTGAAGAAATGTTGAAGCTGATTGTGA